CCATGAAAAGGATAACTATTTGGTAAAAGTGATGTTGATAGCTGCAAAGAAATGTATAACAAGGAAATGGGGGGAAGTCAAACGTGCCATCAAAGGACCAATGGATCATGACGATTGAAGACATATTTCTCATGGAAAGACTAATACACACAGACTGAGACTACAAGAACCACAGATGAAAAAAAATGGGAAAAATGGACATTATATAAACAGAAAAATTGAAGAGAAGGTGCTACCCAGACATGTTCATATTAGTGTACTTTGTTCCTTTTTATTTGTATGTTCGTTGTATGATCAAAAATAATAAAATATAAGTGAAAAAAAAAAATGCACCACTGGTGGAATCTGTTGAAGCTGTAGAAACTTCTCTAGGATATGCAGCACCAGGGGCAGATTTAGGAAATGTGGGGCCCTAGGCAAAGACAGGCAGAGGGCCCTCTGAATTGAGAAGACAACTCATAAAACAGACCCATTCCATAGATAGAAAAATGTTAATAGAATAGACATCCATTATTTGTTCTAGGTTTTGTCCCTCTCTTCTTGTCCCTTTTCTTCTTGTTTTCCTCTCTATATTTTGTACTCAGCTGACTTTTCATGCTGTCTCTAAAGGAATGAAAGATTTTTTCCAAGCACTAAGCTCACTTAGCTGATTGCTCCTTCCTGTGTTTCCAAAAAGGCCAAAGTAAATAACCCAGTCCTTCTTTTCACTGTAGACAAGCCATGATCTGCTTCTCTGTTCTCCATTTTTCATTTGGATGAAATAATAGCTGCATGAATCATGACAGCAGACAAGATAGAGGAGAGCAGGAGGCGGGGTTACCAATCTACTTGCTCTGGAGAGCAGAGTTTGGCTTTCTCCAAAGTCTCCAATAACAGAAAAAAGTCACTAGATTTGGTGCTAGGCGCTTTTTTTTTATAAAAGTGCTAGAGGGGTCTGAAAAGTCACTAAATATAATAACAAAAGCGCTAAGTTGGCAACACTTCTCTTTGCATCTTTTTTTTTCAAATGGTTTGCTGCTGTCTGTTTGGACCTTTCTGAACATGTGCAGCAAATGGACTGATTCAATATGGTGGACACGGTAGGGTGGGGGGGGCTGAGACACACTTAATATTAGAAGCGTTCTGGTGGCATTTTAGTGAAAGGATTTTTATCAAAAACATAATTAATGTGCACAAATAAGGAATAGTTGTATTAATCATACATGTAAACAGAGTTTTATGGGGCCCCCAGGAACTTGGGGCCCTAGGCAGCTGCCTAGTATTGCCTAATGGTAAATCCCCCCCTGATCAGCACAAACAAGTATTCACCTCAGCCCAGTTTAAAGCTTCGTATTAAAGGCGGGAAATACTTCAGTAAATATGATTTCTCAGTTTCCTACTTTTATGAATTTTGCAGCAACCTTGAAATTACTTTTTTTTTTTGCATTGACACAATGAGATATGTTGTGTATAAATTTGAGTTAGCAGATAGACCTAATAAAACAATTCGAATAAAGCTGTAACATAACAATATGTTGAAAAAAATGCAACACTAAATACTTCCTGTCTGCACTGTATCAAGTGTAAAATAGCCTGAAAACAGATGGCTGATTAATGAGATGAGGCGTAAAACAACCTACTGTCTACAAGAAAGAGCAGAGCAGATTTCGCTTTTAGAATGAGCTTCTGTCCTTTGACGCTTGTACGGAGTGAATTTTGTTCCATTATTCTTGTAAGCAAAGAATATGTTTTGTAAATTAAAATCTAGAAATAAAATGTTAAAAAAACTTCTAGATTAAAAAACTTTTGAGATTCGAGTTGCTGTACTCAACTTGTATTTCATTTTTAATGTTTTTGTTTTTCAGATTAATTTAAAAATCATTTATTTTTCTTTTTTCAGTATTTTATTATTTACATTTTTTCCCCCCAAATATCTCTTTTTCAGATTGCATTTTCCAGATCACATTCTCTTCAGTTCTGGGGGTAGGCTTTTCCTCTGAAAATGCTTTTCTATTGGTCTGATTGACAAAATGAAATTCAGAAAGAATGCAACTGATAAAACCCAGTCTGAAAAAAATAAAGTTTGAAAAAACAAATTTGAAAAAAAAAAATGTATATATTAAATATGAAGAAAAAAAATAATTAGAGAAACAGCTAAATTACTGTACAAACTTGATCAAAAAGATTTTCAAATTTTAAAGTTCTAATGCTAGATTGCATTTCTTTCAAATATCTTTTTATATAAACATTTTCTTTGCTGGCAAAAATAATGGGCTAAAATTCACTCCATACTTTGCTGCAAAAAGCAGCATTTTTACAGGCGCTCTGTAAGAGGATGCAAAGTCCTTTGTTGTTATTTGTTTGGATCAGGGTATCTGAATCTACTAGATTATAAAGAGGACTGGCTCTGGAAGAATTTGTGCAAAAAAAGGATTATTTTAAAAATTGAAAAACAAATCCAGAAAACAATAAGCATCCACTTCAGCACTGCCATGTGAAAGATTATCTTCAGTTAGAGGAGGTCCTTCTGCAGTCACCACTATCTACAGCAAATCTTTGAAGTGCAAAAGTGTTGTACAGATAAATACAAATTTCTTAAATTATGTGTATTTACTCTTCATTGGAGGAGGTAAATAAGTGTTTTTTTTTTCTCTTAAAATATGATGATTAGATAATATGCACTTGGAATAAGACAATGCCATTGTTTTTTTCTTATTTAAATGTAAATTGTCTTGCTACAATGACAAATTGTCTCATTTCCCTCCTTCATTCATGAATAAACACACTTATTTTAAGAAAAAACTTTTTTAGATTTCAATTTTTTCCAGTGAATAAAGCAGTATTTTTTCATGGAAGGTGTATTATTTGGGAGTGGTGGCCTAGTGCTTAGGACATAGAGCTTGGAATCCAGAGGTTCTGAGTTTGAGCCCCACTCCCACAGACTGCCACTCCCACTCTGGGTCCCTGAGCAAAGCCCCTTATCCCCCACTCTGCTCCCCAGGCGCTGCACAATGGCAGCCCTCAGCTCCCCAAGGGATGGGTTAAATGCAGAGGTAGATTTCTCCAATGTGAGATCAATGACGTTTAATTATTATTTCTTGGGAAAAGTGAACTGGTTCATCTAATTTGAGTAATTTGCCATCATTACCATAAAGCAGTGCTAATCATAGAATATGAACATGATTAAGAGTTTTGTTAGTGAAAAGAAAGGAAAAAAATCATTCTAATATAACTGGATTTAAAATGATAGGATACAGAAAAGACCCAACAGTCAGTTACCTGGACAGGTGACGAGGGAAGCTGCTCCCCCATCAGGCTAACATGTCATTCTGGTGTTTTTGATGATGTCCCATATAGAGCTCTCCTGGGTTTCTATTGTGTTTTTCCCCTGTTTTAAGGTCCAACTTTAAATTGGACGTATCTCTTTTAATTGCTGCACATTTCAACAGTTTTACCACGTTACCTTTGTAACAAGTTCCAATTACATGCTTTGTAAAGTAAGGTAATCTCTTTCTGTATCTCATGTTTATTACACATTACAGTTTTTCTATTAGTTTTATAATCTTAAGAATAAAGGAAGTTTACTTTTCAGACCATTATCTGGTCAGAATCTAATAAAATTCGGTTTTAGAGGAATTGTAGCATTTTTAAAGTGTCTGTTTTTTATTTTACTATGAATCGTACTGTAAACAAAACATCAAAATAATAATATATGTATTATTGTTGTATTTATTTTACAGCTGCTTGAATTCAGATTTTAATATTTAAAATTCTAGGAGTGTTTGTTTTTTAAGAATGGATAATTCATGACATGTGTTATTGATTTTGATCACAATTTAGGTAAACACTCATCATATGTATATTATGAACCCATATTCCTCAGTAAATTACATTATTTATGATTTTTCATGAAAGCTCTTGAAGAGAAATCAGGCATTCACTGCTTAGCTGAAGTATTTACACCTTTTAAATTCCTTCACAAATTCTAATACAAAAGCTGTCTGATTTTCTAAGTTTTATTCATAAAATAAATGAAAATAACTTCTACTTTCCTTTCTACTTTATCGTTAACAGTTGTGTTGCTATACTTATAACAATATCAGGATAATAATAAAAAAAAAGTTGTGCAAAAGTTTTTATTTTTGGACATAAAAGACATTTAAGACATTTCACCCCAGCGCTGCGTGTCCGGAGCCCGTAACGTCATCAATGACCCCTCACCCCCCCACCATGGACTGTTCTCCCTGCTGCCCTCTGGGAAGAGACTTCGAAGCATCCGATGCAGGTCCAGCAGATTCCATAACAGTTTCTTCCCCAGCGCCATTAGACAGCTAAATGTTGTATAAAATGGGGTTTATAAAAAACAACAACAACTGAATGTTGAAACTGTAAATCATTCACAGTTGTATGTTTACATTTTATCACTGGTGCACTTTAAAAAAGAAAATGTCTGAGAGCTGTATTGAATGAAATTTCTTGTTGTTTACACTTTGTGTTCAAAATGACAATAAAGTCTCTCTAAATCTAAGTCTTAAGTGTCTCAGCTGAAAAAAGTAATAAACCAATCAGATTGTTTTAAATCGGCCACTGAGCCTGGTTCTGCTGGAGGTTTCTTCCTGTTCAAGGGGAGTTTTTCCTCTCCACTGTCGCTAGAAACCTGCTTAGTGTGGAGATTGAGTTAATGAGTCCAATTGATAGAAAACTTTGAATCAATCTGGCTGGATGATCTGGTGAACTGTAAAGTGCTTTGAGATGACATGTATTGTGAATTGAATTAGATATAACTGTTGATTGAAATATTTTTTTTTCTCATTTGATGGCTTTAAAATTAAGAAGATGCAAGTTTTTTGGGGGAGGATACTATATTTTTTTCTGTTACCTGTAATAACTATGTTGAAAATCCTTATAAAACAGTTTAGTGAATTATTGCAGCTGCACATTTGTCCGCTTGGTTCATTTGATTTGCATCCCCTCATCCTTCCTCACCCGCTGCCACCAGCACCGTCACCTCGCAGCCTTTCTGCCCGACATTATCTTCATCCTGACTCCGCAGGAAAGGAGGCTGAAATGACGGATGCGAGCATGGAGGCGACACCCGGGGACGGTTTATTTACACCAGGAGAGCCGCTTTAAGTTGTGTCCCCCTCCCTCCTCTACTTTACTTTAACCGACCCCCCCCTCCCCTCCTCCTCCGCTGCTAGAAATTTATAAAGAACAAAAAATCCGCCGAGTGAGGAAGGGAGGGGGGGTTTGATATGCACCGAGGCTGAAACCGAGAGGCGAACCCAGGGAAAGAGGAGTAATCTCTACTCGGGACTTTCCCCCTCTTAGTGCCCCAAACGGAGGGGGAAAAGTCGCGCACTCGGCGGCGATCAGGAATGGGCATGTAAAGGCGTGGAAACGTCTGTAATTCTGGATACTTTATATATTTTTATTCCGAAAAAACATGGCCGAGAACGTTCTGGACTCTGGCCCGCCTTCAGCCAAGAGGCCTAAACTCTCATCTCCGGCACTTTCCGCTTCTGCCAGCGATGGAAACGGTAAGTTTGGATTTAACTGTTTTTCAGCAAACTTCACATTCTTCACAATTCTGGATTTTTTTCCAGCCGCGTGTTTCGCAGAAAGCGGGCAGCGAGGCGGGGTTATCTGCCTGTTTTTACCGTGGTTTGCTAGCGCTAGCCTGCTAGGAGAGAGTCGGACGTGAGGAAGGGCTCCGCTGTTAGCTCCCGTGCTAATAGCTAGCTTAGCCGCAGGAAGCTGCGTTAGCCACGGGGCTAACTCCAGGCTGTGGACTGCTCCACAGCTGACAGTTTGCTCCCTAATGGCTCCATCAGCCTGTTTGATGGAAATCTCCTTCCAGGGGGAAGTTGTGCTGAAGTTGCTGGAGCTGTTTGGTTGTGTCATGTTGACACTAGCGTAGACAGATGGATGTTCTCTGCTCTCTGTCTCCCTGAGCCGAGCTGTCGTTCAGCATGTTAGCCAAAGTAGACAGTTTAACATCATAATAGCTCAGTTTAGCCCAATGATTTTAAGTTATGCTTTGTTTAAAAATGTCATTTTTATAAATCTATATTTTCTTTGGTTGCTGGTGTGTGGCAACCATTAGAATAACGGCCTAGGAGATCTAGATCGCCATGATCCTGACACTTGTTAACAATGATCAGCACATGATTTATTCCTTTCCTCCAACCTTTATTCTTTTAATCAGCTGCACTACACGTTTCTAACAGGTTAGCACAGGATTTCCTTTTCCATCTAGATGTCATTTTCTTCTTTCTTGGTATGGATTATCTAGGTGATCTGCAGAGCTTGGAGGAAAATCTTTAGGTTGTGAGGATGCAATGATATGTACCTGCTGTGTGTGACAGTAGCATGCAGTGCAGTGGCTTGCAAAAACCAACCTCCAGCTACAGATGTCTAGCAGAGTAGTATATGATATTGAAGTGGAAATTAATGCAATGCATTACTTAATTTTTCATTAAAACCAATGCTTGTGGCGTGCATAGCGCTATTTATTCAAACAGCCCTATATAAACTCTAGTGCATATGACCTCCTCAAATAAAACCTGGTTTGATTATTTAACAGTAGCCAATCTCTGAATCCAACTCATCAACGACAAGATGTTTACCCTATATCTGGAAACAGCCCAAAAAAGCCGGAGCTACAGTGTTGTGGGTTATGATTAGAACTTTTTCATATGTTAGAATGTCCTAGTCAAAGTCCAGACCCAAGTCCAGTTCAAAAACTATGGCAAGACTAAAATAAAACTGTTATAACACTGTCAGTATATTCTGATATTTTGAGACTGGGGCAGATTTTGATTTCTAGCTACTTAGCTTCTAGCCAGAGCTATAACACTGAATCCCAGTAAGTGTTTAGTCTCCTGCCTTCATGTGCAGATGATATTGGAGTCTCATCCTTAATCCATAAGGCTCTATATGATGTTTCCCTCCCTATGCAGCTAGAACATATTCAGCAGTTCTGTGAACATTAGGAGCCTATCTATTGCTTTCAATCTTCACTAATTCATCCCAAAGTTGAAGATCAGGACTCTGTTTAGGCCAGTGAACCTCATCCACAACAAACTCTCTCCTCCATGTCTTGCTGCTCTGCTGCTTAGGGCCCCGTCATACCTTGATGACTTATCCAGCGTATGCGGGACGTCTCAGAATCTCCTAAAACGCTGGCATACACTGAACGTTGTATGTATTTTGTCAATTTTGGGCGTATACATAGTTTATTCATAACGAGTCCAGAAAATGTCCAACGACAGCCCAACTTATGCATAACGCACGGCATGCTTAATTCCATGGGCGTTGCGAAGCATCAGTTAAAGCTGCTCGGAGGCGCCTGGTCTGCATAAAAAGATGTGTTTGATCACAGTATTAACCTAGCTGCTGTTTACCACCCGCCCAAAAAAATTAATAAATACAAAGAAAGAAGGTCTGCAGTCGCAGCAGATTCAGCATCATGTCTGCTAGGGAGTTTGCTGGTCATGGGTGTGAACGCAGGGAGGATCCATCACACTCACCTTCTGGCTCACCCAATAATAAGCCATAAGTTACTTACCTGTAACTTATGGCCCACGTATGAGCATACGCTGGCATCTGACCCATAACTTATCCTACGTATGCCAGCGTTTTCGCCAGATTTTTCGTACATCAGGCATACGCTGGCTAAATCGTCAAGGTGTGACGGGGGCTTTAGTCATGGAAGAGAACTGTATCTGAAGTCTTCTGTTATGTTGAAGTATTCAGAGTTCAAAGAAGCTAAGGGACCAAGACCAGCTCCTGAAAAACAACCCCACACCATAATTATCCCTCCACCGAACTTTACCATTGGTGCCATAAACTCAAACCTGTACCGTTCAGGCGGTAGTCACCAAACGGACTCCCATGGTAACCGCTTCCATGATGCTCTTTACACACGATTCTTGAGCTGAGGGCTAAATGAAGTTCAAAGGTCTGTAGTGTTTGGCTCCTCAGAAAGTTGGTTACCTCTGTGCACTTTGCTAATAAGTCAATGTGAGAAATATTTATCCATGTTTATAAAACTCCTTCAATATAACATCTAAGAATTATATTCCTCAAGAAAACAAAACAGTTAAGAAATATCCGAAAAGTCGAATCCCTGTTACAGAATGAAATTATACTGTGATATTTATTGAATTGTTCATTCTGTGTGAAGAATGGGAATTGAGTTGTAGGAACGGTAATTAATAAGGTTTTTTTCACTTAAAGCAATGATAGTAAAGAAAAATACTATTTTTATACATCAAAAATCTATTTAAAGCTACAGTGTGTAATAATTACAGGGATATACAGTCAGAAATGTAATATATTATACATAACTATGTTATTTATCATCATCTACGAGCTCAGCCTCTTAACTTTAATATTTGCGTTGCCTTAGAATTCGTTATTTATAATTACATAGGAGCGGCTCTCGCAGCCATGGAGGCAGACATCTTTGCACTACGGCAGCGCAGAGCCAACAAACTAGCGATTGCGAGATCGCCCATTACGCTCGAAAGTAACTACGGCAAGTTGAGAGAGATGAACTGAGACGGTACTGAACACACAGACTAATGAAATACTATCTGTAAAATTATCTATGTAAACAAACCTCATCACTTGAGAAGGTAGGTGATGCGGACGTCGTGGAAGACATTTTGTTCCGTAACGCTCGCCGTACTGTTGGGGGGGAGAAGCGGTGGGGGGGAGATGTTCATGTTGCTGCGGTCTGCAGTCTGGACGTTAGATGTCGCTGAAAATTACACACTGTAGCTTTAATACTTTTCACCAATGTTCCCTCCATTTGCTATCCATTGTTGTTTTGCTTTATTAATGTTTCTTTTTTGTTTAAATGGAGATTTGCTTAACATTTTATTATCATATTGTCATTTCTATAATGTAAATGAAGAAAATAATGCGATATTGGCTTTAACAATCTGCCCAGAAATATTGGCAGCGGATCAGTTAGACCAGGGGTCTGCAAACCTCTGGGTTAGACTGTCGCAGTAATCGGCACACTTCTTAAGCTGGGCTTACGCTGCACGATTTATTATTTTTTTTTTTCCCTTTTCTTGTGGATTCTCCAGTTGTGCGAGGATTTTTAGATGGGGCCGAGTTTCAGCCTCATGGTACGTCCTGCGGCGTGTAGTATACAAGGGGTAACGAGGGGCGATTAGACTCTAATGACCACATCTAGGAATCGTGAAGTTGGGCGAAAATCAAACATGTTTGAAATTCGGGCGGCTGTAATAAGGTGTTCATGAAAAAGTCCTGCTTTCGCAGCAGATCTATGAGCTGATTTACCAGAACCTCATGCACTGTGCAAACATCGGAGTTCTTCTTCTTTTTCCAGATTGACAAGTCCGACCAACGCCAGCGCTGAACAAAAAAAACATAAATTTTGAATCTGATGTAGCTGCACAGTTTGAGAACATGAATCGTTAGCTGCAAAATTTTAAACTCTTCCGTTTCGTCGTACAATTTGAGCTATAGCTTCGTGCAACAATTGAAAAATTTGCACAGTGTATGCCCAATTAAAGGACCTCTATCAATCTCTGCATGTCTGCTGTGTTTTAATCTGAAAAAGAAATAAAAAAAGGTGCATTTTTGTTTTTTTGTTATGACGTGAGGAATACTTTTTTCATTACTTGAAGGAGAACTGGATAGTAATTAAATAGCAATATACAACAATCTAATTTGTTTTTTATGTGTTTTTTTTTTTTTATAACTACTTTCTCATATGTTGGAGTTTTATAAACGTGGCAAAATGAATGTTTTTTTTTTTTTGTTCAGGCATGTATTGGAAGTCTTCAAGACTTTTCTTTATATCTATAGAAATTATATTGAGTTGATGGAAATGAAGAAAGATGTCATGTATTGATAATGGGGTAACTGTAACTAATTAGTAGAGGATTTTGGGCATCATGTGGAAACTTTTAGAAATTACAGCCGTTTTTTTTTCTTCCTCCTCGTCTGCAGAGCCGCTTTTGATCCACGTCATTTGGGAGGTTGGGTTTTTTTTTAAAACACGTTTATTTACTCGTCGCATGTATTTGTTCATGCAGGGACAGGGTAGCGGATCGTACTTCTTAATTTGTGTTAAATTTGGATGATAATTTATTTTTATCTAATAATTCATTACATTTTTACTTTACCTGTGGTAAATTGACTGATAGCTGTGTTTTAGTATGAGGCTGGAGCCTTTTTGATTTCCTTTTTAGAATCGTCACCATTTATTTTTTTCTCCTAATTTCAGATTTTGGGACGCTGCTAGATTTGGAGCATGATCTCCCAGATGAACTTATCATCCCCAGTGAGCCGGTTCTGGTGAATGACGGGGACCTTAACCAGCTGAGCAGCACCTTGGGAAGAGGACCTGGAGGCGGCAATGGGACCGCAGGAGGAATGGGGCTTGGGTTCGGCTCAGGAGGGGAACCTGGGGGTGTTGTTGGGGGCCAAGATGCCGTGGCTAAGCACAAGCAGCTGTCGGAGCTTTTGCGGACATCCACCTCAAGTCAACAAGGGCATCAAGGAGCAATGGGCGGCTCTGGCGGCCCTTCGGCGATGGCGCAACACTTAGCCAACCTGAAGGCATCGTCAGGTCAAGGGCCCCAGCAGATGATGGGGCAGCAGAAGCACCTCTCCCCACAGCAGCAGGCTAACATGATGCAGGGCCAACAGCCTGGAATGATGGGCAACAGAGGCATGATGGGCATGCAGCAGAAAGCCAATAACGGACAGCAGCAGCCGGGTATGATTGGGAATCAGGTGATGAACGGCTCCCCCAGGATGGGCTTCAGTAATCAGGGGATGGCCGGCAGCGGCAACATGTTGGCCGACAATCTCCAGCAGCAGGGACCCGGAGGGCTGAGGGGGCAACAGCACGGAGCGATGAACAAGGTAGGCCAAGCGTCCATGTGATCCATATTGGTGCTGGGAATTATCCCTTACATGTAAAATCAGTTTCAGTCTAAAGTTTAACCGTTCGTCCTTCTATTTTCAGGTTCATATTTTTTGTATTTTAATCAATCTTGAAAGAATCTATTGCTTTATTTAGCCTCTGGAGTTTTGAAAAATGACCCATTTAGCCTTTAAGGCAGCCAAATGTCTATGGAGTGAACTCTGTTCCATTGGTATTAAAGCAAAGAACACATTTTGTGAATTAAAATCTGATAAAAAAAAAAAAAAGAATCCAGAAATGAAACTTTGAAAAAGATGTTTTAATAAAAAAAACCTAACTTTAATATTTTTAAATTGTGTTTTTTGGGGTTGCACGTTGGGAGTTTGTTGTAGTTTAGCGTTATTGCCTCACAGCTATACGGTTCTGGGTTTGATTCCTGGCCCGGGGTCTTTTTGCATGGAGTCTGCATGTTCTTGCTGTGCATAACAGGGTTCTCTTTGGGTTCGAATCTGGCCTGTGGTCCTTTCCCACAGGGCTATCCCCCTCTCTCATACCGCCTTTCCTGTCAGCCTACTGTTTATTAAAAATCCCGATATATCCATAAATCGATTTTATTTATTTTTTTCTTCCCCCACACTCCTATCACACTACCCGGTAGCGGGCCACTGTCACAACAAATCCCATTGTGTTTTGCGAGGAGAGCTCTAGTTGGACACTCATTTAAAATGGCGTAACCACTTTATAGTGATTGGGGCGGACACTCAGACACAGCCTAGGCGTAAGTGTGTGTCTCTGAGTTGTCCTATGATGGACTGGCCACCTGTACAGGGTGTGTCCCGCTATTCACCCATAGACTGCTGGAGATGAGCACCATGTTCCTGACAGATGAAGTTGCATTTTTTCATTTTTTTGTTTGTTTTTTTTGTTTTTTACAGATTTTATACTTTGAAATGTTTCCTTTTAAATTGTTTTTACAGAATTTATATATATATTTTTTTTCCATATTTCTGTTTTATCAGATTTCATTTTAAAAATGTTCACTCTTATCAAATGGACTTTTACGGATCACATTCTCTTCACTTTAAGCCTTATGCAAAGGTTGTTGCTAACATCCAGCAGACCAGAAGAGAATGTGATCTGTAAATCACAATTTGCAAAACGTATTCACACCATATATGTCAAAGCAACATGTTTTTTAGTTGAAAATGTAACATGCTAAATGGACCTGTATCAGAAAACAACCTGTATCCAGCCAGCCCACAAATCCTCCTCGTTAAAGCTCTGCTAGGCTCATCCATACCTCCCAGCTAGCTCTGCTTCTGTACCTTTTCATCAGGCTTAGATGTGATTCACTGCGAACCTTCGCATGGACTCAGATTTGTATTTATTTATTTTATGATTTTTGTTGGATGTCTGTGTAGAGGCCAAACATTGTAAACCTGTTCAAAGGGAAGGGCTGAAAACAGCAGATGAACAAGATGCTGAGTCAGATCAAGAGGATAAGAATAAAACTAACATTTATTTTAAAGAAATGCATGTTTGGGGGATCTGCTTGTTTTCTGGTTCTGATAAAAAAAAAAAAAAAAAGTGATTTTTTTTTTTTTTTTTTTCCGTCTTTAATAGGAGGGTTACAATCTAGAGATGGTCTGATACACCATATGGACAACTTTAGTTTTGTTTTTCTGGCCAATATTTACATGTTTCTCTTTTTTTTTTTTCTTTTTTGGGTGACGTGGTACAATATCTGCAGATTTTGAATGATTTATTACTTCATCCAGCAGCCATGCCTTTAGATCACCTAAGGTGCATGCATTGCCGCTCCCTGCATGATTTGTTTGATCTGTTAAGAAAGGTTTCTTTTATGTTTGAATTCAGACTTGTGCAACATCAGGTTGTTTTAACGTGTAAATGAATGGTAACGAAGCAACAGCAGCTCTAAGAATTGGCCCAAAAATATCAGCAGCATGTATCTGGAATCAGTTAGACTGACTAACCCCAATCAAAAAAAGACTCTTATAGATATTGTAAAAGAGATATAGATTAGCATTATATAGATTAGCATTTCTGAGTCAACTGGTTAAAAAAAAAAAAAAACTGCAATCAAAACACCAATCAGTTTAGAGGGGATTTAAGCAAAAATATTAAATCTACACACAATTCAAATTATGTGTCTTTATAAATGCACTTTTCTGATTGATAAAAAGAATTTTTAAAGATATAGTGGAGGATGTTTTTTTACCAGATGGATCATCAAAATAAGTGTTCTTCCTAATTTTTTATCATTGTGGTGATTGTTTATGTAAGGCCGTCCCACGTGCTCGTCCCTATTTTTATTTACCGGTGGTGAGTCTGACATAGTAGAAAAATTGCAAATCTTTTGGAAAGTAAGCTTGTATTACCGATGCAAACAGTAACTTTTAAACAGTGTGCACAAGGAGAAATGGGCTCGTGCACGCTCTTGCACGCGTCTAATAGGCGTTTTCTTCAACAAGAAGTTCCCCACTAAACCAGATGGTGGCAGCAGGGACTATTGAAAGCCTCAGCATCAGACTCAAAAAGTCCCGAGGAATTATACTAAAGAAAAAAACAAAAGAAAATAGAAAACTGTTGGTTTGTTTGCAGGATCAATTGAAAACTTCTGAACTGATTTGGAGGAAATGTTTTCCATGAGGCGCGCCTAATGCAAAGCAACGATTAATTTACATTTGGTAATGATCCAGATCATGTGTGAGTTTTAGCTATAGGTGTAAGTCACAATTTGGGGCAAAAATTGCTGCTTGGTGGAGGTCTGTGCTCTCCTGGTGCTTTTCGACTTTTGTTGCTTTTAGATTTGAAGCTGTACTGAAATAAAATACACCTCATAGCTTTCATTCAGTCTTTTTATGTTTGAACTAGACGGCCAATGGTAATATAATGTAAACAGGAACAGCGGAAATCCCGCCATACTGAAATGTCAAACTAATTACCAACACTGAGGAAAAAGTAGTTTATGCTTCTTTTTTTTTTCTTCTGTTATCGCTGCATCATTTTATAAAAGCCCAGGGTTATTTCTGGGAAGAGCAAAAACAATGAACTTTGATAAATCCCAGTATGGCGAGTGGTGTTACCATCAGCCACATTAGCCTAAACAGAGCGAGCCCCACTGGTTGGTTTAATTGTTTCACTATTAAGTAGCTGACTGAGCTACTGCTTCACAATTTTATTCATACAGCAGTAAACCGTTGATTTTGTTGACTAAAACCTCACAATAAGCTTTAGTGTTTTTTATATGAGCAACCTAGCGAAACCAAACTTTCAAACTGTCTGCAGAGGTTTTCACCTCCATAGTGGAGCGTACCATTTTCCTACATTTCTTGTGACGTATTCCTACAGTTTCCACATGTCCTCTCTGCAATTTCAGTTTGGCGCTACAGTTGTCTCGGTGTAATGGTCTTATGTGTCAGAAATCATATTCATATAGCACAAGACAGAAAAACCAAAATTTGGAGAAAAAAGTAAAAGTATTACATCTTTAAAGAAAACAAAAAGAATACAAGAAAATGTGAAAAATTATATCTGTAGAATTTATTTTAGAAAGAATGAAATTAAAAAAGTTACCATCAAACCCTATTTTTTTTTTTTTGGAATGGAACCTTTTTTAAAGTTTTCTTTCTGAAATTGCATTTTCATCAGATTTCCATTTACAAAATGTCTTCTTTGTTTATAACAATAATGGAACAAAATTCGCTTCATAGTTCGCCTCTCATGATGCAAAACAAATTATCACCAAAAACTGAAGAAGCACAAGTTGGTGCACGAACTGAAATATAAGTAAGTCAGTTTTCCCTTTGGTTTTAGCAGCTAAATAAGACACATTTCCAGTAAAGTCATTTTGAAAAATCACTTCATTATCTTATTTTAAGTTCATAACATCCAATTATCTGATTTTAAGGGCAGAAATACTCATTCTACCGACAAATCATATATACCAGCTCCAGGCTTTTACCTGGGAATATTTCATGGGTGTTATACACCCATGAAATATTCCGGGGGGTATCCTCCCCCGGATAATTTTGAAACGTAAACTCTGAAACCCTATTTCCTGCATTTTGAGGTGGAATGAACTACTGTTGTTAGTGTTGTTCAGGGATTTGGTGCAAACTGCAGGCACCAGGATAATAAAAACAAACATATTTTACTGGCAGGTTTTGATATTTTAAGTTAAATCAGGCATTAATAAACGGTTTCAGAGGAGTGATCATAGAGGAGCTGTGTCTGTCTTCCTGCCAGCTCACAGATCAGCTTCTCTGATTGGTTAATGTGGCATGTTAAGCAGCAAAAATCCATTTCTCCAAATCCAGCAGCTGCTGCTTTGAGCGAAGTTCCAGGGGAAAATTAGGACACACAATTTCTTTTTTTTAGTAGTAGTTTACAATGTATGGCTGTAAGCATTACTAGCTTAAAGCATGACCGGCTCAAATTAAGAGCAGATACACCAGGGGTCTGCAACCTGCGGCTCCACATGTTGCTCTTTGGACCCTCTCCAGCGGCTCTTCATAGTGGCTAAAATGTATATAAAGAGCTTAATAATGTATTATAATAAATACCAGTATTAAAAGCTTTAGTGTTTTTTATAAGATGGAAAAGAATGAGATTTAAAAAAAACAGAAATATTTTTAAGAGCAATTTTCTTTTAATTAGCTTGGAAATTATGTTATATTATTATTTATTATGTAATATTATTTTAAATGCTAAAAATACATAAATTGTTGATTGTTTAAGATGGCAACTAATTTCCTATATAAGATAAAAAAAAGGTCATTTTATATTTGTATGGCTTTTACCTGGTTGGACTTGGGGCAAAACGGTTCTTTGGATATGAAAGGTTGCAAAACCCTGAGATACGTAGGGCTGCAACTAACGATTATTTTAAAAATCGATGAATCAGCCGATTATTTTTTCGATTAATCGATGAATCGGACAAAAAATATTTTTTATATTAACCTCTTTATTCCAAAATAAACATTTTAGACAGAACAAACAAGCACACAAGTACAGGTTTCTCATTAACTGTACTGGTGCTATATGAAAAATAAATGTTTGTGTTAAAACTACGCAAACTTACATGAGAAATGTTGCTGTACATCCACAAAATATAGGTTACTTTGTTTCATAAAGCGCAAAAAGAGACAGGCATTTTTGTTTTTAAAGCCCCTAAGGGGTTCAAACCCCCCCATTTCAACAAATGAGTTTTTTTTTTAGACTAGAAGAGTTCTGCCTTTTAAGACAGGAAAGTATAGCAGTTAAAGTTGCTGCTTGAGAAAATACTGAACCATAGAGATAAAAATAGCCTGTGATTCAAATTATAAATTGTATTTGGAATAAAAATGAGAGAACTAGGGGTGCTAAAAAACACATCCTCCAAAAACAGATATTTACATGGGAATGTGGCATATAATTAATTGACATATTTCTGATCTTGCTGGATTTTATTCTGCTTTATTTCCATAAATTACAGGATCTTTACTTTATCTTTGCCAGAAGATTTAAACTTTAAAAGCCTTGCCCTCATAATTTGCAAGTTAATTTATTTATAAAGTAAAAATAAACGCTGCTTAAGCTAATTCAAATGAAATTAAAAGTAAAATAGGTAGCCAACCTTATCCCTGTCTGTAACCTACTAACTCGGTAAGGAAAGCATCAGATGAGCTACCTGAGAAACTAACGTTACGTTTCCCCACTTTAAAACCAAACAAGCATGGCCGCTCACCCTGCTGATCAGCTCTCTTCACTGCCATTGAAGGCTCCAACGTGTTTTCTTTTCAGGTGCTGCGTCATAACAGTGGTGCTTCCGTGTTATGTTAGTTTGTTTTTACAAAAGTTGCATGTTACGACTTTTTTCACTTTACAAAGCGCAGGCTATTTTAATTATTGTGATCAATTTGCGCCGTTAATCCCGGCGCATGCGCGCTTCATTTGCAGTCTGGACGCTGAGGGTAAACTCCTCACTAAAATCCTGCGGCTCTGACTGCAGCACTGAGAGGGATTCCTGTGGGAGAGGGAGAAAGGCGTTGGAATGGGGGAGGCGCCCCACGGCAGGCAAAAGCCGCCAGTGACACCGTAAAAAGTCGCCAGATTTGTCGCTAGTCGCTTTTTTGAAAAATAGTCGCTGGAGGGGTCTGAAAAGTAGCTGAGTTGGCAACACTGCAACTGCGGCGCTGACTCGCTCCGCCATATTTTTTTTCTTCCCCCGGATGACGGCGGCGGATGACGCATTAATCGCGCGACACAACTAATCGATGACTAAATTCGTTGCCAACGCTTTTAAAAGTCGATTTTATCAATTCGTTGTTGCAGCCCTAGAGATACACTTATTTGATTTGCTGTGAAACCCTTAATAATTATACTAAATCTGACTGAGTTCCTTCTGGACTCAATCGACACCAAAATGCATCAAGAACCAGAGCGCATGTAACCTAAAGGTTGGTTTGAAAAAGATCTCACTGTAAATTCTCCCTTTTGAACCCATCTACTGCCATTTCAGTATTCAAACCCCTACATGCATATGAACACTATTGAATATCCTCATACTTGATTATTATTCAGATCAGATTTACTTTTATAGGCCAATTCACAAACATCTCAAGGAACTTTAGAGACAGTGCTGACAGATTGGTGAAGTTTCTATTTAAGGAAACTCTGCTGATCCAGTCATGTTCGCTTGCTTTAAGTTGTTGACTTTACAGTACTCACTGCTCTTTCTCTTCTGACCTTTCTTCTTCCAGCCTGGAATGATGGGCGGCCCGGGGGGCTCATTTGGAGCTCCATACGGTGGTCAAGGAGGTCAAGGTCTAGGAGCCGCAGGGCTGAGCTCTCAACTCCAGAACAAGTCTCCGTTGGGTAACAGCCTGGCCCAGTTCGGTGTGGACAAGAAGAACCAGCCACTGCAAGGAATGAGTGCCATGGTAAGGCAATGACAGATTTAACAATGCTGAACCAAACCGCTTCATTATTTCCTGCCTCCTCTTTGGCCTTTATTATTGTTTTAATCCTCTCACAGACCACAACTTTTTTATTTTTCCTCCTTCTGTTTCTTGGTCACCAAGCAGTCACAGACAGGTGTAGGTGGTCCAGCAGGTGCACCTGTGGGAGGAGCACAAGGTATGGTCCCCAGCGCGCAGGCAGGTCTAGCAGGATACAACCCCCAAGCCTCTGCGGCATCCGCTGCAGCCGGAGCGCCTCCTACAGCCGACCCTGAGAAGCGCAAGCTGATCCAGCAGCAGCTGGTTCTCCTACTTCATGCACATAAGTGCCAGCGGCGAGAGCAGGCCAATGGGGAGGTTCGACCCTGCAACCTGCCCCACTGTCGCACCATGAAGAATGTCCTGAACCACATGACCCACTGCCAGGCTGGCAAGTCCTGCCAAGGTGAGGCGTAGGAGCTGATGCTTTATACACTACTGGCAGCTATGCTCTAGGTGACATGTTGTAATGGTTATTGCGACACCCAGCGGTTGATACAAAACATAAAGGGAGACAAAGGTCTGACATTTTTTCTTTTAAGGGGTCATAAACGGACCGGACCTCAGCAGAGAGCCATGATCAAAAATACAATAAAATAGAAATCTATAAGAAAAAGAAGTTTAAAAAACAATAAAAAAATACCCAAACAAAACAACAGCCCATTTCACCATCAATTAAATGCCAAAATAAAAATAAAATAAAAGAAATCAATGCGCCACTCCTAAAAAAGAAAATTGGTTATTTAGTAATTTTAGAAGAAAGAAGAACACTTTTTTTCCAATGTGAGACTTGGGTGTGGGGCGGCTTCCCTCCACCTCAACAATCAAGCTTTGTGCCAACGATGTAGAAAATGCAATGAGTTCTTGACTTCCTGCCAGAAGTTCCAGGCCATCAGCATTGACCCCTAATTTAAAAAAAAAATAAAGCAGATTAGGTGTTATTTTTACTAGAAATGTGCAAGAAAACGCCTCAAAAGCTCCTACCAAGAATTGTTGTATTTAACAAAACTGAAAGATGTGAATCAAAATAGCCGAAACCCATCAGCATCTTTCACAGGATTGATCTAATTCAAGATTTGTCTTTCCCAGTTTTGATTTACCTTGATTCCAACTAGGGCTGGGCGATATGGAAAAAAAACTATATCACGATATGGATTATTTTGTATCACGATAACAATATATATCACGATATACCACAACTGATGTTGCATTTTATGTTTTTTCATAGTCCGTCAGATGGACAGGGTTGAAAAAAATCTTTCATCGCCTATTTTTTACCCATCATCTTGTTTCCTAATATGAGAATCCCAACCCCAAACCAAGAACACCAGTTATGCAATTTGCGGCCATGACAGTGAACAGTATAGAATCTTGGCTATGGCACTGCAGTAATTAATCATTTAATATTCGTTTGTTATTGACATTTGATAAAATTCCAAGGCAAGGTTTTTCTCTTGTCTTTCATTTACCTTGTTTTCCACTAGGAGGCGCCTCGCCTATTTAAGAAGAAATGTGTCTGCACTGGTAATTATATGGTCCCGAAAGCTGTCTTTCTCGACTATGTAAACGGGGGCCATGCCTTTACAGATATAGCGTGAAATAGCACCTGTGATCTGCTTGAGTCGCTGAGACGTCTTCTCATATTGTGATCCTTGGGCGAATGCTTCCTTAAGCTTCGGCTGTGAGAATTTCTTTCCAGTACTTCCTGTATTTTCATCCCTTGTTTGTTTTGATCGGAGTGGTTGTAGTTTCCCGTGTTCTTGTTCATGATTTTTCTTCAGGTGGTAAAAGAGGCCGGAAGTATTTGCATCAGCCGCTGGAACGGCTTTGCTGCACAGTTTACATATCGGCTGCGTTTGTTCTTTATCAGATGGCTGAAATCCAAAATATAACCAAACACCCGAGCTGCCTCCCCTTTTGGGCAAAAGTGGTGTTTGTTGTGTCTGTGACCTGGCAACCGTTTCGGACTCTGTAACCGCTGCTGTGGTAACATCTTCTTGGGTGTCCATCATTCATTTTTTTTCAAGCCAGAAAGAAATTTCGCGGGCTCTCTCCATTAGTAATGTTGCAAACGTATGGTGCAAAGCCACGTGACGTAAAGCGGTGTAGTGTCGCAAAATGTTATATTAACAAATTATATTAAAATGTATATTAGCAGTAATAATTATAATAAAAAAGTTTATCACGATAGAAAAAATAGAGGAGAAAGGTCACGATAGACATGTTTCTCTCGTCCTCACGATATATATCGCCATATCGCCCAGCTCTAATTCCAACATTTATACCATCCTTTATGTCCCCCCCCACCCGCTGCAGTGGCTCACTGCGCCTCCTCCAGACAGATTATCTCCCACTGGAAGAACTGTACGCGGCACGACTGTCCTGTTTGCCTGCCGCTGAAGAATGCCGGGGACAAGAGGAACCCGCAGTGTGAGTGTCTGTATCTGACCAAGCAACATATTTAATATATTTGGTTATTTTCACTGCATTGATCTCATTTTTAACAGTTATGTAGGTTTACAGGCTAAGATTGATCAGATTTGATTAGTAATGGATTAGAACCAACAACCTCTGTATTTTTGCCTCTCTTTTATAATCTGCAGTATTTATTTAGTTTAGTGATTGCTTAGTTTTTTTATCAAAGAAAAGAAATGTGCAGTAATTCTTTTTTCTGTAAAAATAAATCAGATGTATTTATTATAAAAAAGAAATATTAATTATTTATTAACATATTTTTTATAAAAAGAAATCTGGAGTATTTTTTTTTTAGGGTTAAGCATAAGAGGTCTATATATTATTTAGAAATCACAGATTTTTTTTGTTTTTCTTTGAAAGCTGTTCATCAGAAGGGATCCATTATCTGATCCGTTCTTCTTCTCCTTCACACAGCTCTGCTAAGCGTAGCCAGTTCAGGACTGGGAAGCTCACTTTGTCCCGTTCCTGGTGGCCAGCCCAGTACGCCGAACATCACCCCACCCAGTCAGATCGACCCCAGCTCAATAGAAAGAGCCTACGCCGCCCTGGGGCTCACCTACCAGGGAAACCAGATCCAGGGTCAGACTGGTCAGCCCAACATGCCCAACCAGGGCCAGGCTGGCATGAGGCCTCTCAATACAATGGGTACGACGGATTAGAGCTTATCTGCTGCTCATCTTGTTTCAGAATAAAAGAATTGTGTAAAAATAAATCAAACATATTCTTATCTAAACCTTGTTGTAGACTCAACAAAATCACATTCAAAATCCAGATTGCTCAGGACAATCATGTATTCCACTTTATTCTTCTACAGGTGTCAATCAGATCGGAGTAAACGGCAGTGTTGGTGCCTCCCCTCAGAGTCAACAAGGCAGTTTACTGCAGGACGCCATGATGCATAGTAACGTGAATAACCTAAGGTAAGAAATACCGAGCAAAATTCCTCACAGCATCATTAGAAACTGCAAAAGCAGCTGTTTGGCAAGCACTTTACCTCAAGCTTAAACTGTCCTTTTAGCTTGATGAATGATGCTGTAGGAATCGGATCGATGCCTACGGCGGCCCCTCCCTCTGCCACGGGTATAAAGAAAGGTTGGCATGAAGACATCACACAGGATCTCCGAAACCACCTGGTACACAAGCTGTAAGTACAAGAAAAAAATAACTTCTTCTCCAGAACGGTTCACGCGCTTTAAGCTTTTCTACATAATGTAGATCTGAGTTTCTCTTATTAGGATTTTATTTCATGAGCAAACAGAAAGAAAGTGGATTGCAAACAGGGATCAGTTCATATTTGAACCTAATTTTCAGTAGTTCTGTGTGGTGAAATTCTAATATTACATTTCTGATCAAAGTTAAGATCAGAAATGATCATAACTTTGATCATGTTTTTGCGAAATCTTGTGCCGCTGCATAAGCTTCATCAGGTTAGAGGTGTTTCTTCGCTGGTCGTGCAATATAGTCGGCACCTGAATAGGGCGGAGCCTTGCTTTTTATTAGCCATGCTTGTTCTGTCGACTCTAGCAGCGGCTTCTGACTTTTTTTTTTTTGGGACTAAATAATTCATTCCCATCAAAGCCGATATTTTATAGAACCAACTTTTTACTTGAATATCCACCGCGACTTTCTGAGTATGTTTACTACAGCCTTACACATCAGGAGACTGTAAATTTAAATATTTTTGGCAAATCAGAATAAACAGATGGTGTCTGATCTAAAGGTTTTTAAGTGAGTTCTATTTCATCCCTACTGACCGCCAGAGGGCGGTGCTGAAAGCACTGAATGTTCCCTTCGGGCATGCGCAGTCCGAGTAATTATACCAACAGAGTCACACCTGTGACACCGGATGACCACTCAGAAGCTATATAGCCTGGTGTCATCCTTTGCTCTGCTCCTTTTTTCTTCTCGCAAGCGGTTCGCTAACTTCCCCGTTGTCTGAAGCCCCTGTCTCTTGACCGGAGTTGCGGTTATTCTCCGCCCTCCCAGGGCTGCAACGGGTCGATTCTGAGGATTACGGAAGGTAAGTGAGTTGTTTGCTGGTGATGGTAGCGTCCGCGCCCCCTCTCCCGGCTCACGACTTTAGCTTTTTACCTACAGCTTCGTGCTGTTTTGTTTCGAACTGGTGACGGCAGCGTTTTCGCCCCTACTCCCAGTGTGAATAACTTCACTGCCGAAGTTATATACGGCTAACGTAGTTAGCTTCTTTAGTTTGTTGGTGTTATACCTGGTGACGGCAGCGGTTTTCGCCCCCTCTCCCAGTATATTCCCTACTTTTGCATCCTTTTTTTCACCGGTCTGCGCTGCTATAATTACTGACGGCCGCGGTTTTCGCCTCCTCTCCCAACCAAGTGTGGTCTACTTCGTTTGCCGAAGTTGGAGACGGCTAACGTTGTTAGCCTTTTTTGGTTTGTTGCAGCCTTCTTCATCGGTCTGCTTAGTTATAAATGGTGACGGCAGCGTTTTTGCCCCCTCTACCAATATCAACCTTTTTTGCAGCCTTTTCGTTGGTCTGCTCTCTTAATTGGTGACGGCAGCGTTTATCGCTCCTACTCCCAACTTAAGTTGCCATACAGCTAACGTTGTTAGCTTTTTTTGTTTATTGCTTTTATACCTGGCGACGGTAGCGGTTCTCGCCCCCTCTCCCAGTATCGGCCGCCTTGTGTCCGCAGCCTCTCTTTTTTTATCCGCTATAATTGGTGACGGCAGCGTTGTTCGCTCCTACTCCCAACTTAAGTTTCCATACAGCTAACGTTGTTAGCTTTTTTTGTTTATTGCTTTTATACCTGGTGACGGTAGCGGTTCTCGCCCCCCCTCCCAGTATCGGCTGCCTTGTGCTCGCAGCCTCTTTCGTTTCTCTGCTGTAATTGGTGACGGCTGCGTTTGCGCCCCCTCTCCCGATTTTCGATAACTTTCTGTTCTTTAAGCCTTGTCGGCCTTCGACATGGATGGCTCTCACAGCTGCATAGATTGTGGGGCTGCCCTGCAGGCAGAGGATGGCCACGACCTGTGCCCTACCTGCCTTGGACATGAGCACCTTTTGGAGGCGCTGTCTGAGAACCCCTGTATGAACTGCAGCTTTATGCCCCATGCAGTGAGGGTGGCCCGGTTGGCCCAGTTGTGCCCCCAGGAGGGCTCGGACCTTCCGCCCTCTGGGCAGGTGGTTCCCCCCAAGCGTTCTAAGCGCCGTGGTGGGACCACAGCATCTGTGCCTCTCCCCCGGAGGAAGCGGGCCAAACCTGACCAGGGCCTGTCCACAAGTGTGGAGCAGTTGTCAGCAGAGCTGGCAGAGATGAAGTCCTTGTTGCAGACACGGCAATCTGATCCCTCGCTCCCAGTTGTTGGGCTCTCTTCCCCACCAATGCCCGAGCTGGTTGTAGAGGATGACGTTATCTCTCTGGCTGCTTCCGCTTCTCATTTTAGAGATGAGGAGGAGGCAGGGTCCTCTCAAGCCTCTGAGGCTGGTTCATTTTCATCTCAGAGTGCGGTTGGAGAGGCCGGTGACGGTTCCATGCGGGAGGTCATGTCTATGGCCCTGAAGCAGCTGCAGCTGGAACTCCCACAAGGAGAGGCATCCAGCTCCGGCAGTGCTTTTTTCAGACGTGGAAGGGCTCCTACTCCTTTTTCTGTACCTCCATCAGAGGAGTACTTGAAGGAATTACACGCCTGTTGGCGGGAACCGAGAGCGCTGTCGCGTCTCTCCTCAGATGGTCGTGTATTAGCTGCCATGCATGAGTCGGTGAAGGCCGGCCTGGACCGTATGCCAGCAATTGAACCAGCTGTTGCTTCACTGATTGTGTCACCAGATGAAGCCCTGCGTCCTGATGTCCGGTGCCCGCGGACTCAATGTCGGGTTACAGATGACCTCCTCTGTAAGGCGTACAATGCAGGAGCGCGTGCTGGCCGCCTTGGCAATTCTCTGGCGCACCTCATGTTTGCTCTGTCTGCATCTGTTCAGGACACTGGTGGTGCAAGTGCGTCGGTTGGTTATAGTGACGCAGCGCTGCAGGCCTTCGCGCTGATGACCAGAGAGCTTGGACGGGTCATGTCTTTCCTTGTCCAAGCTCGTAGACAGGTCTGGTTGGCACAGTCTCCTCTGACTGAAGCATGCCGTAGGACCCTCAGGGGTGTCCCGGTTGTACCAGGGGAGCTGTTTGGATCAGCTGCCTTGGATGCGCTGGAACGGACTGCTCAGGCACGTCAGACTAGCCAGCAGCTTTCCGGCCTTCGCAGGAGCATACCTGCCTTTCCCGAGCGTTCGGGCCGCCCTGCCACTACCCCCAGCGTTCAGCCACGACCTCAGACTGGTGGCAGACCTGTTGGTTCCTATCCCCATGATGTGCGGCAGAGACCGAGGAGGGACTTTCGTGAGCCAGTCTGCCGCCCTGTTGGACAGACCCGGGCCTCAAATCCTGGACGCCCTCCCCCCAGAGCCCCCAGGGGCCGTGGGGATAGAAGATGATGCCACCGGGCCAGCCGTCTGACATTTTTCCCATCAGCAGCTGAATTTCTGGGCTGCTCATGCCGTAGATCCATGGGTGGTTGCCACCTTAACCAATGGCTACAGGCTCCAGTTCTGACGGCGGCCCCCCCTCTCACACCGGGTCAAGATGACTGTCATCACAGACCCGGTGAAATCTCAGGCACTAGACCAGGAGCTTTCCGCCCTCCTGGGCAAGGGGGCAATCGAGTCTGTAGATCCTCTGCGGCAACCCAGGGGCTACTACTCCACATACTTCCTTGTGGCCAAGAAGACCGGCGGTTTTCGCCCCATTTTAGATCTAAGGGGACTGAATCGGTACCTGAAGGTCCTTCCCTTCCACATGCTCACCATAACAGAGGTCCTTCAGACCATTGTGGCAGGAGATTGGTTTACATCAGTAGATCTGACAGACGCCTACTTTCACATGCCTATTGCGGCAGAACATCGCCGTTTTCTCAGGTTTGCCTATCGGGGGCGCCATTGGCAATTCCGATTGCTCCCATTCGGGCTCTCCCTTTCCCCGAGGGTGTTTACTCGATGCGTGAAAGCAGCCCTCTCTCCTCTACAGGCCTCCGGAGTCAGGATTCTGCCATACCTGGACGATTGGCTTCTTTGTGCTCCCTCTCAGGTAGCTGCCTCTCGGGATACGTCCCAGCTTCTACTTCATGTGTCACTGTTAGGCCTCAAAGTCAACTTGGCAAAGAGTTGTCTTGTTCCATCTCAGACAACCACCTTTCTTGGGATGCATCTGGACTCTGCTACCATGATGGCCCGTCCATCTGTTCACAGGGTGGACGACATACTCCAGCTTGTCCGTCGATTCAGACTGGGCAGGGAGTTTCCCTACATCATCTTCCTGCGAATGCTGGGCAAACTGACATCAGTCACTCGTGTCGTGCCCTTAGGGCTGCTCCTTCTGCGTCCTTTGCAGTGATGGCTCAACAGCTTTCGCCTAGACGCCAGGCTGCACAGGCATCGCAGGCTAATGGTGACCAGGAGCTGCCTCCATGCCCTAGCTCCTTGGCGAGACGGGACCCTTTTGTCCAGTGGTGTTCCAATGGGGCTAGTAGTGTGTCGAAGGAAGGTGGTCACCACGGATGCCAGCCTCATGGGCTGGGGTGCCGTGTGGCAACACAGAGCTGTTCGGGGTCTCTGGGACCCAAGGGAGCGCACCGAACACATAAATGTGCTGGAGCTGCGGGCTGTGCACATGGCCCTCAGGTGCCTTCTGCCCCACCTAGAGGGAAGGCACGTGCTGATTCGGACAGACAACACCTCTGTTGTTTATCATATAAACCACCAAGGTGGCACCAGGTCAGCACGTCTCTTGAAGGTGTCGAGGGATCTCCTGGAATGGGCGTTTCCCCGTCTGTGTACCCTGCGCGCAGCGTATCTGCCAGGACGGCAGAACCAGGTTGCGGACTCTCTATCCCGCCAGGCACCTGCTCCGGGAGAGTGGTCTCTTCACAACGATGTAGTGCGCATAATCTGGAACCTCTTTGGGCAGGCAGAGGTAGATCTGTTCGCCACTGAGGAGTCGACCCATTGCCCCCTATGGTATTCCCTAACCGGGATGGCGGGCGCACTGGGCCAGGATGCACTGGCTCATCCATGGCCGCAGGTTCTCCTGTATGCCTTTCCACCCCTCTCACTGATTTGGCCGACTCTACGGAGGGTTCTCGAGCAGGCCACAGAGTGTTGCTGGTAGCTCCGTTCTGGCCAGCGCGGCCGTGGTTCCCGCTGCTTTGGAGTCTGTGTCACGGTACTCCATGGCGTCTTCCAGCAAGGAGGGATCTGCTGTCTCAGTTGGGGGGACAGATATGGCACCCCAACCCTCAACGTCTCCAGCTGTGGGCATGGCCCCTGGGAGGCTGACTGGGTGTTCAGACACCGTGAGACACACCGTATTGAGTGCTAGGGCTTCCTCCACTCGGCTGCAGTATGCTAGCAGATGGCGCCTCTTTTCTCAGTGGTGCTCTGCCCACAATGAGAACCCGGTTTCCTGCTCGGTGCCCACTATTTTGGAGTTCCTCCAGTCTCTCCTTGATAAGGGCCGCTCTCCTTCGACCCTTAAAGTGTATGTTGCAGCAATTTCATGTCTTCACCGAACTGTTGACAACCGTACAGTGGGGCGCCATGAACTGGTTTCACTTTTTCTGCGTGGTGCTCGTAGGTTGTGCCAGCGGCCAGCCCCACGAGCCCCAGATTGGGATCTGCCGTTGGTTCTCACAGCTCTGTGCCACCCTCCATTCGAGCCTTTGGCACAAGCAGAACTCTAGTGGCTTTCCTGCAAGACTGCTTTCCTGATGGCTATCGTCTCAGCTAAGAGGGTCAGCGAGCTACATGCTCTTTCTGTCAGCCCTAGGTGTATCAGGTGGAATCCAGATGGCTCTGGTGTTACTCTGTGGCCTAATACTGCGTTTGTGCCTAAGGTGTTGTCTTTTCACCGTAACCAGCCATTGCGGCTGGCTCGGTTTCAGCCTCAATCTGGTACAACTGAGAATGAGTCTGAGTTGTTGTGCCCAGTAAGAGCGTTGGAGGCATACATCGCAGCCACCGTCAATCTGAGACGCTCGGACCAGCTTTTCCTATGCTATGGGGGTCCAAGGTTAGGCTGTCCTCTTTCTAAACAGCGTCTGTCCCATTAGATTGTGAGTGTCATCTGCCACGCCTACGCTGCAGGTCACTGCTCCCTGCCAGTCGGTGTGAGAGCACATTCCACCAGGAGCGTCACCGCTTCCTGGGCTGCTTTGAGAGGGGTTCCGCTGGAAGCTATATGTGCTGCTGCTTCATGGGCTTCCCCAACCACCTTCACCAGGTTCTACAGTGTCAATGTGGCTGCCCCTCATCCCCTGGGTCAGGTCCTTTTACAAGGTTCTGCTGGGCCTCCTCTGTGAGGTATGTGCTCAGGATTCCTTGTGACATCGTTGGCATTAGTCATTCAGTGCTTTCAGCACCGCCCTCTGGCGGTCAGTAGGGATGAAATAGAACGAAAGTTACGTATGTAACTACGGTTCTATGAATCCCGGATGACCGCCAGAGCTTCTCTGTCACTCAGAATCCTTGCTTTTGCGAGAAGATTCTGTAGGAGCAGAGCAAAGGATGACACCAGGCTATATAGCTTCTGAGTGGTCATCCGGTGTCACAGGTGTGACTCTGTTGGTATAATTACTCGAACTGCGCATGCCCGAAGGGAACATTCAGTGCTTTCAGCACCGCCCTCTGGCGGTCATCCGGGATTCATAGAACCGTAGTTACATACGTAACTTTCGTTTTATTTTGGCTGAAGATTGAGGTGGAAGTTGAAAAGCCTTTTGCAGCTACAATTTATAATAAAATTTGAGCAGCTTCTACGGAGGGTTAAAGGGGATAAATTCAAATATATAAATGTATCATGAAATAAATAAATGTCAATATAACATTCTATAAATTGACCAAGAACAATACAATGTAAAATTATATAAATAAGGGCTGCAAACATTAATCGGATTAATCGATTATTGAAATGATCGTCAACTAATTTAGTAATCGATGGAGTATAGAGACTCTAAAACATGCCTTTACCTGACAGTGACCCACTTAGAGCCGCAATTATACCAAGATTGCTTTCATCTGCCAATCTGCTCTATCCAGAACTCCTCAAATGAAAAAGTTTTAGTTTCACTTGGTTTATTTTTGCTTTAAGTCTTCTTTTAGGAAACTTATCTAGCCGTTTATTAAACAGTTAATTGATTAATAAAACAATCGACAGATTAATCGATTAGCAAAATAATCGTTATTTTCAGCCCTTTTATGAGTAAGTGCACCATAAAATGTCCCATTAATGAATTAATTATTTAATTGTTTCATCATAAAATAAATCAAGGTTAAATGAACCATGAAATAAATGAATGTAAAATAAAAATAAAAATTGTATTAAATTTTCCATTAATCAAATAAATGTAGCTTTTAATTATAAAATGTGAAACTAAAGTAGTTTATTGTCTAAAAAGTAAATTAAAGTTTAGAAAATAAAATCCAGAAGGAGCTGTACTGCCTTTCTTCTGAGTATCAGCCAATCAGACATCAGGATTTCTATAAGCCCCGCCCACTGCACTGATGGGTGAAGTTGACAGGTTAATGATTTCATGATTCTGCAATGAAATCAATAAGTAAATTTATATTTACATAAATGAACTTAAACTATTTTCCTCCATCCATTATCTGACACGCTCCCAAGTGGGGTTGCGAGGGGTGCTGGTGCCTATCTCCAGCAGTCAATGGGCGAAAGGCGGGATCCACCCTGGACAGGTCGCCAGTCCATCACAGGGCAACACTGAGACACACAGGACAACAATTCACACACACACTCACACCTAACCTTTTTACTGCAAGGCAGCAATGCTACCCACTGCGCCACTGAGCAGCCCTAAACTATTTTCATAATAAAAAAAATTTTATATTTTATTATTTAGTGGCACATTTTGTTTTTACTCATACATTTTATAATTTCATGAGTTATTCCAATGAAACAATTATTTCATTTTTAATTTAATCATTTTTATGGTAATTTTGTTTATCTCATTCTTCTTTTAATGAAACATTTAATTATTTAATGATATACTGAATAAATACATGTTGCATTAGATTATTTAATGGGAAATAAAAGCCTCGTTTTTACTTTACTTTCCTGTTGCTTGTTCTCTCACAGTGTCCAGGCCATCTTTCCTACGCCGGATCCGGCTGCGCTAAAGGACCGGCGAATGGAGAACCTGGTGGCCTACGCCCGAAAAGTTGAGGGAGACATGTATGAGTCAGCCAACAGTAGAGTAAGCCTTCTCTCTTCTTATTTTGTTAAACTCACTAAGAACTTGATAAAAATGAGAATTTCTAAATGAATCTGATGATATAACGTTTAAGTAACTTCTTCAAGCTTGCTGATTGGTTGTTCTGCTGTCCTGTTTTTACCAGGGTGAGTACTATCACCTGTTGGCAGAAAAGATCTATAAGATTCAGAAGGAGCTAGAGGAGAAAAGGAGGACACGGCTGCAGAAACAGAGTCAGACGATTGGGCCTAACATGGGCCAGGCCCCCCTTGGTTTGTCTCAAAGTTAGTTTCTAACAGGAATGCGTTTGACTCATTCATTGATCACTTTATCTGATATGATTTTTCTTTTTTCACCTCACCTCTTAATTTTTTTTAAACCATTTGTACGATGTTTTTTTTTTTTTTTTCCAGTGTAAAAACTCAAATCAAATGTTCAAAATCTTGCCATGTAGTTTTTAGTCACTTCTTTGGTAAAAGTTGTTTCAAAACTTTTGTAACCAGTACTGCAGGACTTGGACTCTGCAGTTACTCCTCAGTGCACTGATGGCTGTTATGATCCGTTTGCAGACGGCCCCCTCCCCGACCCATCAATGGTGCGGCCGTCTGGACCCGGTCAGATGCTCAACAGGATGCAAGGCGCGGGTAAAACATATCCTGTCAACTTCTTTCCTTCAGCGTTTTATCAACTAAATTTTATTATTTTCATAACCAAAGAAAACCCTTTAGTAATGACAATAAAAACTGGAAATTTAAATCTGATTAAAATGGAATCCAGAAATGAAAACATTTTAATAAAAAAAAGGTTTTGAGAGAAACTTTTTTTTGTATACTATTTAAAGTTTTACAAATTGAATTTTTTTGTGTGCAAATTTCATTTACAAACCATATTCTATGCATGTATTCATATCGACTACTCCATAGTTTAAAGCTCCTAGATGGGCTGATAAGATTAATACAAGCTTTTAAATGACAAAAATGTAAACTCCTCGTGCAGAATTTGCACTAAAATCTCAGTAGATTCCAGAGAAAAGTCTTCTGTGTTTCATCCTAAACATTTTTTTTTCTTCTCAGGTATGAACCAGTTTAATCAGATGGGGATGCCGTCTATGGGTCAGAGATCCACGCCGCCTCTTCCTATGGGAGCCTCTGGGAACCAGGTTGGTTCTTTGATCTGTCTTGTTTAAACTTCATCCTCCTGTTCTGTAAAATGCTGCTGATTAATGATTCTCATTTAGAGAGGACTGTTGGTTTAAGAGTGAAGCTGTTCCACAGAAATGAACAAAACCTTTTTATGTTTGTGAACTTTTTGGTCTAGCTTGGAATGGTTGGGCCCAGAGTGGGACAGCCCAACGTCAACCAACTGCAGAACCAGTATCTGTCCCATGGACAGTTTCCTGGGTCAGCACCTGGAGTTGGAGGGCCTCAGCCTGGAATGGCCCAGCCAGGAGCCCAGGGTGGCATGGCACAGGTAAGAAGAGCCTTAATAGAATTTATGATTTTACTGATTGGATCGGGTACTTTTAAAACTAGTGAAAACCAAAATATGAATGTCCTTAGAAATGTGTGTGGTTACAGCGTACATGGAGGAAACTTAAACAAACAAACACGTTTGTTCTGCTATATGTAGTGACTCCCATTGACTTCCATTGATTTTCAGTCATTTTGAACCATTTCTATGCCCTAACACTAAAACTAACCCTTGAGGGCTGTGTGTTCTCCCGCAGCAGTGTGTCGCAGTGAGCTTGCTGCAAGTATGATGCAGATATTTTTGATTTATGCCCAATTTTGAAGCGTGCTCTGTGCTATATTATTCCACGCCACAATGGTAGAGCGCCAATCTGTGGGTCTAGATACCGCCAAGGCGGAGAGGAAGTTGGGCTTTTTGTGCCACAACGGAGGGACATGAGGGTGAAAAAATGCGGGGATCCAGGTGGAAAAAGGGTTCCAGCGTTCTTGCGCACCGCGCTCTTCTAGCTGGTCCATCTTCACGCTTTGTTTTCCACAATGGCGGTCATACAAACAAAACAAGCCAGTAAGGTACCAAACAGGAAATACGCATGCTGTAGAGCGGATATAGATTGACCAATCAGAGGCCTCCTGTCTGCATAACTGTCTGTGGTCACCTTTAATTTTGGAAAGGTGCTGCAGTGTCTGCGGAGGGGGGATATCTGCGTTCACTGCGACAAACACGCAGACGACCTGGTTTCTGAGCATAAACCAACCTTAATTCTAACCATTACCAATGCAGGCCTCACCCTAACCCAATTGACACCTTGGCCCTAAACCTAACCATTATAACCATTAGCAAAATAGCTTGTTAGGACCAGCAACATTTTCTCACTTTACAATAACCGGTCCTCATTGTGATGGTAAAATTTGAAAAATTGTCCTCACTCTGATGGCTAGACAGGTACACATCACCATACTCAACATGAAATATTTAGGAAAATATCTTTAACTTGAAAGCTTGATTTCCCTGGTGGTTTTAAAGCTGGATTGATGGTCTTAGAGACGCATACAGTGTTTTTATTCTGTAACTTTCTTCAAAGTTTTCTTTATGTTTAAAATAGTTTTACCAAAGGCTTTTTATCTGAAATGTTTTACATATAAACAGTTTTTATTTTTCTTACTTTGTTTTTTTAATTTATTTTTTAAGGTTTCCATTGAAAAATTTAGTTTATCTTAACTGGGACTTTCTCTGTTAAAATGAAGGTTTAATTATGAAGAAGAATAATTAATCTGGATTAGTAATATAATTCAGAGGATAGTTTCTGTTTTCGAGGTTTTTAATTGGGCTCAGATATTTGTCTTTATATTATTATTTCCTGGTTGTAAAGTGGTTCCAAACTGCTACCCTCTTAAAATGTTTCCAAAATCATCCTTCTGAAAGTTATCCATTTTATTTATTTAATTCTCTGCGTTTTGATTTGATATTTTCTTTGCTATTAAGTAATTAAACAATAAATATTTCTTGTTATTAAAATCTTGTGATTTCTTTGTTTTTTGTCTCTTTTTAAACATTCTCCCTTCTCACACAGATGGGAACTCCTCCGTCCCTCTCGGTGGGCAGTCCTCTCGGCCAGCCTGGTTCGGTCAGTGGCCCCAACGGGGTCCCTTCTGTGGGGCCAATGGGTCCACAGAGTGTCGGAGGTCTAAACTCATCCGTTGGCACCCCCACTTCATCCATCACAAACCAACAAGCGAACTCCATCCCCCATCTGGGACCCATGCGCGGCAGCTCTCCCTCCCCGGCACACAGTCGATCCCCCACTCCCCACCAAACGCCTCCCAGACTAGCAGGGTCCCAGACGCCACAGCCGCATACCCCTAATGCCCCACAGTTGGCCCCGCCTTTATCGCTTCAGCAGAATCAGCTCAGCCAGGGGCCCGGATCCAACAAACCTCTGCAGCAGCAACACATGGGGTCCTCGGGCTCCACCACTCCGTCTCATCCTGGACTGGCCTCCAGCTCGACGCCACATGCTGGACAGCTCCCCCGCACTCCGGTTAGTCCAGTTCACCCGTTTAAAGCCCTTTAAGTTTCCTGCTGAAGACGTTTACCTTTTCATATTTCGTCTAGCTCCTCGTCTGTTTTCAGTAAGCTTCATGTTATTTATTCAGCACCAACTCACAACAAATCTGATGTTTATATATCCATGTAAAAAAATGGATTCAGAGCGATTCTTTCCAAGTAGATCATAATTATAAAACATTGCCGTCACACTTTTTTGTTAACATTTCCCTTGCAGTTGTCCCAGAAGGGCTCCTATCCAGCAGACAGTCAGGCGATGACCCCCGCCTCCGTCAGCAGCCTGGACGCTTCCTCCCAGCAGCCACAGTCGAACGCCTCCGCCACCAACCTCGAACCCAAGATGGTGGTCGGGCATCAGGAAGAGGAGGAGGAGAGCGACGCGGGCAGCTGCTCCAAAGGAGGGAAGCTCAGCAACCACAAGACGGAGGAACAACCTTTCAAATCAGAGGTGAAGAAAGCAGAGGGTTCTGGAGACGGAGGTAAAGCAGTCCCCATGGAAACGTCAACGGCAGGAGTGAAGATTGAAGACAAGAAACCGGAGGTGAAGAAGGAGGTGAAAGAGGAGGAGACTTCAGAGGCAACGGTTCCACAGGCGCCTGTGAAAAAGAAGAGTAAAGAACTATCCTTCATTTTTACTTTCTTTTTTTATTGTATTGTTTCAATGAGTGGAAGTCCACTCCTCATCTGACCGTCTGCGTCTCCATCCTGTCATAGCCTTCAAGCCAGAGGAGCTCCGTCAGGCCCTCATGCCGACACTGGAATCTCTTTACAGACAAGACCCTGAATCTCTCCCGTTCAGGATGCCCGTCGACCCACAGCTGCTCGGCATACCGGTACGTTAACTGAAGGAAGCTGACCTTTGCTTGTTCTCTGCGTGGTCCAGCAGACTCTTCCCTTTCACCATGTTAATGACTTTTCCTCCCAATCATTTGAACAGGACTACTTTGACATAGTGAAGAACCCAATGGACCTGTCCACTATCAAGAGAAAGCTAGATACAGGTGAGTGATTTATCTTATTGATCGACTAACGATTAATTAATGAGCAAACTTTTTCTTAAAAATCTGAGTGTTTCTCTTGTATAAAGATGATCTTTCCTGTCGCATCATGACTATTTAGCCAGCATATGCCTGATGTCCCAGAATCTCCTAAAACGCTGGCATACGCTGAACTTCCTATGTGTTTTTTCAATTTTAGGCGTATGCATAGAGTATACGAGTCCAGAACTTCTGTCCAACGGCAGCCTAACTTGTGCATAACGCACAGCAGCGTAATGACCATAAAATGATGCACATCTCAGTGTCCTGAGGGGGACAGCGATGGACCTGGAGGCGGCCGGTCTCCATAAAAAGATTTCTTTGATCATAAAATTAATCTAGCTGCTTTTACCGCCTGCCCTCCCCCCAAAAAAAAGAATTAAAAAAATAAAAAGAAAGAAATAAGGTTTTTGGTGTCAGCATATTGAGCGTCATGTCTGCTAGGAAGTTTGTTGGTGGTGGGCGTGAACGCAGGGAGGATCTGTCACCCTCACCCTATGATGGGGATGAAGTCTGGAGGAGAACTGACGGTTTCCTCCTGTGAACCCCCTTTATCCCAAAACGCTGCCAATACGCCATTATACAGTAGCTGGAAGTTAGAAACATGTTCAGCGCTCGTCTGGAACACGTCAGATACGCTGATATGCGTTGGAGAGAAGTTCTAGATAAGTTACGCAGAAGTTATGCACAAGTTACTCAGAGGTTTAGGATAAGGTAGACACAAAGACTTCTGAGGAACGTATGTCAACCACCAGATAACTGACCTGTAACTTATGGCCCACGAATGGAACACGCTGGCATACGTCATCATACAGTAACTGTATGTTAGAAACTCGTTCAGCGGTCTGGTATAACTCGCCGTATATCTACGTGTGCCAGCGTGCTTCAGTGTGCAGACATGACTCAAACAAATTTTTCTTTTTTCTTTTAATTCTTTTTTTTTTTTTTTTTTTTTTGGGCAGGCGGTAAACAGCAGCTAGGTTAATACCGCCATCAAAGACATCTTTCGGAGATTCTGGGACATTAAGCATACGCTGGATAAATCGGCAAGGTGTGACTGGCCTAAAGAAGATTTTACAAAATTTAACCAGGTGAAACTCTGAACTTTTCCGCTTGAGGATTTCTGGATTTTCTGGAATGAATAAAAAAAACTGTTTTCTCACCCCTCGTGGGGTGGTATGTGTCATCCTCAAGCTCGGGTCCTCTACCAGAGGCCTGGGAGTTTCTGGGAGGGTTCTGTGCAGTATCTTAGCTGTTCCTAGGACTGCGCTCTTCTGGGCATACTATATATATATATATATATATATATATATATATATATACACTATATTGCCAAAAGTATTTGCTCACCTGCCTTGACTCACATATGAGCTTAAGTGACATCCCGTTCCTAATCCATAGGGTTCAATATGACGTCGGTCCACCCTTTGCAGCTAGAACAGCTTCAACTCTTCTGGGAAGGCTGTCCACAAGGTTTAGGAGTGTGTTTATGGGAATTTTTGACCATTCTTCCAGAAGCGCATTTGTGAGGTCGCACACTGATGTTGGACGAGAAGGCCTGGCTCTCAGTCTCCGCTCTAATTCATCCCAAAGGTGTTCTATCGGGTTGAGGTCAGGACTCTGTGCAGGCCAGTCAAGTTCATCCACACCAGACTCTGTCATCCATGTCTTTATGGACCTTGCTTTGTGCACTGGTGCACAGTCATGTTGGAAGAGGAAGGGGCCAGCTCCAAACTGTTCCCACAAAGTTGGGAGCATGGAATTGTCCAAAATGTCTTGGTATGCTGAAGCATTCAGAGTTCCTTTCACTGGAACTAAGGGGCCAAGCCCAGCTCCTGAAAAACAACCTCACACCATAATCCCCCCTCCACCAAACTTTACACTTGGCACAATGCAGTCAGACAAGTACCGTTCTCCTGGCAACCGCCAAACCCAGACCCGTCCATCAGATTGCCAGATGGAGAAGCGCGATTCGTCACTCCAGAGAACGCGTCTCCACTGCTCTAGAGTCCAGTGGCGGCGTGCTTTACACCACCGCATCCGACGCTTTGCATTGCACTTGGTGATGTATGGCTTGGATGCAGCTGCTCGACCATGGAAACCCATTCCATGAAGCTCTCTGCGCACTGTTCTTGAGCTAATCTGAAGGCCACATGAAGTTTGGAGGTCTGTAGTGATTGACTCTGCAGAAAGTTGGCGACCTCTTCGCACTATGCGCGTCAGCATCCGCTGACCCCGCTCCGTCAGTTTACGTGGCCTACCACTTCGTGGCTGAGTTGCTGTCGTTCCCAAACACTTCCATTTTCTTATAATACAGCTGACAGTTGACTGTGGAATATTTAGGAGCGAGGAAATTTCACGACTGGATTTGTTGCACAGGTGGCATCCTATCACAGTTCCACGCTGGAATTCACTGAGCTCCTGAGAGCGACCCATTCTTTCACAAATGTTTGTAAAAACAGTCTGCATGCCTAGGTGCTTGAATTTATACACCTGTGGCCATGGAAGTGATTGGAACACCTGATTCCAATAATTTGGATGGGTGAGCAAATACTTTTGGCAATATAGTGTATATATATATATATATATATATATATATATATATATATATATATATATATATATATATATATATATATATTAGTATTATTATATACCGGTGTGTGTATATATATATATTTTGTTTTTTACAATCTTGGTATAATTTCTGCTCTAAGTGACAGCTAAAGGCATATTTTACTGTCTCCATCTAAATTTGTTGATTATTTCAATAATTTGATTAATCTGATTAATTGTTTCAGTTCTAATGTAGATAATGTTGGGTTGGCAGCTTGTTTATTTATTTTATCGTGCATCTCTGTAGTAAACATTTCGCTGCATTGTTGTGGTCCAATCAGGCGGTTTTATGGCGTCCAGTATGGCGACGTAAATGGACAGTGGTCACGTGATAGAACCTCCTCTATTAGCAGCATAAAAGGCTGAAATAATATTTTAAAGGGTTAATTTTGCATGATAAACACCCTTTAAATAAAACACTATTTCCTTTTTGGCATTATTTTTATTGAAGAAAAATAATTTAAAGAAACATTTTGAAAATATTCAACAAGTTTTTTTTTTTTTTTTTTTTTTTTTTTTAATACTTCATCTGATCAGGTAATCATTGAATTTTTTTCAATCAAACTTTTTTTTTCCCCCCTGGATGTTGTTGCAGGTCAGTACCAGGATCCCTGGCAGTATGTTGATGACATCTGGCTGATGTTCAACAACGCCTGGCTCTACAATCGCAAAACTTCACGGGTCTACAAGTACTGCTCCAAGCTGGCCGAGGTGTTCGAGCAGGAGATTGACCCGGTCATGCAGGGACTCGGCTACTGCTGCGGGCGAAAGGTGAGGCGACGGGGGGGAAAACCTGCAGTAGAACTGTCTCACACAGACACCTCTTATGCTACGTTCAGACCGCACGCTGCAGAAGCAGCAGAAGCAGCCAGTTTACATGCAAAGTCAATGGTTGACGCATATGCATAACATATTGAAACTACTTTCTACCCACTGATCACAGCAAATATAGCTGCCATTGCTACAGGCAAAGAAAGGATAGCGTAGCTCCGCCCAATGAGCATCAGACCCACTTTTCCCACCGCGCAGCCAGAGCACACATCAGAACTAAACTTGTACAAGCATCAAAAATGATGCAGCACGAGCGTTTTTTGCTGCTCCTGCTGCTTGCGGTCTGAACGTACATTTAAAGCTTGTTTTTTCTGACTAGTTATTCCCTGTGAGCTGAGACGCAAAAATGATATCGGCATAGCCACTAATGTTGGTTCATAAATACTTTTACCAGATCATGCGTCAGCTTTTATTACTCTATTTCGGCTTTTAAAGAGAAATACCTCAACTTTACTGATTCTATGAGGAAAGTTTGGATCAGTGGTGTGATTAAACACTGAAGAAATCAATCTCATGTTGATTTTCCATAAACCTCATTTAGGGTTGAGGTTAATCCCTTTTCTTTTTTCAATAAATTGATTTATTGAAACAGAAAAAGTTTTAGTAAATAAACATACATCTATTAAAACTTCTTTTGAACTTAAGAAAAAAACTTGAAATGAAGATTTTAAAATAATTGAAAAAGGGCAAAAAAGTAAAAAAGATACCTACCCAGCCACTATGCCTAGCATTAGCTTAGTCAATGTAGTCATTTTGTGACTAACAAGGAACAGATGAATAATTATGTAACTTTAAGTGCTTAGCAGCAGTTTTTTTTTTAACCAGGCGTAGCTAAACCTGCACCACTTTAGTAGGTCTGGATAAACTATATTTATGCACAAAGATGTTTCATCCTAAAAGTAAAATGTTTTATACTTTTTATACAGACTTTGCTTTAAAGCTGCTGTTTTGTTTTTGTTCATGTTGTGTGTTTTATCGGTTGCATGCTCTACTTAACAATTTGACAACTAAAGTGGTGGATTATTATTTCAGTATTCGATTTAATCTGATAATTTCAGATCTTTTCTCAGGACTTCCTTTGTAATTCCTTTTGAAGGGTGACTGTAGTGAAAGTCATGTAAACCAATGATCGTTTTCTCTTACCTTTGTGTTTTTCTCCAGGTGATTTTCTTTAAATTGAAAGTTGCTCATCAGAATAACATGTGGTTTGTCTTTCTGTCTGGTCTCCATCAGCTGGAGTTTTCTCCACAGACGCTGTGCTGCTATGGGAAGCAGCTTTGCACGATTCCCAGAGATGCTGTTTACTTCAGCTACCAAAACAGGTACATAAGGAAGAGAAAGTTACTGAATAGTACATCTTCAATTTGCAATAGGAGTAGATTGTAGGGCTGGGCGATATGGCTAAACAATAAAATCTTTATTTTTTTATTTTTTTTTTAGTCATCTTTGACAATTACGATTTTAATTGATTTTAATTAAAGTATTCAAAACCACATGCATTTATTTTAAAATAGGTTTACTTTATTCAAAAATACATTGTGCAAAATAACAAATATTAGCCAACAATAAACCTGTTGAAAAAAAGTGTAACCTTAAATATTCATAACATAAATCTTGTGCAGGGAACACAAAAATGTTCACCCAATAATAATTGTACAGATTCTTTATCAGTATCATATTTAGTACAAGTGCAAAAAAAAAACAAAATACTTGAATTTGCTGAAATATGCAATTTAATGAACAGTCAATAATGTATCTTCTGTGAGGTAGGTGGTTAATAAACAGCAGCTATTGAGAGCCCAGTTTACGTTAAACTCGTACAGATTGACTAAACCAAAGATCTGTTGTATCTGCAAATTACAAAGTAGAGTCCAACTTTTCACAGAGCAGTGGTTGTGTTTCACTCCACAGTTTTGTTAGCGCAACCTCCGCAAAGTATTTATGACTTGGTGGGTCATATTTCGGATCACACACTTTTAGCACCTGTAGGAAGCCAGGCTTCTCTACGGTTTAAATGGGCACCATGTCCATCCCTATATGAACAGCTACAGCGTCGGTCATCTGCTTCCACCGCACACTAAACTTGTCGGTCGGCACTGCTTTAGAAAATGAGGCGGTCAGGGTTTGTGATCTTTTCTTTTCGTGATCGTGTTTGTCTTTGCGCATGCTACCGACGCTGCACTCCCAAAGCTGCGAGCGCTGTTTCCATTCTCTGGGTTTCTTTGTCGGAGATGCTTAAACAAGTTAGTTGTGCTGCTAGTTTTGGTTTTGATCGCATTTTTTGACAAACCTTGTACACTACTGTAGTGAGTAAACAGTGCAGCATCATATCGGGTGTGAGTTGGAAAGAGGCGGTGGAAGCAAACGCGCAAGTAAAAAATACAGGAGAAGAGACTTCCTTGATTTTACGATTTAGCAACATTTCAAATTTACTTTTAAATACATGAATTAATAAAATTAATTCAGTTTATCGCCCAGTCCTAGTAAATTGTAAAAAATGTATTATAGACAATTAGTAATCAATGATATGTTTACATGAGTACTACATGTATGTTTTAAACTAATTTAATGTTTCCCCAAACTTCACCTCATGCCCCTCCCTCCATTTTGTTAACCTACATGTGATTCCTTAATGTGCTGGCATTTTAACAGTCAGTCCTCCATTCTCATTGCTTATGCTTTCCTGGAACCTCAGTGGATAAATGTTAATTAGCAACTTTTAAAATATTTTCAGGCATTTCCATCTTATGGTGTCAAACCACAAAAGGACAGAAACTATGAATGTTTCGTCCACTAGATGCGTCACACACTATCCTATAAGTTTTCAATGTTTCTTAGCTTCAGCACAGCCGTTTCTGGTGACTGCAATTCAGCAAAAGCCCTTCGATCAGTTATGAATGGAAATCAGCTGTGCTGAAGCAGGGAAACCTCTTAATTCTGCAGGACAGCGGGCCTCAAGGGCCGACTTTGGACATGCCTGTTTTAGAGGAATTCACAGAGTGAATTTTTTCATTATTATTACAAGGTTTGTAAATAAGAATTAGAAACAAGAATTGCCTTTTTAAACAAAAAATGCAATCCAGAAACAAAATTTTTTAAATTTCTTAATCTAAAGGTTTTGAGTAACTTTGCTATTTTCGTAGATTGTATTTTCTTTTATTGTATTAAAAAAACCTTTTTAAAATTGTTTTTTTATTTAACACTTTTCAAATATAATTTTAATATTATATTTTTACAGACGTTACATTTTCCAATCTATTTTTTGTATTTTTTTTTGCAGATTTGGTATATTTTTTTCTTTTTTTTTTTTTTTCATTTCATTGAGGACATGAAATTTGAAAATATCAAATCTGTAAAAAAAAGATTTTTATAAAAACAATTTGAGAAAAGAAATGCTGATTTCTAAACTTTTGATTTTTATTTAAATGTTTATTTTCAAACTTTAGTTAACTAAATGTGTTTGTTAATACTTTGATTTACCTATATTGTTCTTTTCTTGCTACAATAGTGGAACCAAAATCACTCCATACAGTTTCACTGTCGGATAAACTAAACTAAAAAACCCTGAAACTTACCCAGATTGACCAGATATTAAGGCATCTTTAAAAGATTTACAACTGAGAGTTATTTTCCTAAAGTAAAATAGTAAAAGTCCTGTTAATGCTAACATTAATAAACGGGCTAGTGTTTACTTAACTGAACCAGCAATGCTACAAAATGGACTGTTTTTCCGCTGCTATTTAAAGCTTCTATCATGTAAGATGAACAGTTTCTGCTGTAATCGTTCAATAGTTGTTTATACTGTGATTAGAGGGAGTTTCTCATAGTGTGACAATTTTCCCCCCGAATTTTTTAAATATTTAGAGTTGCCGTTTTCTAAAGTTTTCAACAACATATGTTAGTGTTTACCACAGCAGGCTTTGCTAATGTAAACAAAACTGTCTGAATACGAATGTATAAACCTGTGTTGCTTTGATATTTTAGAACTACAGCCAATACTTACAATTCTGTTTTCTAACTGAGTGGTAATGTGATGTTTTTTAACTGTATTTCCTTTAGCCTTCATGTTACCCGCTGAAAGTTCTGCTCTCACCTCAGAAACGGTTTTAGCTTAAACAGCTCATTAAATCTCTTTGCTTCTTCTGACTTGATTCTCCCAATCCAGTTAAATTTAAACTAGATCTTTTTTAGTCTTCCTCCTCCTGTCCTCTTATCTTCCTCGCTGGTGCGTTCACTGAACCCAAAAAATATGGAATCTTGAAGACTTTTTTTTTAATCTCTTCCTACTTATCTGAAGAAAACTTTGCAATGTGGAAGGACCGACTTTAAAATGAGCTGCTTGATTTGAGTAGCTGAGCAGTTTTTCTGTTCCTCATCCCCCAAACACCCCACCCACCCCTGTTTCTGCTCACTCGGCTCCTGCTTTGTTAGCTGATCTGCTGCTTTTTGTTGCTCATCCTCTCATGTCCAAATGGCTAAACTATAATTTTCCTGGCCTCTCTGCTGTGTTTTGTCTCCCATGTTTGTCTCGTCCCGTGTGCACCGGTTTTTCTCCCCATCACTGTGATATTTACTGTCTCTGCATCCCGTTTAAATCATGCCTGGCTTGATTACGTCCCCCCGCTTGCTCGGCTTTCGCCTCCCTGCCCTGCCCATTTCCCCCGCACCGTTTCGTGACTGCCCTCCCATGCGCTGTCTGTGGTTGACTGTGCTGGGGGGGAACGGTGTAGTTCACCAAAATTTGGGCTTCTTGCTGACAGGTACCACTACTGCGAGAAGTGTTTCAACGAGATCCAGGGAGAGACGGTTTCCCTGGGCGATGACCCCACCCAGCCACAAACGTGAGCATTTCCACTTTTCTGTTTCGTTTCCTGACAAAACTGCACATCCAAACATGAACGTCTGACAGGAGTTGAGGTCGGATTTCCACTTTTATTATGCTACACGTTCTCTTACCTCATCTGCTTCCATTTCAGCTCCATAAACAAGGATCAGTTTGAGAAAAAGAAAAATGACACACTGGACCCAGAGCTGTAAGTCTAGAGTCTAAATCTGTGACTCAATGTTGCTTCAGAGGCTAGAAGATAAAAATGTTTGCATCTTTCTCCCTATCCAGGCTGGTTGAATGTATGGACTGCGGACGCAGGATGCATCAGATCTGTGTTTTGCACAATGAAACAATATGGCCGTCCGGGTAAATAAATGTGTTTTTCCTAAAAGCAACGCTGCCTAACATTTGACCCAAACTTTATCTTAATTTGTTTTATACTAAAGGATTTTTCAGGTTCCCTGATGCTTATTGATGCTAAAAAAGATATAATTCTCTGGGGCTCTAAACCTGGAGACTTCAGGTCTAGCACCCCCTAGTGGTGGAATGTTATACAGTGTTGCTTTAAATTTTAAGAGTTAAAAATAAAGAATTAGTGTACAAATATCTTATTGGGTTAACCTGACTTGATACATTTTTTTTGGACCATTTATCATAGTTTTGTTTGTGACGGCTGCTTAAAGAAGAAGAATAAGACGAGGAAAGAGAACAAGTATTCTGCTAAAAGTAAGTAAACTTTACATACAAGATAAACCGACTGACACTTTGTTGATCTACTAACTAACCCAAACATTACAGCCTGTGACTCAAAAATACCACAGCAACAGCCTGGAGACCCTCTAAAAATATGATTGCAAAAACACAAAGCAAAGCAAAAACACAACATCAAAAGAAAATAAAAGGATTACAGTAGAACATTTACATTTTAATATTAATAAAAGCAATAACAATCCAGCACAGAATATGCAGATGGATATAACAACAGAAACTGAAAAATAAAAGAAACCCCAAAGCAGTCCTTCACATATGTTCAAACTGAAAAGGTTTTAAATGACTTGGAACTGTTTTTCTGGACGGAGCTAGTACTACAGGACCTATCTTACAACATTTATCCAGAATGCTTTACAGAGTAAATAACATGGCAACTTCTGTGTGCCAATAGTTTATTTAATTAAATTAAATAGATTCATTTCAGTTTATTTATATAGTGCCAATTCACAACACATCTTCTGAAGGTACTTTACAGAGACAATCCAGCCAGATCATACAGTCAAATTGTTTCAAAGTTTTCTATCTAAGGAAAACCACCTGGTTTTATCAACTCTAAAGCATTCCTTCACACCAGGTATGCTTGTAGCGACAGTGGAGAAGAAAACTCCCTTTGAACAGGAAGAAAGAGCAGAATCAGAACTAAGCTCAGTGTGAGCGGCCTTCTGCTGAGGCCCACTGGGGTTCCATGAGATAGAAGCAGACAACATCTATAATCAAAGGTGTTGATGGCATTTCTCTCCAGGATGGATTTACAGCCAAACAGGAACAGACCAGATGAAGCTAACAGATTCTGCCTAATGGGAGAATAGAGATAGAATGATGAAAAGAGGTCCCCATGTCCTCCCACAGTCTAAGCCTACAGCAGCAAAAATGCAGAAAATAGCTCAGGATAAAACCTAAGAATGTTGGTTGAGTTATAAGAAAGTTGGAGCCAAGGAAAAACGTCCAGACTAAAATTATCCCCCGCAATAACTTTTACAGTTTTTTTGGGGTTTTATTTGAGAAATATTTCTTTTTGATGTAAAAACAACAGATAATTGTTAAGATTAATGTTGGATCCCTTTAAACCTTTGGAAGATGTTTACTAGTAACAGTGTATATACAGACAAGAAATTCTTAATTGATTCTCAAAGAAAGTCTTAAAAATCAATTTATAATAACCAAGGATCAAGACGAGTAAAAAAAAAAAATACAAAAATTCTGCCATCCTTACAGTCCTCATTAACTACCACTGCTTGATTAATTTGTTGTTGAAAGGTAATACAATACTAGTATCAGTAGGTTGTATAAGTTAAAACAGTTAAAAATGTTTTTTATTACCAGAAATCCAATTTAAAAAACCTTGTTGATTGAATTGAATCTTGAAATCTGAACTGACCTTCAGCCTTAGTTTGAATTCCTGTTCATTTCCTGACACTTTTTTCCCCCTGCAGGATTACCCCAGACTAAGTTGGGCAGTTTTCTGGAAGGGAGGGTAAACGACTTCTTGAAGCGCCAGGCCCATCCTGAGTCTGGAGAGGTCTTCATTCGTGTCGTTCATGTATCTGACAAAGTGGTGGAGGTCAAACCAGGAATGAAATCCAGGTAAAAAAAAATAAAAATAAAAGCCCTTTTAAAGCATTTGCTATAAAAAAAAAAAGCTTAACAGAGAAACTTTCCTTTGTCAAGAATCCCCATTATGGAGTCAAACTTCAGTCTTATGGACAGATAAAGCTTTATTATCATTGTTTCCATTTTCGGTGTCCAAACAAAAGCACTGTTACTGCTAATAGCAGCAGTCACCATCTAACGTCTCTGTCTACAGATTTGTGGACAGCGGCGAGATGTCAGAGTCCTTCCCATACAGGACAAAAGCCCTTTTTGCGTTTGAGGACATCGACGGTGTGGACGTCTGCTTCTTCGGGATGCATGTTCAGGAGTACGGATCCGACTGCCCTCAGCCCAACCAGAGGTACGGAGATCAAACCTCGGTGCATCTTTTTCACCGCTTGTGTTTCAAACCTGATGTTATGAAATCCATCTTTCCCGTCCGTGAAGGCGAGTCTACATCTCCTACCTGGACAGCGTTCACTTCTTTCGGCCTCGCTGTCTAAGAACAGCAGTTTACCATGAAATCCTCATCAGCTACTTGGAATACGTCAAGAGATTAGGGTGAGTGCTGCCTGAATATAAATGTTTTATTCAGAAAGACTAAGTATTATGGTACGACAAAATATTAGAGAAATGCGTTTTTTATTTTAAACCCAAAAGAATTAGGGCTGAACTTGTAAACATTTTTAAAGAATTTGACTCAGGAAAAAAGAAAACAAACATGATCACAGACTATAATCAACAGGAAAAGAACGTGGGACATTATTAACTCTTTTCAACTGACCGAAAAACCCTTTTAAAAGTGGGAACAATCACCTTTTAGTCTGCTAGGATTATCCTTATTGATGATGTGTGAGTCTGTTAAACCCTATTAACTCCTGCCTGCTGTGTTTCACCACTAATGTTTTCCCAAGTAATTCATCTAATTAGGACAGTTCCTCTGTCAGGATATAAATTCATCTTCATTCTGCATGTGGCAAAGATTTGGTGTTAGAATGAGAGCGGCGTCCTTGATCTAAGAACAAAGTGTAATATTTTGATAAGACCAGAGCCATGGATGTCGTCTCATCTGTCAACGTGTGTGATGTAATGATGAGAAGATGTTGAATATTGGAATTCTATAAAATGCTTCTTTAAATGAGAGATATGAGCCCGGTTGGTAAGCGCTGCCTTAAGCCGGGCGTACAGTGCGATTTGTTTTGCCCTTTTTGGGGCGACTTTCTAGTCGTGTGAGAATTTTTCGATTTGGCCGTATTTCAGCCTGATGGTGCGTCGTATACAGGCGGTAACGAGGGGCGATCGGCCTCTCAAGACCACATCCCACTCAGGAATCTTGAGGTCGGGAGAAAATCAAACATCTTTGATTTTCAGTCGGCCATCTTGGGCAAATTGCTCATTGGGCAAACAACGATTGTTGTTCTTCTTCCTCTCAGATGAAACCCCAGAAACAATCTCCTCCCAACGGTTTTGCTGCAGTCGGCATACAGTGGGAACATCAGACCCGTTAATTTACTTGGTAGAGTTGATCACAACGTAGTCGTGTGTGATCTAACAAGTCGAAACGACTCTGCTAGCATTCGATGAACATGGTGCAGCACTGGTACGCCCTGGCTCCCTGCCATTTGCTCTGCATTGTTTAGTTTCCTTATTCCTGTCACACTGACGACATCATCAACGCTTACCCAGCGCGATGGTGTCAGCAGACACACAGCTGTTAGAAACACAGGAAACGCAGCTTGACGGGGGGTCAGATCCAGCTTTTTTAACGGGAAGGGAGCCAAATGGTGACTGTTGGCGGTTTGAACCCATGTTTAAAAAAATCTGCATTAACTCGCTAATTTCAGCATATTAAAGGTGCATAGTCATGTTATATATGACATTTTAAAGTTTATATTTTCTTAAAGATTACTGCCTCCTGCTGTCTTATTTGTTATTGTTTGTTAGTAACTGAAGCCCTTAGTCTGTATTTACAACAGCAAGGAGGTTTCTGTCCACCATGTTTGCAGCCTGCTGGTCTCTTTGCCAACATCAACACTGTAACCCTGGGAACTCTATTATGATTGGCTGCGGAACCTGGAAGTAAACACAGGGTCAAACACTGAACCAAAGCCGTTTCACACCATAACTCCACGTTAGAAAAGGAGGAAAACCCAACTACGATGTTGGCAGAGAGCATCGATTGTGTATTGTTACATCCATAGAATGATTTATTTTCCAGCAAACTTCTTATTATTGCTCCTTTAATAATGATCAAAGATGAGAATGGAGTGAATAACAATAAGGAGACTGAGTGTGCACTTTAAACCAGTTGGATGCAAGAAAAACAAAAGCAAATAAGACTTTGAGCTCTTGTCATGTTGTTGCCATCTGACACCCACCTCGCCCCATTTCTCTTTCTTTACTCTGGCAAGACTATTTGTTACAAAAGTTTAAAATGGAAAGAAACCATCATTTATTTTCATTTACTGTTAGTCCCTAAGCGAACCACTGCTGCCCAGGGTGGAGCTGCTGACTTCACTTTTTCTAAATGACATCAACCTTATAAGAAATGGTAAAAAATGAGATGCATTAACCCTTTCTAACCTGAGGAGGGCGTCAGACAGGTGGGCTTAAAGCTGATTTATACTCAGAAACCTGGTCGTCTGCTGTGTCGCGGTGAACGCAGATATGCCCCGCCCCTTCCGCAGACACTCTCGCAGCTGCACCTCTCCCAAATTATAGGTGACGGCAGACGGTGATGCAGACAGGAGGCCTCTTATTGGTCAAATCTACATCCACGTATGCCTATTTCCTGTTTGGTACCTTAGAGGCTTGTTTTGTTTATTTGACCGCCATTGTGGAAAACTTTTAGACTTTAGACAGATTTGATTTGTCATTTTGTTTACACAAGCGTAAAACAAAAAGAAATTTCGTTTGGAAACAGCTCACTGGACAATTTCATCTTTTTAAAAGTGCTGCCTTGAAAAATAGTAAAAATGACTGTAAATTTACAGTTCTTAACTTTTTTTTTTTTTTTTACTCATTTAAAAAAGTTTTTTAAAACGACTCAAGATGGAGCAGCTAGAAGAGCGAGGTTTGCTCCAGCTGGACACTTTTTCTACCTGGATCCCCGTTCTTTTTGGCCGTCATGTCCCTCTGTTGTCGCACAAATTTGCCCCCACTTCCTCACCGCCTCGGCCGTATCTAGACTCACAGCTAGTACGTAATTGTCCCTCTTGAGTTGTGGCGTGGAAGAACATAGCACAAACCACGCTTCAATATTGGGCATAAATCAAAAATATCTGCAACAAGCTCACTGCGACACACTGCTGCTGGACGATAACCAGCCCTTTAGACAGAAAAGCAGGATTTCAACAAACGTGCAGTAAAGACTTATGAAAAGATAAGACATTGATTTATTGCTTATTAGCATAATAAAGGGGTGAGTCGCCCTTTAAACCTGATTTGGCTTTTTCTTGCTTCACATTCGGTGAACTTTATCTTATTTTTTATGAAATGTTCAAAATGTTCTTAAAAAGTAAAATCCAAAGCTCTAAGTCACTGATTTGTCTGTGTTCTGGTTTTTCTGATTTGTGTCTCCAGTTACACCATCGGTCACATCTGGGCCTGCCCGCCTAGTGAGGGAGACGACTACATCTTCCACTGCCATCCCTTAGATCAGAAGATCCCAAAGCCCAAACGACTGCAGGAGTGGTATAAGAAGATGCTGGACAAAGCCGTAGCAGAGCGGATCGTACACGACTACAAGGTGGGAGCTTAATGAGCCGTTTTCATTTTTGCACGCTTCCTTTGCCTCTTCAGTTTTATGAATGTTTGTTTTGCTTTTGAAGGATATTTTCAAGCAGGCGACGGAGGATCGTTTAACAAGTGCCAAGGAGCTGCCTTATTTTGAGGGCGACTTTTGGCCCAACGTGTTGGAGGAGAGCATCAAGGAGCTGGAGCAGGAGGAGGAAGAGAGGAAACGGGAGGAGAACAGCACCTCTAATGAGAGCGTCGACGTAAGATCAAGTCTTTGCCTTTTGAATCTGTGGGTTGATGATTTTATTTCTGTGGAAAGCGGATGAAAGACTCATTTGACGTTTTCTTTGTGCAGGACGCTAAAAGCGACAGCAAAAACGCAAAGAAGAAGAACAACAAGAAGACGAGCAAGAACAAAAGCAGCCTGAGTCGATCGAATAAGAAGAAACCAGGGATGCCAAACGTTTCCAACGATCTGTCCCAGAAGCTTTACGCGACGATGGAGAAACACAAGGAGGTATGAAGCTGCACGTTGAGCTAACCTGCTAGCTGACGGCTAAAATTTGGAAAAAACTTGCAAATAAAAAAATTAATCTTTTAGCTTTTTGCTGCGAACGTCAGTTTGAAGCAGCTGTTTCTACAATCAATAAGGTGGTTATGAAGTTTACATTTTACCAGTCAGAACCGGTTCCAGGCTTTCAGTTCTCCAAGAATTCTAGTTTTTAACTACAAGTAGCGATGGCCGGACTGCCATCCGATTGCCAACAAAGAAGAATCTGTAGCGGTGCGTGTGTTTAACGGTCTGTTTGCACGTCGGTATTCCAATATTAAAGGCACAACGAGGAGGCGCACAGCTAACAAGATTTAAAAGAAAAGTCCAGTCAGCAAGGAAAAATCAATGGATCATTATTTATATCTAAAACTAATATGCTTGCAGTGGTTTAATGAATTTGGCTTTAATCAGTAAAAAAATCAAAACAATAATTTTCGTCACGACCATCGAGTCTGGGAGTGGCCATTTTTTCCCAAATATAGTAGCCCCTCCCTCCTGCCATCTTCCAGCAGTGACGTCACGGTGCGGTAAGCCTAGCGCCATTCTCCCCGCTTTACAAGCTAAATCAATGGGAACTACTAGACACATCTGCAATCAACAACAATTATTGAAGATTTCCAGAGGACTTCAACATTGAAATTCACCAGAGCTATAGTGAAACTGACAATGCCCACGTGCATGGCAGCTGGATGCTGGAATACATCGGGTAAAATTGAAAATAAAGAGTTATTCCACCTTTCTGATTCCTGATCCTCCACGGACGGGTTCGTCGTTGGATCGCCAACTTGAAGAGGGAGGATTTGCCATCGAACTTCTGGCCAGATAAAAAACCCGTAATATGTAGCCAACATTTGGAAGAAGAATGTTTTCAAGATGACTTGGATAATAGCGCTTTGTGACAAACACCAGATACAGCACTGGGACTTGATCAACAGCCGATACCGCACCGTGACGTCACTAACCAGCAGGTGGCAGTAGTGTTCTTTGAAAAACATGGATGCCTCCAGTAAAGCACATTCACATGAAAATTACTCTAAATAAAAACCAATTATCATTTATTGAATATATTATAATTTAATATTTAACGTACTTTCAGAAGTTTGAATTCTGAATATGAGCGGACTTTTCCTTTACCAGCCAGGATGAAATCCTTGGCTTTGACCTGCTTTACTGGTTTTCTACGAAGGAAGTTTGGTTCCCTTCATTCTAAGCAAACTCACTGCAGGAACATTGGATCCTTTGTTTTTTAGCATCATCTTTTATCAGAGACCTGCATCGGTTGACTCTAGAGCTGTTGAACTTATGAATAGTTTCAAGTGGGACTTAAATTTGTCTTTTATTTTATTGCATCTTCAATCTGTTTCTCATGATAAAACCCAGTAAATCAACGATGGAGAACAAACACTTATTGTTCCTGCTGCGCTCCTCTTTCCTCCGATCCTAAACTCAGCATCGCATTCAGAATCAGGTCAGTTAAGTAACAAAAAAGGTCTAATGGGATATAAGTAACCAAAGTCTAACATGTTGGTTTAAAAAAAGGTACTAAATATAAAACTCCATATAAAAGTGGAACCGAGTGAAATAAAATTAATTCAATTTATGTTGGAGTTTCGAGGTTTGTTATGAACTGAAAATAACCCTGAGATGATTTATAGTAACGTTTATAAATGTGAGATATCCATAGAGGATTACAGATGGCTTCATTGGCTATTAGCCTGGGCTAGCATGACAGGAAACGCTCCATCGGGATTCCATAGAGGACGTGGATTCTAACAAGAACTTCTGCCATCGCAAAAGATCATAGAAACAAATCAGATCAACTGCTTTCAGCCTTCCTGTTGTCTGCTGAAAGTCTTGCTCTCACTCCCTGAACCAACAGCAGCTGCTTTTAGAAACAGAATTGAGTGTTTGAATGTTCCTCCTCTGCCTCTAGGTGTTCTTCGTCATCCGGCTGATCGCAGGCCCCATGGCCAACGCTTTGCCCCCCATCGCAGACCCAGACCCCCTGATGGCGTGCGACCTCATGGACGGTCGCGATGCCTTTCTGACTCTGGCACGGGACAAACATCTGGAATTCAGCTCGTTGAGGAGGGCCAAATGGAGCTCCATGTGCATGCTAGTGGAGCTGCACAACCAGAGCCAGGACCGCTTTGTTTACACCTGCAACGAGTGCAAGCTCCACGTGGAGACGCGCTTCCACTGCACCGTTTGTGAGGTGAGTCCTGACCTGTCCTTAGTGTCCTTATTTCCTTTGTCTTCTTCCAGTTTAATTCATTTTGCAAGAACAATTCACTATATTTTTCTTTTAATACAAACCCAATTGACTAAGAACTCAAAAGGTATCACCTCTGCCAAGGAGGTGATGTTTTCAGATTTGTGTTTTTCTGTCAGTCTGTGTGAAGGATAACTTAAAAACTTATGAATGGGTTTTATTTACATTTTTTCCCCAGAGTTGCACCTCATGATAAGGAGCAATACATTCACTTTTTGGTAATGGTCCAGATCTGAGCTATAGGTTTAACCCCTAAAGCCTTAAGGGGCTAAAGAGCAAATTACGTACGAGAATTAAAGAAAGTTCAGCTCCCAGCTATAAATTAGAAATACGATTGTTTGTATTTTTGTGACAGAAAGGCATTGAGGAATATTTTTCAGGTGGAATCACTATTTTAGATGTCATAATGTGGGATTAATAGGCGATTAAACACAGAAAAAAATGAAAAATATTTAGCTGAAACACCATGAAAGCCCATTTGAAAGTCTGGATGAACCCTCAGACTTTATAGATCCACATCTTCACTATAACTCAAATACATTTGGGCTGAAGTTGAAGCATCTTTGTTCCACTAAAGTTTTAGTGAGCATTGTGCTAGGAGGAAATTTGATTTTGGCCCAATGCCTGAATTGGCCAAATTATGCATTTCTTCAACTCATAAAAGAGAATCTGCTCAGACAAATATACTGATTTCCATTATTGGAGACCTTCTGCATAAGGCAAAGCCTTTGCTCGCTACGGAAGCCGGCAGACCAAACCCGATGAAAGTGCGCATTCAGCGTCTGCTCTTGATAATGCAAGCGTAGAAGAAGAAATGTGCTGTTTACCTGTGCAAAGAAAGAAACAACGAAAGAAAAATGTCTGAGGACTTCAGTGTTGAGGAAGAGCATGAGTTCTTTGCTGAGCTGAATGCGCTGTTTCATCCGGTTTGGCCTGCTGCGGCTTCCGTAGAGTCGTGAACTCGCATGTGCGCGCTTTTAGGAAATCCTATACACTACTGTTTATGCTCTAAAAACATTCTAAATGACTTCGTTTCGAGTAAATTATTGACGCTACCCACTCAGGACACTTGGAATGCATTGGACGAGCAGTATGGAGGAATATTGACACGTTTTTTGTGGACTTTTATGGACCTTTCTGTCTCGGTCACCATAGACCTCCATTATTTGAATGTCAGCAGACAGCAAGAAGCCTCCCAGATCTCCAGATGCATTTGAGATATCAAAAAAGTACTCCAGAGTGTTGTTCAGCATGGGGGGGAGTAGAAAATGAAGGCTAATCATGTTTTGGGTGTACTATTCCTTTAAATGTACACTGATCTGCTAATTTAACGGAAGTCGTTTAAATGTCCCTTTTAGAATGCATGCGTGTTACTATGGGTACGCTGGTCTGATGGGGGGTATGTTGACCTGACAGAACACCGGCCATTAGGGGGCGGGACTAAAAATCAATACCTGCTGTTTCATTACTCCTGCAGAGTCACGTCAGGTGGAATTTTAAATCTTGTGAAAAAAATCATTTTGAAACATGTTTTAGAAGTTTTTAAGCCCCATTTGAAAAGCATGTGGATGAAACGCCATGTGACGGCGTTTTGGTCATTTCTATAAATAGATAAACGTGAGCAGGTGTCAGTTGGGCTTGGTACCGGGCTAAAGGGGTTATGTCACACAGGTCCAGATGTGCTGCTAGTGGAGGTCTTCTCTCTGACTGCTGTTCTGGTGTTAAATAGGATTCTAACCCCTAATTTTGTCGGTTTGCAGGATTACGACCTGTGCATCACATGCTACAACACTAAGGGCCACGAGCACAAGATGGAGAAGCTAGGCCTGGGCCTGGACGACGAGAGCAGCAACCAGGCCGCCGCCGCCACCCAGAGCCCGGGAGACTCGCGCCGCCTCAGCATCCAGCGCTGCATCCAGTCCCTGGTCCACGCGTGCCAGTGCCGCAACGCCAACTGCTCGCTGCCTTCCTGTCAGAAGATGAAACGCGTGGTCCAGCACACCAAAGGCTGTAAGAGGAAAACCAACGGCGGCTGCCCCATCTGCAAGCAGCTGATCGCCCTGTGCTGCTACCACGCCAAGCACTGCCAGGAGAACAAGTGCCCCGTCCCCTTCTGCCTCAACATCAAGCACAAGCTGCGGCAGCAGCAGCTGCAGCACCGCCTGCAGCAAGCCCAGATGCTGAGGAGGAGGATGGCCAGCATGCAGAGAGTGGGCCAGACCCCCTCGGGGGGCACACCCGGGGGGAGCGGTCTGCCGTCTCCCAGCGGAACCACCGGCCCCGCTACTCCTACGTCTGTCGGGACGCAGCCTCCGACCCCGCAGACCCCCACCCAGGGCAACATGCCCGCACTTCCTCAGCCCATGAGCGGGATGGTGACTCCGGGTCACCAGCAGGGCGGTACGATCCCCCCCCAGCACCATCTCCACCAGTTCCAGGCAGAAGGGATGATGGTTTCCCCCCAGCAGCAGCAGCACCTCGGCGGTCTGCCTCCATACAACCCCAGACCCCCCGGGGCGTCTCCTCACCACCCGTCGCTGGGGAAACCCGGTTTGGGTCCGTCCACCCCGACACAGCAACAGCCCAACCAGGGACCGGGGGCCATGGCCCCTCAGGGCCAGCAGCAGGGGCCTCCGCCGGCCGCCGTAGAGACAGCACTGAAAATCCAACAACTGGCAGAGAGCCAGAGCCGGATGGCTCAGGCCCAGGCACGGATCCGAGGTCTGATGCCTCAGCACCCCCACCACCAGAACAGCCCGGCCCCGATGATGCCCCACATTGGGGCCCAGAACCAGGGGGGGGTCGGCAGGACTATTCTGGAGCAGCAGCAGCACGGCGTCATGCCCGGTGCGCAGCCGCAGCTACCCCCCCAAATTCAACAGCAGCTACAGCCCACCAACCAGCAGTGGGGCCCCAGGGGCCCGACCATGAACCCGCAAGTAAGGACAGGCATGATGGGCCCAATGGCCCCACAGCAGCAACAGCAGATGAATCCGCAGCAGGCAGGAAACCGAGGCGGGATGCCGGGGTTGGGGCTTCCAGAAGGGGCCGGGGGGGGCCCTGGGCCGATGCAAGGAGCAGGCGGCTCCGGAAACCTGCCGCAGGCTGCAGTTCAGGAGCTCCTGCGTACGCTGCGGTCCCCGACCTCACACCTGCAGCAGCAGCAGGTCCTGAACATCCTTCGCTCCAACCCCACTCTGATGGCCGCCTTCATTCGCCAGAGAGCGGCTCGGTACCAGGGGGCCCAGGGAGCCGCAGGGGGGCCGCCAGCGGCGGGGCCTGGAGGCGTACGGTTCCCGGGGAACCCTGGAGGACCCGGGCCCAACCAGCTGGGCGGTTTGGACGGGCAGCAGCAGGTGGTTAACCAGACGGGGATGAACGTGGCTCAGGGTGCAGGCGGGAACATGGCCACCATGGCTCAGCTGCAGCAGCTGCAGCGTCCCATGTTGCCTGGCAACCTGCAGCAGCAGATGGCGGCTCTACAGCAGCAGCAGCAGCAAGGGGGGGCGATGCAAGCGGGACAGCAAGGCAACATGGCGAACATGCCCCCCCAGTTCAGAGAGATGCTGATGAGGAGACACCTGCAGCAGCAGCAGCAGCAGTTCCAGCAGCAGCAGAGCTTCATGCAGCCGGGGCAGGCAGGCATGGCGCCGTCCTCCCAGCCGCAGCCCACAGGGGGGGGCGTGGGGGTTCCTCAGCAGCAGCAGCAGCAGGGAGGAGCGGCGGGGGGGCCGGGCCAGCAGCAGGGATACCCCATGTCTCAGGTGGCTGCGGCGCTCCACCAGAAGTTCCAGCATCAGATGCAGATGCAGCAGAACCAGATGGGGGGGCATCCAGGACCAGAGGCTGGAGGACCGCCACCCCAGCCGGGACCGGGCGGACCGGGGACGGCGCAGCAGCAGCAGGCCGGCGGCGTGATGGTCCATCAGAACCTCCATCAGAGGCTCCTGCAGCAGCAGCAGCTGGGGGGGGGCTCACCCGCCCACCACAGTAGCCCCATGAGCCCCCAGATGGCCCAGTCCCCCCACATCCAGGGACAGGGAGGTCTGGGCTCGCTCGGCAGTCAGGTCCGTTCCCCCCAGCCCTCGCCCAGGCCGCAGTCCCAGCCGCCGCACTCCAGCCCCTCCCCCCGCATGCAGCCCCCCTCCCAGCCTCAGCCCTCCCCTCATCGCATTTCCCCACAGACCCAAACCGGCTCCCCCCACCCGGGTCACGTGGCTCAGCACCACCCCAGCAACATGGCTCCGCCTCAGCCTCCGCAGCAGGACCCCGGCCCGTTCGGCGCCGACCAGAACGCCATCTTGTCCCAGCTGAGCGGGATGGCGGGGATGCACGGAGGTCAGGGCAGCCAGGCGGACATGTTGGGGGGGAACAACAACAACCAGGAGCTGGGGACAAACGTCAACCACAGTCTGATGTAGCCTCGCCGTGCCGGGGGGGGGGGGGGGGGGGGGGGGGGGCTGTATTTTTAATTTAAACTCTTTTATGATGTAAAAAAGTCGAAGTAAAGCTTCCTTCCTATGGGAGATGTGACTTTAATCCTAGAAACCAATAAATGGATAAATTAAATCAATGGTAAGTTATTGCTGTTAATATATCTTCTCTATTTTTGCCAGTCGTGTAGAAAAAGGCCGAAGGATCCAGATTCTGGTTGAAACGTTTCTTCCTCAAATACAAAAATATTTTCTGGGGAATTTTTTTTTATTTGTAAGATTTCTAAGAATTGAAAGGTGGTTAAAAGAAGTGGTTGTTTTCCCTCCTGTGGTGATCACGTATCCTCCGTCTTCGGTGAACGCAGCGAATTCCAGGTATTTATTTTTTATTAGCGCAGGCAGGAGGGGGGGCGTGTTGTTTTTTGGTTTTAATCCTGCAAGAATAAAACGGCGTGTCGTCGATTTCTCCACGAAAAGGTTGTAAATATTTTCCAGCGCTGTTTTTTTTTTTTTTTTTATGCGACCATCTTTTCCCGCTAACGGATTAATCCCGCCTCCTTCGTTCCCTCAGTCTGCAGCGACGAGCTTTGATCTGTCAGTACTGTAAATGATAGGAAATTGTGGTCTTGGATTCTGTTTTTTTGTAAAGAAATGTCTAAAAAAACTGTAAATATTTTAAAGATCTTTTGTTTTTTCTCCCTCTTTTGTGTCTCCAGATGACAGAAGTGCTCCTAAGCTACTGTACAGTATAACTTTTTTTTTTTTAAGTGTACAGTTTGGGTTGTAGGTCACAAAAGCACCAATGCGCCTTTTTTTTTTTTTAAGTGTATTTTTTTTTGGAGAGGCAGGGGTTATCAACACAGCACCCACCTATTGTACTATTAAAAAAAAAAATGTCCACGTAAAACCTGCACAAAACGGAGCCAAAACGACGGACGGATGAGGTCGACCTAAAACGAATTTGGTTTAAACGATAATCCTGCTTTTTTTTTTTTCTCTCTAAATGTCAGGCTTGCTGGAGGCGGGGAAGGAACACATCAAAAACCAGGTTGCAATACATCTTGAGACTTATTTTATAAATAATAAAGAAACAAGGATAAACCGTCTTTTATATATATAAATATATATAAATAGATATATTATTTAATTTTATTTTTTTGGAAATAAAACTTGAAGCTACAGGAATTATTAGATAAATGTTTTGTTTTCTATCAAAGGTGTTTTACGGTGATGCAAAAAGATACTGCAGACAGTTATTCGGCTATGGAGTCCATTCTACCATCCTTTTGATGACATGTTTTATGTACATGAATAATGTTGTATACATATTGAATCACTGTACAAACAAATGGCAACTGAACAAATTTTTTTCCTAAACAGAGACTGGAAATAAGACTATTTAAATTTTAGTATTCAAATGGAATTGTTGACCACTTTGTTTTCCTTTTTTATTTTGTTCCTCTTAACAATTTTGGTGCTTGCTGAGAGAAAGCAAAAATACCTGTTGCTTCTTTTTTTTTAAGTTATTTTGGTGGTCTGATTGTTTTTGTTTTGTTTTTGCCAATAAATTAATTGTAAAATAAAGTATGTTTGTACTATTGGAAAAAAGGTTCCCTGGTCGTCTTTATTTACATTTATTAAATTAAATTGTAATGCAAATAAGGGGCCGTTCTGCTGGTTTGAATGAAATGGAACTGGTTTCCAGTAGCCAGCATGGGTGGAGCTAAATTACGACCATGAAGCTTGTTCAAAAAGATATTTCTTTAAATGTAAAAATATAAAGATTTAAAGCTGAGAAGAGATGTTTAAGACAATTTATGTTTTTTTTGCAACTCTTTGGTGTGGGATGGGATTTAGATGACATGGTCTGTAGAACAAAGATTAACAGCTGAACAAAATTTTCCCAAATAACACTTCTGAAAAATGTGAAAAACAGAATCTAAAAAGTATTTCAGTTTCAACTTAATCAGTAAAAAAAAAAAAAGTTTTCACTTTTTCATTTTAAAAACACTGTTGGTCGGCTTCTTCCCTCCAATGGAAAAAATCGTGTAGTTGCTATAGCAACACAGTGATGCCCCCATGTAATCTGCAGCATATCTCTGGTGCAGGGTAACATAAAATATAACATTTACCCCTTTCTTAAAACAATGTATATAGTCAAATAACCCTTTCAATTGATTTTTTTTTCTTCTACCTAACTTTAGATTTTTCGTCAGTGTGATTAAGATGCAGCAAATCGGTGGAACTTCCATTTAAATGCCCTCGTTTTCTCCGCCATCAAGCCGCTGTCAAACCTGCTGCCTAAGTCCAGTGAGCCTGCACTGATGCAGACTCCTTATTTAATGGGATGGAGGACGATATTTAATTTCCGGGTGGATCATCTAAATAAGTGGTCCTCCTAATAGTCAATCATTCTGATGATATGTTTACGTCAGACCGTCCTACGTGCTCTTTCTCATTAGCTATCTTTTTCTGTTCATTTCAGGTGTATATCTGGTGAGTCATTGAGGCTCACCTTTCTCACCGCAGTTTTTGGAAAATGGCTGAGGGTCGTAAGGGAAAAAAGCATTATGGGATTTGCTGTCGCTACCTGACAGTGGTGACTAATAAAGATGGCGCAGGCACCGTGCAGTGAGGAGGAGGAGTTATCAGACCAATGGAGCATAAAGCAGTAAACTTAGTTAACTGAGTTCACTATAAAGTTCACTATATAGTCCCCGCTGTAAGTGGACACACTGAGCTTGTATGAGCTATTAGAGAACAGCACATTTTAAACAATGTGTGTGCAAGAGCGTGCACGAGCCCCTTTCTCCTCGTGCACGCTCTTGCACACGCATTTTTTTTTTTTAAGTGGAGAGGTTGGGGGTTTTAAAAAAAAAATCCTCCACAATACCTTTAAGTGCTGAACGGTCCACTGACCCTACCCACTAGGTGGTTTGGGACGGCCCTTAAAGGAATAGTACACCCAAAACATGATTAGCCTTCCTTTTCTACTCACCCCCATGCTGAACAACACTCTGGAGTACTTTTTTGATATCTCAAATGCATCTGGAGATCTGGGAGGCTTCTTGCTGTCTGCTGACATTCAAATAATGGAGGTCTATGGTGCCCGAGACAGAAAGGTCCATAAAAGTCCACAAAAAACGTGTCAATATTCCTCCATACTGCTCGTCCAATGCATTCCAAGTTTCCTGAGTGGGTAGCATCCAGAATTTACTCGAAACAAAGTCATTTAGAATGTTTTTAGAGCATAAACAGTAGTGTATAGGATTTCCTGAAAGCGCGCACATGCGCGATCACGACGCTACGGAAGCCGGCAGACCAAACCAGCGCATTCAGCTCGGCAAAGAACTCATGCTCTTCCTCAACACTGAAGTCCTCAGACATTTTTCTTTTGTTGTTTCTTTCTTTGCACAGGTAAACAGCACATTTCTTCTACTACGCTTGCATTATCGGCAGAGCAGACGCTGAATGCGCACTTTCATCTGGTTTGGTCTGCCGGCTTCCGTAGCGTCGTGAGCGCGCTTTTAGGAAATCCTATACACTACTGTCTATGCTCTAAAAACATTCTAAATGACTTCGTTTCGAGTAAATTCTGGACGCTACCCACTCAGGACACTTGGAATACATTGGACGAGCAGTATGGAGGGATATTGACACGTTTTTTGTGGACTTTTATGGACCTTTCTGCCTCGGGCGCGCCATAGACCTCCATTATTTGAATGTCAGCAGACAGCAAGAAGCCTCCCAGATCTCCAGATGCATTTGAGATATCAAAAAAGTACTCCAGAGTGTTGTTCAGCATGGGGGTGAGTAGAAAATGAAGGCTAATCATGTTTTGGGTGTACTATTCCTTTAATGTGGTGGACCCTCTTAGTGCTCAGGGGCCGATTTGAACCTGGGATTCCTGGTACTTCTTTCAGGTCTGATCAGCTAAGAACAGCTAAAAGTTTTATTAGTTTTATTTCTATGGAAATTAGAAGATGATCCCGACAAACACGTCAGAGCTTTTCATCACATTCTGTGTTTTGGATCAAATAGATTTTTAATAATTAATTTCGTTAATGTGATTTAACAATGAAACTGGCTTTTTAAAGTTTTCTTTTCTGTTAAGCAGGTGTTTTAAAGTATGTTGGTAAGTCTGTTAAGGGACTAAAAACGATGCCGTCTGCTTCTTATCATACAGAAAAATAAGTCATTAGGTGGAGGACGTTATATCCAGCAGGCTGACTGTAAGGCGCATAAAGAAATCTCCATAAACCGGCTGTTAATGTGGAAACTTTAGAAATACAGACGCAGAATTATGAATATTGGCTGGGAAGACATTTGAGCCGCAACTAACGATCCATTTAGTAATGGATATATTCATTGATCTAAAAAGCTACTTTTAGAAAATGAATATTCCAAAATGACAAACATTTGACAGAAAAACACACTTTGATGGGAAATTTTAAAAGAATTTCAAGAAGCAAAACAAAATGATTACATGTAATTTATTATATATAAATGTTTGATCCAAAAATAGTGTATTTTAAAGATTAAAAGATTGTTTATATTAGTGGAGATTTGTCTTGATTATTGCTGCAAGTTATTCTTTCAGGAAATGGCATCTTTTAGAGTCTGTGTCAAGAACTGCGTGAGAGAAATGAAAGGTCCTCCTTTAGTCAAAGCACAAGTCTTAAAAATTGGAATATACTACACATAATATGAGGTATTGTTTTTATGACAGTGTGGACTTTTAGAAAGCAAAATAGCAGCTGTGGGAAGTCCGTGGATCTGATCTGTGGCGGATTAATCTCGCTATTTCCTGCACCTGGATAAAAAAAAAAAGAACCTTTCCCAAAGTCACAGTAAACATGTGCAACTTTTATTTTCATGTCACCAGCAAACAGTCTATACACCACAACACTTCATAGACTGCAGCAGGTAATGTGCAGGTTTACATCGCAGTAAAGTGCAAAGTTCTACGCATCGGAAGAGACGGACAGATGCGACGCAAGCGACAAATAAGAGGCAACATCAAGCCCTGTAGGGGGCGCTCCTTTTTATCTGGTCAGGAGTTACGACAAACTGTAGAAAACTATCATGTTCAGTCATCTTTGTGACCCATAAACTATAGATATACATTCAGGTCGATGTAGAAAAACAAGAACATGTTTCTGCTTCCTGTCGCCCCGTGCTTCCTCCAGATTAGTTCTTTATTGGAAACATCAGCAGGGAGGAAACAGAAACACGGGAAGTCATGAACAATCTGGAGATATATTAGTCCTAAAAGTCCCACAAAAAAAACAGACATCAGGCACTTCCAATCTCAGCGGCTTCAGGTCCAGCTTGGTAGGCTGCTCCATCATCATCATCATCATCATCATCGGTTACATACGCATGTGGACCAATTCAGCCTTTAGAGTCATAATGCATCAGTTCCTGCATCCAGAGTCGGACTGAAGCTTTGGGTTCATTCAGGTGTGCTTTATTTACAGATACTTAAGCAGCAACCCCCAAAAGAGTATTCACACCCCTTTGTTTTATCGAGCTACACAGATATTAATGTGTTATAAAGGGATTCACACAAAGTGGTGAATATAGATATCAGGAGAACAGAAAATTATGTCAGATTTAGGTTTGATTGCAGTCGGTGACCAGCTTTCAGTGCAATAACTCCACCAGCTGCTAAGCAGTGTAGTTTCAACAGTCTTAGATTTAGTGTTAGTTTTAGTCTTCAGGATGAAAACTACTATTAGTCTTAGTCCCATTTTAGTCATTACGATATGTGATAGTTTTAGATGGTTTTAGTCGACTTAAACCTATAAAGGTTTTAGTCTAGTTTTATGTTGCAAAAAAAAATAAAAAAATGAATCTTTACAATTTCAAATAACTACCAGATTCTTTCCCAGACTGACAGCTCTAGCCTAGATGCTACAATAGCTGGGTATAGAATGCTGCCGTGTAGATCATTCAGTTCCGAATAAAGAAAATCATCAACCATTAAAGGTCCGGAGACATTTTGAATTATAATCTGTTACTTTAAAAACAATTTAACGCTGAAATAAAAAGCAGGTGTTTATGCTTCCATGTTATACATTGACTTCAAAAAAAAGAAAGAAAATTTTTTCATTTTAAAATTGAAAGTGTCTTTTGAAGTAGAGAGCAACAATTGTTCAGTTTGGTATATAGATAAATTCACATATTTTATAAAACACCTGAACTAACTGTTTTTTTTTTCTGTCTTAATGTTGGCAGTGGGCTTTATGCTGCCCTGCAAGGCTTTAAACCTGGTTTGAATGAAGACTAAGCCGTTCTAAAGCACATATCAAGGTGCTCATTCTGAGCCTGGATCCAGATTTATTTTTGATTCTGTTCATGGTGGAGAATCCTGCTTCACAGCAGCAGGTTGAGCCAAACATCTTCTAAATGTGCAGGGTCACCTCTGAATACACCATTTCACCTTTCTTTCACCAGTTCACCACAGTTCTTCCAGCAGTCCACACTTTCTCTGCTCTCTTTTTCTCATCATCTTCTCCTTCTTTCCCATCGCTCGGCTTGCCACAGGTTTGCCTGCTGTGTCTAAAAGTAGCAGCAGCAGCAACCCAGACTGACAGCAGCTCATGGTATATGTTTACATTATTTATCGTCTGCATCTAAAATATCAAAGATATTTTCAATGTAAATATAGATATGAAATAATACAATATAACCAACAATAACTTAAATTATGTCATTGCTCTAGGTCATCAAATCAATTCAGTTTAGTCTGTCAAATAAACTGCCTGTAGTGTCTTTAAATGTCCAGCAGGTGTCAGTATTCTGTGAGACAGTATCAACGGAGCATCAATACAGTTTGGCTTCAAGATGACTCATTAACCATCACTACTGTTAGCTACTTAGCACAGCTAGCCACAGCGCTACCCAGCGCTTTATATCTTGGTCTAACAGCTGCTTTGTTCACCATAAAAAGATTTTTTCAGTTTTGTTATCGATTAGGTAAAACTTAATCGGTCATGGTCCCGACTCAGCACACGGACACTGCATGATGTTATTATCGTTGTCTGGGTAACCACAATGTTTTACATCATGTGGCAACATTTAGCCAATCATGTAGCGTAACGTCACAGCAGATCTGGTACCTCCACCAGAGTCCATTGTTGCAGGACTATATTTTAACCTTTGTGTGAAACTATTCACAAAGTATTTCCACGTGTGGATCTGCTGCTAGCTACAACTCTCTCTAACTTTCTGTGTGGAGATCAACCCACTTTCAGCATTTTACTGCCACCTAAAGGGCTGGAGTTAGAAATTTAGTGTCTTATTCTTGTTAAATATAGTGTGAAATCTACAATGTGGAAATTGCAATTCTAAAATTGCTAATATATTGCGAACGCAATTAATCGGCCAGCCCTGGATCCAAGCATAAAACTTAAAAGTCTACGGCTGTAACCTGATGAAACGAGGAAAAGCTCAGGGGGTGTGAATACGTTTGTAAGGCACTGTACCTGCAGTCTTTCACGTCCGCCTGACTCTGTGCATTTAGACAAACCCTAAAACAGGTCAGGGGTCCCAGGCGGCTCTCTTTGAGCCCTCGCCGCCCACCTGATCCCACACCTCCAGGCCCCAGTCTTGGAAGAAGCCTTTGGCCACTCTGGACTCTCGGAAGGTCACTGTGAGGGAGTTGAGGGTGACGTCGGTGACCGTCACCTCTCCTGGGGCCATGACGGGTCGCCACAACTGTTCTGATTCCACCGCGCCGTCTGTGCTCCATTTATCGGCATTCCTATGTCCTAAAGGAAAGGTCAAAAGGTCAAACAGGAAGCTGAAACCAACTCATCTGTTCTGGAATCAACACTGATGATGCCTCACTCATCCATACAGTCTTTTAGTTAGTTGAATGAAAACTGGATCATGGTTAGATCAACCCTGCTGACCGAGCGACACACGTACCGCTAAAAACCCCATCTCTCATCTCAGCCGCCTCCTCTTCCTCCTCTCTGTGTTCACTATCCTCTGCACTGTTCTCCTCCTCCTCTTCCCATTCCTCTGGGGAAGAACTCTGGTGGTCTAAGTTTAGGCATCTGCTCCGTTTGCTTTTTCGAAGCGCCGCTTGTATTCGAGACCCGGTCCTGCAAGGAACATATGTCTCATCTTCATCCTCATCCTCATCGTCATCGTCGGGAAGCAAAGAGCGCGTCAGCGAGAGACGAAGGCGAGGAGGAGGCTTGGCGGGAATCTTGTGAGCGCTGCGCAGATCCATGGTGTAAACAGTGTTCTGAAACCCAAAAAGAGGAATATAAGCAGTGTTAGGAGCACAAGTATGGAGCTAAATTAGTACTGTAAAGTTTGTTTAAAACTTAATTTTTTTATCATTGAATAAATGATTTAATTATGAAAAAATATTGTGAACCTGAAAAAGGGATTTAAACTGAAAAGAAATGTTTATAATTCTCAAATTCTCAGGTTCCTTTTTTTTGGCTAATTTATTTTTTCAATTTCACCTGGGAATTTTTTTTTTTTTTTTTAAGACATCCCATAACAAAATAGTCCCGCCCAACAGCGGATGGGCAATTTGAAAGTGGAACAGAGAAAATCTGAAACTGAAAATCTTAAATAAAAAAAAATAAAAAAATGTTTCAGTATAAAGTAACTAATTTTTGAACAAACCTTCTGGCCTGAATTTAGCTCCATACATTTTAGGATTTTCTTTTTTCTTAAGAAGAAAACACCTCGAAAGATTTGAAGTTAAATAAGAATGCAAACTTTACTTCTCAGAAAAGGTTGATTTAAATAAAATGCAGAAATGTAGAAAAACATTTTACCTGCAGAAGGACTCGTTTTGACTTTGATCCTTTCCTCCTGTGGCCAACAACTCTCTCTTTTTCTTCTCTAAAAAAAAAAAACATAAAAAAGGAATTAAAAAGCATACATCTGATTTTTAAATGTCGGTAGTTTGGAAATAAAGCTTGATTTCAGTTCTCTGGTTGTTTTTCTGTGTCAGCCTTGCATGGAAAATAAATCCAACACCACCTGAGAGACGTGAAATCAGCTGATATGTAAATCAGGAGATTTCTTGTATCTAGAGCGGGTTTTTGGGCCGTATGGAGGAGCTTACTTGTCCTCGAAGGCCTGCACCAAGCGACGGTCCAGAATGTGCTCCTCAGGTTCCCATGTGCTGTACCTGTGGCACATCGCAAAAAAAATAAAGAAAAAACTAATTTTCCTTTTTTCTTTTCTGATAAAACTGATGAATAAAAAATAAGAAACTTTTTAGACTCCATTTTTACTGTTTCATATAATTTATCCAAACATTTAAATCTCTAAACTTGGTTTAGATCAGTTGTGCTCGGAAAGCTTTTTTTTACTCGTTGGGAATTCAATAAAACCTGCTGGAGTGAAAAAACGGGGTGAATTTTCTTCCATTATTGTTGAACATGTTCTGTAAACACTTTTTTCAACACATCTAGATAGCAGTCTGATCTGAGCAGAACACAGTCGCTCTTGAAACTCTAACTTATTGTTTCAGATTACTCCTGAGATGAAGGTTAGGTTGCGGTAATGTTGATTATTCTACCCCAACATGACTACAGATGCTGCTTTTTGACTAGTTGCTGGAAGAAGATAGAAAATCTCCCCAACCTTCAGATAGAGGGAAGCAGGTTTGACTATTTCTTTCATATTTCATCTAAGAGTCTGATCTAGTACCTAAATGTCTGAAGACTCACTCTTAATTCAGAATTTTTTTCTCCCCTCTTTCGCTCAGTCCCTGTTAAGTTAAGTATCCTGGAAATGCTGCTGATCCATCCGTTTTCTGTCATGCTTTATCCCAGCTGGGGTCACAGTTTTGTATTTTCATCTTTCTTTTTATTTATTTTTTGTATTTTCTGTAAAGTGACCAGAAAGGCGCTGTCAAATAACATGTATTATTATTATTATTATAGTTGGTTCCTATCTCCAGCTGTCTATGGGCGAGAGGCGGGGTCTAGCCTGGACAGGTCGCCAGGGCAACACAGAGACAAACAGGACAAACAACCATTCACACACACACTCACACCTACAGTAAGGAGAATCTAGAGAAGCCAGTTAACCTAACAGTCATGTTTTTGGACTGTGGGATGAAGCTGGAGAACCCAGAGAAAACCCATGCATGCTCAAGGAGAACATGCAAACTCCATGCAGAAAAACCCCGGTCCGGGAATCGAACCTGGACCAGTGCTACCCACTGCGCCGAAATGCTGCTTATATTATATTCTGATTATGGTACTGTATGGTCGACATATTAAGTTTTCTATGCAGTGATTTTTCTACATTTTACCTTTGAAGATTCATAAAAGACGATAAACAATAGGTGGAATATCAGGATCCTCCCCATATTCAAATAGTAAAAATCTGGAAAAAATACTATTGTGGAGGATTAGATAGATAGAAGCGCTCTCCTGCTGTCAAACACGGTGGTGGCAGCATCATGCTATGGGATCAGGGATGTAAAAAAAAAAGAAGACCGATGATTAATTGTCATTCAATATTTTTTTTTTTAGATCAAAACTTATTTCCTCCCATTAGTTGATAATGTCAGCTTGTATCGTTGTAATGTCACATCAGGCAAGACAGTGTGGAGGACAAACGGTGGAAACGTTGAACGGTAAATAAAAATATCTGCATGAAGCATCGTCCTTAAAAATCCCAAAGCTACAAACATTAGGGCCAGGCTAGAATTATTATTAATTTTTTTTAAATACAAGAAAAAACCATAACATTATGAGAATAATGTAACATTATAAAGTCGTAATACTATGACTTTATTCTCATAGAATAAAGTCGCAACATTATCAGAGTAAAGTCATATTACAAGAACAAAATCGTAAAATAAAGGTGCATTAAGTAATAATATTGCAAGAATAAAGTTGAAAAATAATGGGAATAAAGTCATCATACCTCAAACTGTTTCAGAAAGAAAGCTTCAAGCTCCGACCAGCAGATGACAGCCGAGCGGCTCCACCAATCAGCAACCTGACTGCACTTTGTCTCATACTGATAATAATTTGATGCTAAAAGGTTTAATATTTCCTTAGTTGTGAAACTGATGCCAAAGTTCACAACATGCTCGACATTCCTTGTTTTAGGAAAGACAGTGATTCTTGTGAGAGTTGTCATAAAATATGACTTTATTCTCGTAATTTTATGACTTTATTCTCGTAATTTTATGACATTATTCTCGTAAATTTAATACTCTATTCTCGCAAATTTAATACTTTATTCTCATAAGTTTATGACTTTATTCTCGTAATTTTAATACTCTATTTCTCGTAAATTTATGACCTTATTCTCATAAGTTTATGACTTTATTCTCGTAAATTTATAACTGTATTCTCATGTTTTTATTACTTTATTCTCGTTATTTTATTACTTTATTCTTGCAATGTTATGACTTTATTCTCGTTATTTTATGACTTTCTTAGTTATATGATTATTCTCATAAATGTATTCTCGTAATGTTACGATTTTATTCTTGTAATATTGTGACTTTATTCTCCTAATGATGTGACTTTATGATTTTACATCATTATTCTAATAATGTTCTGATTTTATTCTCCTATTTATAAAAAAAGCTCTAATCTCTAGCCTAGCCCTAATATAAAGAATTTCTTCAATTTGAAGAAATTCAGTTTCTTCTAATTGAAATGTAATTTCCATTTGAAGCCATTATTTGATCAGATATCCTTTAGATGTTCATACTCACTTTGGAGGCCATCCTTTCCACTTCAGCAGGTATTCCACATTACCCTGTGGGGGGGTTGGGGGGGTCCAGGAGCAGCGTTAGATGTCATGAAAGTAAAGGAAAACAATCTGCTGTTGGTCACATGCTTGTATGAGAAAGGTTTTTGGCACCAATAAGAATCATTCAGACTGCTGCACTCAAACATCACTAAAGCCACCAAGCTTTTCCTTCAGATTCTTAGAGGCCTGAACTACTGAAGCTCTGTTGGATCCACATGTAAAGATCTGCAGCTGTTTTGTCACATTTAGTGAATAATATGGATATAAAAGCCAAAGCACTCAGAGTTACACATCCTTGGTGAGGTCATTTGTTTATAACCTCCAAGGCCTAAAAGGTTTTCCCCGCAGATGAAGTCACCGCTTTCCCTAACTGTACATCTTTACAGATATGCCTAATTTATTTCACATCATTACGTTGTGTTAAATCAGCTCTTTCTTTTTTCTAAAACATGTTATCTTTTCTGAGGAATTTAAAGCAACACTGCTTTACCTTTTAGCTTCATTTGAGAAACATTAATGTTTTCTGGAAGTAGGGTACAGGTAGTATAGCGCCCCTAGTGGCTAAGAGAAGCACAAATTTGTCAAAACAGTTCTGTTTAAGTGGAGGAAATGATGCTGTCAGACTAAACTAGTAGATTTTCACATGACTTTTAGACTCATCTAAAAATCTAATAATCATATTGTTGTTGCTTTTCAATGAGCTCTATAAGAATCGACGTCTGTCTGCTCCTTATTTTAAGAAAAATATTAAGCTCTATGAGTGTTTTTTTAAGACAAGATGAAAACATTTAAATCCTGAAAGTAAGTGAATGTTTGAGAGAGTTGATTAAATATGTATGGAGGGTTAAAGGGGACAAAAATAAATAAATAAATAGGTCATAAAAGCAGAAGTGTTCTAAAATACTGAATGCATTACATGTCAAATCTAAAATTGAATAAATGTACCATTAAATAATTAAATGTATAATTTATTTATTCAACACATTATTAGACAAATATGAAATAAAATTATATTTTTTATAAATAAATGTTTAAATCTCAAAAACCCTTTATGTAGAAAAGATAATCGATATTTGTTTTTTGTCAGATTATTTAATGATAATTCTAGTTTAAAAGAATAGAATTTCCTGTATATTATTTCACGTTTTAGGCTTTAAATGGTTAAAAAGATAAAGAGTGTTCCCTCTTTATAAAATTATGTGACGGGTATAATCATTGAAAACTGAGTGGCAATATGGAACAAAATGGATAAAATATGTCATAAAGTATAAAAAAAAAGAAGAAACTAAATATTTTGCTCAGGTGGACTTTTATGGAGTGAATTCTTTCCATTATTGTTGCAGGCAAAGAATACATTTTGTAAATGGAAATAATAAAAAAAAAAAAAAACAGTTCTGTAAACTGAAATAAAAAGTACAATCCAGAAATTACAGTTTGACAATTTTTTTTTAGATAAAATATAAAAAAAAGCTTTTTATAGTATATGTTGTTTTTTTTTGTTTGTTGTTTTTTTCTCGTTTTTTTTTCATACTCATGAAGCTCTAGCGGAAGTTCAATTGAAGAAACTCTGGCTTACCTCCATGATCCAATCAGAAGCTGATCCGTCTCTGACGCGAGCCAATCAGCTTCGAACTACTTCACCACGAAGCCCAATCAGCATCCTGCTTTCACTTTAAAAGCACCTTCAAATCCCCGTCTCAGCCCGCTATCCAGCAAACGCAATTTCAGATTTTATTCAGACGACAATTCACCCACCTCCATCCCCTTCTCCGCCATCGTAGCTGAGTCGTCTTCCATGACATGACTTCTACCTCAACCTCATCAGAGTGTATTAATCCCAGTCGTCACCATCCCTCATCTCATTGCAATTGGTCCGGCAGAAGACCACCATGTTGAGCCCGGTTCTGCCAGAGGTTTCTTCCCAAAGGGGAGTTTTTCCTCTCCACTGTCGCTTCATGCTTGCTCATCATGGACAGTTCACGGTACCTGCATCACCAAGCAGGGCCTCTATATCCCGAGTCTGAGTGAAGTCCTGGTGTCAGCTCCCTCAGTCTTCTGGTCCCACAATACAGCTCAAGCTGATCACCTCATTAACCAGCTCGAACTAAACCACCACCAGTTTCAGGCCGGGGGGGAACATCCCTATTCTCATTCATCTACTTATGCATGTTAAAGCATAATTCAGCATAAATGTTCCTGCCGAGGTCTGAGCGCCAAAAGCTATACTTTCATATCAATAAAATTCTTCTAATTATCTTTTCTCTCTGTGTGAGTTTTTCAGATTGAAATATTTTAATGTCTGCATCATGAGCATTTCCATTGGCCTTAAAGTCAAAAGAATGTGATCCGAGACACTTGATTGGAAAATAATACAATTCATCAATCTCAATCAGTGAAACAAAAATTTTACTTTTTCTTTTTAATTGAAAAAAAAAATTATAATTTGAAAATATATAATCTTTAAAAAAAAATGAAGAAAAAAAAATCCCCAAATAATTGAAAAAAAAATTATTTGAAATAACAAAATTACACTCAAAACCTTTTTTTATTAGAAGGTTTTTTTTTTTTTTACTTGCAACAAAATTCACTCCATAGAAAACAAGCCGTTTTTTAGCCAACCTAATGCCGTATCATCCAATCCCAGTTGGCAATATCTACATTTTGAACTGAATGTGAAAAAAATTACACACAACCTGCCTCTGGAAAAAGTTAAACATGTTCACCAAAAATAATATGTAAATTAATCAGCATTTAAAAAACTTTCTTTAGTTAAGTTAATTGACACGGATTATAGGAGATTGTCACAGTATGATAATCTTGAAAAAATTAGCTCCACAAACTGTACACTAAAAAAAACAAAAAATAGATGTCAAACATTTGATTGGATTTAAAACAAAAAGTTTAAGCAGCTTCTTTTTTTTCAGTGCTACAAAGAAAAAAATATTGTATAATTACATTTGTATCAGTGTTATTTGCAGCATTTCATCCCATCAACGATAAGATATAGAAAAAGCAAAATTATAAGCCGACAATTAATTATCTGAAACATAATCTTAATGATTATTGCGCAGAAAAACGTATTGCTTCTGTGTTCTTTGTAAATTAACAGAATTGTTCAGTAATCCTGACATGGGGCCGAGTGGTTAGAGCAGCGTGCTTGTGCTCTGAGGAGGTTGCAAGTACCTGGTTCAATTCTCCGGGCTGCACTCTGGGTCCCTGAGCAAATCCCTTAACCCCACACTGCTCTCTGGGCGCCACACAATGGCAGCCCACTGCTCCCCAAGGGCAGGAGCGATTTAGGATATTTGGGGGCCTAGGCAAAGACAGGCAGGGGGCCCTCTGAATTGAGAAGATACACATAAAACAGACCCATTCTACAGATAGAGAAATGTTAATAGAATAGACATCCATCATTGGTTCTAGGTTTTGTCCCTCTCTTCTTGTCCCTTTTCTTCTTGTTTTCCTCTCTATGTTTTGTACTCAGCTGACTTTTCATGCTGTCTCTAAAGGAATGAAAGATTTTTTCCAAGCACTAAGCTCACTTAGCTGATTGCTCCTTCCTGTGTTTCCAAAAAGGCCAAAGTAAATAACCCAGTCCTTCTTTTCACTGTAGACAAGCCATGATCTGCTTCTCTGTTCTCCATTTTTCATTTGGATGAAATAATAGCTGCATGAATCATGACAGCAGACAAGATAGAGGTGAGCAGGAGGCGGGGTTACCAATCTACTTGCTCTGGAGAGCAGAGTTCGCTGCTTTTAGATGTTGTCTCCAACGTCTCCAGTAGCAGAAAAAAGTCGCTAGATTTGGCGCTAGGAGCTTTTTAGAAATCAAAGTGCTAGAGGGGTCTGAAAAGTCACTAAATATAGCAACTAAAGCGCTAAGTTGGCAACACTGCTCTTTGCATTGTTTGTTTTTAAATGGTTTGCTGCTGTCATTTTGGACCTTTCTGAACATGTGCAGCAAATGGACTGATCCAATATGGTGGACACTGAAGGGGGCTGATACATACTTATAAGCATTCTGATGGCATTTTAGCCAAAGGATTTTGATCAAAAACACAATTATTGTGCACAAACAAGGAATACTTGTATTAACCATACATGTAAACAAGAGTTTTATAGGGCACCCAGGAACTTGGGGCCCTGGGCAACTGCCTAGTATCGCCTAATGGTAAATCACCCCCCCAAGTCGATGGGTTAAATGCAGAAATTTAATTTCTCCAATGTAAGATTAATTTCCATTATATAACATGTAAACCTCCTGCAGACTGTAACTTGTTAATTGTAACCAGCCGTTCTAAAGAGGTGCTTTATAGGAAAGTTAGGTGATAATTTTAAAGTACCAGATAAAAGTTTAATTTTACAACATTTAAATCTGGACCACGTGTGTATCCCCTACATAGCTGGGAAATAAAGTAGAAATGAGCAGGAGGATCTCAGGTGCCTCATGGGGGGAATGGGGACCCTTAAGTTGTAGGTACGCACCTATTAATGTCAACACAACATGGCATTGAAGCTAGAACTAATGAGCAGGCAGACAGGCCCATCATTCACTACAGCTGATGGTGTTTCCTCCGCGGCTGAAGGAGGCCATGAGATGCTGCGCAGTGACAGCAGGAACCCGCTTCTCTCAGTCTAACAGAGTTAACTCAGCCTGATCCTTCAGCTTCCTCCTTTCTAACACCATGACGTCCCCAAACACGCTGACATCATCCCTCTGCTAAAGTTAACACTTCAGCATCGATGTCTGCCCCCCTTCTCAACTCTTACCTTTCTGAGTCTTTTCTTTAGGATCGATTCCACGGCGAACACTTGCTCTCCGATGGCAGAGAGCTCCATCTCTGCGCGCTCCGCTCTAAGCTAACGGTAACGGCGCGTGCCTCCGTCCTGCTTCGGTTTGAACAGGTTTATCCACAGCAGGAGCGTCCTTCGCTCCAATCTGGTGACTTTACAAAAATCTGCGACACATCTGCACGGCGAACTGCTCTGCGCGCGCTCCCGGAAGCGCGCACCGGATCGGTTGGGGCGCGAGCCGCTGGCTGCCTTATCATCCTCGTGAACAGCAAACAGTGCTAGTACACTCAGCTCCTTCCTATGGGCCGCTTAAACTTATAGTTATTTATTCTGAAATAAGAGAAAAAAATGCGGGTTCATTTTTTTTCTGTCGTTATATTTTTAAATCGTTCTTACATCTTTAGATATCACATTTCCAAACCAAACATTTATCAAGTTAAATGTGCAGTTTACAAACTAAATATTTGAACTTGTTAATTAATATTGATTTAGAAAGCTAAATATTTTTGCACTAAATTAAATAATTAGAAAGCAAACTAAATATTTGGTTTACAAAGCATTTAGTTTTCAAACTAAATATTTAGCTTCTAATTAAATATTAAGTTAAAATCTAAGTTTTAAGTCTGAACTCAAATAAATATTTAAAAACTAAACATTAAAATATTAACAAGGAGGCCCCAGAGTTATTGCCCTTTGTGGACAGCACAACCATAAACCATTACATGTCAGAGTTCTTAAAGATCTCCTAGGAGTACAGAATAATACAGAATAATACATAATATACATAATGAAAAGGCCGGAGCTTGACCAACGGGCTGCTACAGACTGCCTATTTCCCCTTATGATGTCACAAGGGGAATAATTTTCAAACAGACCACTTTGAGCACACATTAGCTAAGAGGTGGAGAAAGCTGGTGAGTGTGGAAAGGTTTTTTTTTTATGTGCGAACCTCATACACAGCTGTTACAAAATGTTTAAAAAAGTAAATTTTAACCTTTTGAATTAAATTCAAAACGTGTCTTTAATTTGAAAGCAAAATATTTAGTTAGTAGATATCAGTATCTTTCAAATGGCAAATAAATCATTAGCTCGGACCTAAACATTTAGAATAGAATTAAATATGTGATTTAAAGGTAAATATGTATCTTTCTAAATAACAAAAAGTTAAATACAGTTTTTTAGATTAAATATCTAACTTTCTAATTTAATGTTTAGTTTGAAAATGTGAGATTATTAAATATCTCAATGATATGTAGATAACGTAACATTGAAAAGTTAAACCCCATTTTTGTTTCTCTTATAACAGGCTGAATAACCCCGATTATTGCTGTGAGTAACTGACTTTACGAACAGCACCCCATAGCTTCAATGCAGCAGAACCTCAATCTGCTAACATCCTTGAAGAGAAATAATATACATATTTTGAAAAGGTATTCACACCCTTTAAACTGTTTCACATTTTAATTAAAACCAACACAGACCACACTTTTACATACATTTTCATATAAAAGATCAGTACAGCGTATTGCTTCATCACTTCCGAATCCCTCATTGATGTTGGTATTGCTCAGATACAAAGAAAATACACTGATGTCAATACCAACACCAACGTTTAGAGTATTATTCAGTTCATTAATAACAGCAGTAACTCATAAGGCTTAAAAATATATATTTATATTTTTTCTAGGTGTTGATGCTGTAGGCAGGAAGGCTCTTCTGTAGAGGTCTGTCTTGCACTGGATCTGGAGGAGCCTCTGACTGAAGACATTCTGTTGGTGAATAACAGTTTGATGAAGAGGATGCTCACTGTTGTCTATAATTTCCTTCACTTTATGAAGAATTAATCTTTGTGAAATAATCTCCAGAGGTTCTAGAGGAGTTCTAGAACAGAGCCGCGTCTTTATTACCCCTTACCCCAGAAGATGATGAGCAAGAGTTCACACTCTTGATAGAAGATCGGCAGCATCTGGCTGCAAACACTGAAGAACTTAGCTTCCATAGGAAATCCAGCCTCCTCTGTTCCTTCTTGTAGAGGCTTTATAGTACGGACTCATAAGTAGGAATCAGGAAGAGAAGGCAATAATTTAAAGTTTCATTTTTTTAATACTTTTTCAAACAGAAGCACAAAATGATGGCTTCACCAATACTGATACCCAATAATAAACTGCCTATTAAGGGCGAGAGCTAATATTTACCGGTATATTTTCAGCCCCCCCCACCCCCCACCCCGCCAGCGCTGACAGTGATTTTTTTTGCTTGAGTTAAACACTACCAATCCTGAAACACATCATAATCTCTACCATTTCAATGATCCAGCAACTGCATGAAAATAAATGTTTAGATTGAGGGGAAAAAAAAGCTTAAAAAAACAAAATAACAAATATTTCACTAACAGGACTCCGTAATTTCATATAAAATAATAATTTCTAACCATTATGTGCTACTATGATATGAATTTAAAAAACGTGATTACCGGTATGTAACTTTAAGTTGTAATTTTACTGGGCTGATTCAGAAAACCTTATTTATTAATTTATACAATAGAAAACAAATCTGCATGGATGCTTTCTTAAATAAAATACAGTGCAAAACCTGATTTTAGAGCAAACAAGGCAAAACGATTAACCCTTTATAGGGCACTTTATAGGGTACTTTGAAAATCAAAACTTCAAGCCAAAAATGTTATTATAATACAGGACAAGAGCTTACTACCTTTGTAACATAAATTTATGTCAGTGTAATAACAAGAAAAGCCAACTAAATATTAAATAAAAAAAGTGCTTCTATAAGAAATACATTAAACACTGAGAATGAAAAACACTTTTTTTTTTGGTCCAACATAACCTTAGAGGCATTAATGCTGATACTGGCACTTACATTTGTTAGTTTATAAACCTAAATATAATTCTTAACTAGGCTATTAACTTTTTAACTTTTCAATAAGCTTTTTGCATGTTTTTCTTGACTTAACATTTTTTCCAACTTAATTTATAGTAGGAGATATATCATTCAAAGGCTTATATAATTGGTCAAATCCAAAAAATAAGATATACAGCCATGTAGCAGGATCTTTGCTGAATGGCTGGATATAGATATTGTACTTCTAGACTTCACTGAGGGATGGGGGGGACTCCATCTATAAGGGGTATGCAAGATATCGAAAACGGTATTAAAGGTTAAAAAAAAACAACACACACACAAAGAATCACATTACAGGTGTTTCCTGGACTATTCAAAAACAAAAGTATACACACTAATGAAACCACAATAATGCAAAGAAGCCTTTTTTGGGGTGTAAAAGTATCAATCCCCCAACAATAGTGCTTATTATGATACCAACTTCTGCTGCTCTCTAGCAAAACATAGAAAATATTTGAAATGCATTATATATATATATACCTGTAGATGGTGATATCTATATCTATACATAAATACATATACATATATATATACACACACACACACACATATATATATCTCTATATATATATATACATACACACATTGATTTTTATAAATATATATCTATATATATATATATATATATGCATCTCTACCGTTTAAAGGGCCACAGAAAGCTGTTGGTGAATGTATAAACGTTTACAATATTACTGATTCACACAGAGACATGAGTTGCCAGTAGGAGCATTTTATTTTTTATGAAAAAATAAAGTACACTGACAATCAGGATTCCTTAAGAGGACGGACTTAATGGATTGTCATGGCAATAAAGCAAGAAAAAACAAAGTAAATGTGATCTCAGGTTGTCTTATCCGAGTTCAGTGAAGGAAAATATCCGACATTAATTCACATGGATATAATGTGTCATAAAGGGATTAGACAGGCGTGGAGTCTGAGAATGTGGTTTCAAATTCAAAATAAAACATGCACAACTTTTTTATTTCTTATTATATAAAAGAAAAAAGGTACAGATTAGCAGATTCCTGTAACATAAATTCCTTGGCAGAGAAATGAAACCTCATCGCTCAAAACAAAAGGGCATTTTCCATTTCTCTTCTTTAGTTATTAAAAACGCCTTCAGGCTTTAATCTACCGATATGACGCCAAACAGCAAAACTTACTCTTAATTTTTCTGATACTTTATATGTAAACAAGTTAAGGCCGATATAATCATTAACATGTCCAGACGCATGTTTAATACAAAGAGTTTAGAGACGTAACATCCAACATCTGCCTTTTCTCACAACTTTCATTTTTCATTCTACTTTCTTGAAACCTGCCAAAACATTTTACTCTTTAGATTCCTTCCAGATATTCAAGCTAACAACCTTCATCAGCCGTCTAACCTTCCTCCAATTCAGAACCAAACTATTACCGTAAATAACTTCCTGGGACAGTCTGTGGTTTCATGTTAAAGCTGTATTTGGCTGCTGTGTTTTAATAAAAAAAAAAGAACAAATTGAGCCCTTTATCTGCCGAGTTCCTGCTACAGAGGGCTGCGCATTGACGCAAAAGATAAGGTAAAAAAGGAAGGAACCCTGGAAGCAACCAATCAGGGCTTAGCGAGGCATTTGAGTGGTAAAGAGCAAGCATATAAACTTTTAGTGTACAGTAGGGATTTTTTTTTTTTATTATTGATCATTCAGTCAGTAGGATTCAATCAAGTCATCACACAAGGCTGAGTGCAGTTCAGAAAATAATCCTCCTCACCATCTACAGGTGGACAGATCCGACTAAAGTTGATCCAAAGAGAAATTCACCCTAGAAAAATAAAAAAATCTTTTCCATTTACTAGAGGGTAATATTTGTGTGTAGTGCAATACTTTTAAAGAATTAACATCGTTTTAAGCGAGCTGAAGCAAATATCCACTAGAGGGCGTACTTGGCCTGAGTGTTGCATTGCTGTGTTGCTGTGATTGGATGGATAAAGTTGGGGGGGTACAGTAACAGCAGAGAAAGGATACACTTTGGTGGGAGGTTAAGGATGGGGAATATAGAGTAACATAACGCATAAAGGAGAGAATAGAAAAACAATGAATGTGATCGTCACAATGTAAAAAAATCCCCTTTTATCCTGACATCCAAAACTCCCAAAACTTTGGAAACAATAGAAAAAAAAGAATCTGATTGAAACAGATTGAAAGAACTGAGAGTCATTATTTGATTCTCTGCGAAGTGTTTGCCTCCTTCATTCCTTTGTGTCTCATGTCAGATGAGTGTTCAGCAACTGCTGTGTAAACAAAACCCAGGAAAAGAAGCGTGGAGGAGGAGGAGGAAATGCGGTGGAGAGGACTTCAACTGCAAGGGTGCATCCATGCCGCTTCCTGTGACGGGTCCGTTCCCTGGACGTGATTGGTTGCTTCAACTGTTAGCCATCTGAGCGCCATGTTTGATGCGCCTCCACCTCTTCCGAGACAACCAGCAGGAGTTCACAGTTCTTCCCTCGTAGCTGCTGACGGAGAAACTTCCTAGATGTTTTGTTTTTTTTGAATGAGAGAAACAGGAGAGACAGTAAGACAATAACATAAAAAAAAAGAAGCTTTTTTATGAACCACAAAAAAGGTGAAGCAAGGAAAGCTGACGAGGAACACTGGGAAAGTTGACGGCTGGCCAATAGAGGGACCTAGAGCACCGACCCCATGACCCTGATTAAGACGTTAAAATTATTATTATTTTTTTGTAATTTCATTTAAAATATTTAAACGCTTCAAAAATATATTTATATATATTTTTTTGTTGTGCATGATGAATATTTAATCTTTATGACAAGTAAAGCATAATTCAATTTTTTTGTACAACGGTCAATGGGCTTTTTACTTGCCCGTTGACTCTCGTTAAAAGTTGTACATGCGCAGCAGAGGAGAGGTGACAGGAAGTGTGTTTGCTCACCACCTCTCGCCACAGTGTTTTGTGGGTGATTGACAGGTCGAGTCGCGGGAGTTGGAGACGCGCAAGAGAGAGAAATGGTGCAAGAAACGTCCTTTTCCAGGACCTGGTTTAGCTACAGGGCTAGGCTAACTGCATGCAGCGAGGCTAACGCTGTATTCTGCTTTCCCTGCGTCCTTTTTCAAAGGTCACGATCTGATCCAGCATGGATAAAGACAGCTAGGACTGATTTAAAGCACTTTTTAAGAAAAGGCCAAGAAGAACTACTTTTTCTAGATGTTTGTTCATTTGCATAGTTGCTCTTAATTAAACACATTCTCAGAAAATAAATATTTTTTGTATATTAAAAAAATATATATAGCTGACTAATAGCTTTATTGTTAAACTGGTAGATTATTTCTTAGGTTTTTGACACAATATGCAAAACCCAGATTTACCAAGCCTCAGAAGGGCAAAAGTTATACACAAAAAGTAAACCTGTACATGAAATTATGTTTTGCATTTATAAAGATAATTTATAATGTTTTTTGTTTTTGTTGGTATTCATATAATTATACACACACCCCTATTCAAATTCTCCTTATCAAATAAAATTTTACGAATGTCTTTCTTTTCAGATTTGTTCCAGATTACTGTTTCTTAACAGTGAGGAGCAAAGAAGCCTTTCTATTGGTCTGCTGGATGTCGGCACATTTTTTCTGGAATAAATGAAACATAAACCAGTTTCTAGTTCTATCCTTTCTATCTTATCTTATTCTCACCTGAGCTCATCCGGACTGCCAATAGGCTGAGGGTTGCGTAGCTTAGAGTCCAGGTTGTAGTAAACCCCTCCCACCTCCCTGACTCCAATCCAGTGCTGGCGTTTAAGAGGCAACCGGAGAGGCCCCCAGCGCAGATTGGACGGTACGTTCAGGATGAAGCCCTCCACGTTGGAGAGCTCGATTCTGTCTACGTCTCTGTGGAGGTAAAAGACAACTCAAGTTAAAAACATTATTATAGGTGATCTTCAAAACTTAAGAGACTCATACATGTTAATAAAACTCCCCAAAAAATAGGGACAGAACAGGTTTGGTCGTAGAGTGTTGTTAAAACTACGCGAAAAGCACAAAACACAGATTCCACCCAGAACATTTAGCTGTCAGCAGTATTATAGCACTCAAGAACCGGTATTCACCCATCTACTATTTTATAGTGGTTTAAATGTATGAAAAATTCCTACAACATTTTTAGCTTATTTATTTCATGTTTTTTTTTTTTTTGGTTTAGATTTTTCCTTTCAAATATTTTTAGGAGATGGATTTTTACGAACTCTATTCTCTTCAATTCCTGTTTTGCAGATTTGAGCCTCTATACTCCTACAGAAATGTGTCTGCTCGTCTGTTAGCTACAGCAGGAAACTTAAAAAATTATAAAATTTGGAAAATTATATCTAAGAGAATAAAATATCCCCCTCAAATTTGAAAAAAAAAGATTTAGAAAACAATAGGTAAAAAATATAAATAAAAATCCATAATTTAAGACATATTTGAAAAAGAAATAGGATTTGATATCTGAAAAAAGTAATGCCCCAAATAAAAAAAATATCCATCCATCTATCTATATAATATTCATGAGGGCTGTGCCATTTGAATATTTCTGCTAGATGTCCCTCCTTTCTCTGAACATATTCAAATCAGTCCAGATTAATAACATGGTTGCTACACATCATCACTGTTTTTAACCAGGTTAGAGTTTTTTCATCCACATTATGCAAAATGGTTTTAAAAAATTCCATTTTTGAAAACAATTTTATTTAAATTTCCCTTTTCAAAAAGTGTTGTTTTCTTTCAATAATATCGGAACACATTTCTCCCCATACTATCCTTCCCAGACAGGAGTGTAAATAAATAAAACAGAAACTTTGTGCTGCATGAAAAGGGAGCAGAGGGAAAGTAGCGCTCATCGGATGAGTAACGCGGATTATGTTCCTGTTTAGAAAGACAGGAACTGATTTGAGCAGGAAACATTTCAGCGGCCACTCATGCTGTTATCAATCCTGTAAGGCTCATAATAAAGGAAGAACAAACGGAAGGAAGTGCTGACTAATTACTGATTGCTTTAGTTTAGATTGAGTGATGAGCCGACCTCCTGTTTGCATTTCAGGCTTCAGTCCTGACTGGTTCCTGTCCTTATGAACACTTAGATTTAGAAACATGTGGAAAGAAACAACCAAACATGTGGACGCAAACAAAAGTGTTTATCTTTGGGGTTTTCGACCTCTCCCCAACCAATCATGGACCATGTGGGGAATCAAACGAAGACAGTGGTAAAAAACAAACTACAGATGTACAGAGAGTGATGCCGTCTCACTGGATCCAAGCTCAGAAATCTCCCCAGTGGTGGGATGTGTTACAGGTGGAGAAGCTCAGAGGGACACTAACAAACTGAACAGGACTTTCAACAGCATGATCAGGCAGGAATTGAACTCTCCGACAGTGATCATCAGAGAGGACAATGTGCTCTAAAGTAAACACCATCCTGGACTTTCCCTCCCATCCTCTCCAAATCAGCTGCACAGTCTACGCATTTTGCCACTGAGCACCTCAGGAGATTGTTTCTGCTGGTGGAGTTCACAGCAATGCACTATAAATGACACTTTACTGTAGGTGACAAATCAAACTGTATAAGCCCTTTATAATGAGCCTGTCTGGCTCTTTATACTTAAGTAGAAGTATAGATACTGCAGTTTAAAAACACTCTGGTAAAAGTTAAAGTAGCAACTTGACCGCTTTACTCAAATAAAAGTGAAAAAGTATGTGCTCCAAAAACTACCTAAATTATAAAAGTATAAAGTAACCTTTAAAAAACAGCCAGATGCCACTATATGAATTGAAAGCTAAATTTTTCTATTTCGAAAAAGATAGGATGAGGGAGGTCTTGTTGGTCTCCGTCTCCCGATACGCTCTCGCCTGTGTCCGACCTTTCAGACATTTCAACATCTTTTTCTGAATCCATCATTGCAGCATGGCATAGACAATTCACGTTTGCAGTTTGAAGAACACCTGCTGCTTCTGATGATTTCCTTTAGCTAACCAATGAGTGTTTGCGTTCTATGAGTCATCCAATGACACCAGTTTTCACTAGATGTGGATGGAGCCAATGATCTGCATTGGATGGAGCACATGACGTGAAATAAACATTAAATCAAAGCCAAGAGTAACGAGTAACGTTTGTTTTAAAAATGTAAGAAATAGAAAGTACAGATACTTGTTTGAAATGTAATAAGTAGAAGTCAGAAGTAATAAGAAAAATAAGTACCTCAATACTTAAATACAGTTACTTGACACCTCTGCTGCCTGGTGACATGGACAGAAAAAAAGTTTAAATCATGGCCAAGCATTACTAATGCGTAGGTAGGAGATAGAGAAATTATAGCCAGCATGCAATGATTAACCGTACATCCTCTATTGTTGCCCTGATGCCTTTCATCTAACATTTTTTGTGCGTCCAGTAATAAGCATGCAGTCTCTCTGGTCCTTCCAGCTGCTTCTGGACGAAGTCAATAACATGGCCAATGTCCACATACTCTTTATGTCTCAATCCGTATGCTTTCAGCACCTGAATTAAATGTCTCTCACCTCTCACCTGTGTTTAACTGCAAGAGATCGCAGGATGTCACATTAGTCCATTCCAAGGATAAAACAAAATGAAATCTATGTTCTTCATGTTTCTAAAATGTATGCTACACCACCATAAAGGAGCTCCCTCACAAATCTAAATCTCAAATATCTTGTTCACACGCATTAGTAACACGTGGCCATGATTTAACATCTTGTAAACCTTTTTTCTGTCCGTGTTACCAGACAGGCTCCCTACTTTTACAATTTATTACCATTTTTAAAAATCCACCAATCCATCTTTTCCTGCCTATTCCATCAGGGTTGCGGTGTGGGCGGGGCCTATCTGTGGCACTTAATGGGCGAGAGGTGGAGTGGACACATTACAGGGCATACAACCATGCACACACTCACACCTTTCAGAGACACCAATGAACCTAACAGTCATGTTTTTAGACTGTGTGAGGAAGCTGGAGTACCCGGAGAGAACCAGTGCATACACAGGGAGAACATGCAAACTCCATACAGAAAGACCCCAGGCTGGGAATCGAACCCAGAACATTTCTTGCTGCAAGGCAACAGTGCTACAAACGGTGCGAGCATGCAGCCCTGCTTTCAGAAATGATTTAAGTAATTCTGATTTACTTTTAAGCTAAATGTGCAAACTAGTTAAAAATCCATAGAAAATAAATTAAAAAATAATAACCAACCCACCTTGTCTCAGTATGGATCATTTTAAAGATCCAAAGTCACTTTATACTCTACAAAAAGACCAAAAACAATAAGATCCTGATAAACTAAAGGCCAATTTATGCTTCTGACGCATAGCCTCTGCAACCGTCAAATCCGTCTCGGTCCTCAAAAAAATTCCTGACTACGCGTCGGACAGTCGCAACCCGTGCAGACAAAAAGCAGCTGTGATTGGTCCTTGGTGTGCCTTTCCAGCTGTCCGTGTGGTCGTCCTTCTCGATACAGTGCCAGGGAGCACCATTTTTAAAAACCGAGGAACAACTATATTGAACAACTACGACGAAACATTAATCGAGGAGGTTTGGAAGTACAATCCGTTGAAGTTCTCGGAAGTTCACGATTAGGCTCCCCCTTGCGCTTTGGCGGGAAACTGCTGTGCGTCCCTAGAAATTCCAGACCTACGTTGCAGAAGCATACCAGCAAAACTGGTGACCAGACCCACGGGACATTTGATGTGTGCGGTTGCAGATGTATAATCTGCCCTTAAAGGGGAACACCGTTTTTTTTTTTTTTTTTTTTTTACATTGGGCCCTTGATTTTACGTTATTACATCATGTTCTACTCACCCCTATTAGTTTTGTGTCAGCTCCAAATGACACAAAACTCATATGAGTTAGTAGAACATGATGTAATAACGTAAAATCAAGGGCCCAATGTAAAAAAAAAAAAAAAAAAAAAAACGGTGTTCCCCTTTAAGGTTACATAACCAAGCATCCATCCTGATAGTGTTTAGAGTCCGTTTTGAGCCTAAATAGAATTGCAGCAGCAGCTGCAATGAGCTCAGATTGAAAGAAAGATAGTATTAATTCACAAACTCCTGAAAATACATCTTGCCAAATGCCAACAAATGCATTTGGCATTGATAGAGAAATGTTATGGACCAATGAAACGCAGCAACAATTCAATTTTCTATTCAGTTTATTTCTATAGCTCCAATTCACAACAGTTCATTTCAGGTCACTTTACTATGTGAGTGAAGTTGGCCCCCCCACCTTCTTCAAATCAGACAAAATTAGTGTCAAACGTTTGTGCTACGTTTGTGCCGCTATTGTTTTAAAGATATAAAGAAATATTTCTAGAGGTCATCAAAGGTCAACCAGCCCCCCCACCTTCTTCAAATCTTCAAATCCAAAGAGGCACAAATGAACATTTTTGCTGCACAAACCAGCACAAACGTAGCACAAACGTTTGACACTAATTTTGTCTGATTTGAAGAAGGTGGGGGGGCCAACCTCACTCAGGTCACTTTACAGAGACAATTCAACCAGATCGAACAATCAGATTGGTTAAAAGTTTTCTATCTAAGAAAAAAAACAGCTGATTGCATCGACTCATCGACTGTTGAGCAATCTCTCAAACCAAGCATGCTTGTAGCGACAGTGGAGAGGAAAAACTCCCTTTTAACAGGAAGGAACCTCCAATGTCTATGGTGGCAACGCGTCAACCAGAGGTGGAAGCCTGAAGAAAAAACAAAGATCAACATACTTTTGAGTTTTTTTTACTCTGGATCTTAAGACTTTCCTAATTATTTGCACAACTCTGCTGAGAAGTGCTAACTTGCTAAGCAACATCACTTCCTTGAGTACCTCCTCCTCACATATGCAGTATTCTACCTCCAGTCAGTCTCTGTCGTTATTGTCAACCAAAGGCCTTCATTTATAACAAACTGAGAAAAACAGATGCATACAACAAAAACACAAAACACCGAAAAAATGCTATAATCTTCCACAAAAATCTTTAAATGCAACCAGAGTAAGCTACTAGTTCATAAATAAAAAATAAAAAAAATTGTAAAAGGTGACTAGGCTATGAGTAAATGAAAGTGACTCTTGTCATTTCTGTGATTACAAATGTCTCCTTTTTCCACATTCTGGTAATAAACCACCAAAATGTTCACTCCAAGCTGAAAAACAAAAACTATTGTGTTTTGCAATATTCTCAACTTAGTGAGTTGAGATCCAAGTCAAGATTGTCTGATGTCACCTGATTGGGAAGGTCGGGCATGCTAGTGCATTGGTTAGCACACACAACCCATGTACGGAGATCTTAGTCCCCGACGCGTCCGACCCGGTTACGAATCTGACCTGTGGTCCTTTGCCCCATGTCTCTCCCCTTCTTTCATACCTCCTGTCAGCCTACTGTCCAAAAAACAAGCCACTAGTCCCTGAAAGGTAGTGGAAACCAGCATGGATGCTGCTAAAACTTAGCTTTTTGTACTAAATTTATTCCTAAGACAAGGTTAAACAAGAGAGTGTTTCTGACTGTTAATCTAATAATGGGGGAAACACCTTTTCTTTTCCTGCAGGGATATGAGATAACTGCCAATAAAACGTTTGCACAAGTGTCTACATTTCTAAATGTGAGTCAATAACGTAAAAACTAATTTTGATTTTTTTTTCTTGTTTTCATCTCACTGATAGATGCAATATCAAATCTTTATCTGTAAAAATACAAGTTTATATTTAATGAATACAATTTACAAAGTTTCAACTATGGCTGCAGCTAACCAGTATTTTGCCAATAGATTAATCTGTTCTTCAGATTAATTGATTAATAATCGTATAGCAAAAGCTTCTTAAAGAAGATTTTTTACAGAATTAAACCAGGTGAAACTAAAGCTTCTGGATAGAGCAGATTGACAAAGTTTTGGTATATTTCCTACTCTAAGTGTGTGACTCTGTCAGCTAAAGGCATTTCTTAGAGTCTCTACACTCCAGGTGTAACTTTATAACTAAACTGCTTTTAGAGATAAGTCACCTGATGTCACATGTATGTATAAAATTACAAGAAACAAATACAAATCTTGAATAAAGGGGTTGGCTATACATCGACTTACGTTTACAAATGTAGACAGCTATGTAAAAGTTTTATTGAAAGTTGTCTAATCTCATAGCTGGTATCTAAACACAGCAGATTAAAGGATCATCAGGAAGAGCACCAAAGTGGTCCAGCAGATGCATCGTCAGTGGAAGAAGAGCCATTGAGTCTTCAAATTAACCTGAAAAGGGTCATCAGGTCATATCCAAACACTCTGAAGTTATTTATTCAACAGCAGGAGGGTTTATTCATGGGTGTTATGTATGTAGGACTAACCAATATTAACCTCTATGTCAGACTGCAATGCTCAGCGAAATGTAAATAAAAAAGATCTGAGCGCCATGTCAGACTGTGCAGGCGGGGGTTAGCGTGGGGTTCAAATGTGAGCCTGCTTCATCCGTCTGAGAGTGGATGAAAGTGGGTCATTAGCAGTGTGGCAAACGTAGATGAGAAGGCTGCAGTTTTCTGGCTGATGATCGATATTTTAAAAGAATAGACCTTTAATATATTTCCATCTTAACTTTTTGAAAAACCTTAGTGAAACAATAAGAACAGCTAATAAGGTAGTGCTCTCAAATAGAAATAAGAAATAAACCAGCTGATTGCATCGACTCATTGACTTGAAGGCAATCCCTCACACTAAGCATGCTTGTAGTGACAGTGGAGAGGAAAAACTCCCTTTTAACAGGAAACCTCCAACAGACCCAGAACCAGGTTCAGTGTTGGCGGCCATCTGCTGAGGCCCACTGCAGTTCAAGGAGACAGAAGCAGAGATACGCCCCATTTTCACTACCCTCTGAAATCCGATCCATGCTGAGGTTGAATCCGTTAACCGTGCTGAACTCGGTTCCTTATGACCATTTGCACACCATGCTAGCACAGCTGATCGCCTCCTAGTGGAGATATACGGTACTACTGCTCTCTAGAGGTAAACAAACCAACATGGCGGCGCCCTTAACATTCAGAAAGTTTGCTGAGAGTGAAGCGGAGAAGGCAGCCTTTGGTGAAGGTACTTGACAGAGTGGGGAAGTGGATACGAGAAATGATAGTCTAATCAGGCAGACGTTGAGGTTCATCACACTGCTGAGCAGAATCATAACTGGAGATGACGTGGTCTGCTCATGCGCTCTTTGTTATCTGAGAACCGAGCCAGAACTGAACAGCGCCGAGCCCTACTGATGAACTAGTACCAGTTTAGCGCGGTTCAGTTGTGTCTGGGGTGGTCCGGTTCAGTTGTGCGTACCATTTATGACACAGTTATCTTAGGTAGCGTGCTCGGACCGATTTCGGCATGGTTTCAAAAGCGTAGTGGAAATGGGGCTACAGAAAGAGATGCAGAGATGCAAAAGGAAACTGTCAACCAGCTCTGCAGAGGGGCCCCGTCCAGCAAACACTCATCCAGGCAGACGTGCTCCGAGCCAGCTGCCATGTCAGAGGATGAAGAGAGCACATCAAGTTAGTCACAGTCAGAGAAACAGGACTACACTGATCCATCATCAATCAGTGCAGCTCTAGTGGACAGAGCTTTAGAGCTAACATGAAGTTCATGTCTAAAAACAGCCATGTCTTCAAGCTATGATATAAGAGAAGAGTGGGAGAAGGTTTCCTAATAGCTGTGGGAAAATCTAAACTGGGAGTTCCTTTTTTCATGACTGTATGTGACATGAGGGTAAACCCCAGTGCACCATAAGCATTTGTCAAATGTCCAATACTAAATACTTTATTGACACAAAGAGATATGCAAACAACCAAAGAACAAGCAGAACTTAGCATTAAGTCCAACTGAAAGCTGGGGCTAGGCTAAAGCTAACCAAGTTAGCGGATACCCCGCTTTCAGCTACTCTTCGCTCTCGCTCTTTTTGGTTTCATCACTGTTCAGTAAATATTTGGAATTGTTTTGTGCATATCAATAAAACAAAGTGCCTCACATACCTTCTTTTATCCCACCATACTGCTTCAAATCCGCGGGTCTGCAAGGCCGCCATGATGACATTTACATCATAGTTTCCATTTCCCAGCATGCTCTTTTTGTGAGGTGTCACCATAGTGCTGGGACATAACCTGCAAAGTGTTGAGAAGGAGGAATCAACCACTGTCCATATGCAACATTATATGATTCCTGGCTGTTTTAGTTTAGATTTTATGAGAAAGATCAAGACAAAGTAGCATCTAACTATGGAGTAAAAAGAAATGGTTAAAAAAGATTAACTAGTCCATGCATTTGTTACTTCAAGGCTGGACTATTGTAATTCTTTACTATCAGGAAGTCCACAAACTCTAGTTAAAAGCCTTCAGCTGATCCAAAATGCTGCAGCCAGAGTTCTGATGAAAATGAAAAATCCAGAATATAACTTAAAATCCTCCTTCTCACATATAAATCCCTGTTGCAGAACTCTTCACTAACAGACTGCTGCACCCTAAATGCACCAGGGAGCGTTATCACAGATCCTTCCTCCCAGCAGCTGGAAGACTCTAGAACCACCACTGTTCCCAACAACCTCAATAAGCTGTAACATTCATGCTGATTGTGCACAGTTTCTACCTTAGTCAGTTAAACAACATGCTGCTGTCATTTTGCACATCTCTGATGTTGCTGCTATTTTCAAATATCCATTACTGTAAAAATGTCCATAGCTGCATATTGGTTATTTATTCTCCAGGTGCACAGTTTTATATTGTTAAAACACTTTACAGTACAGTATTTTATTGCTTATCTTTTAACTCTTCACTATTATGTTATTCTTATACATTTTTCTAAGGTCAAAATTTGTGACAGTTTTTTTTTTTTTTTTTTACTTTTTGCTGCTATAAACGCCAGAATTTCCCCATTGTGGGACAATAAAGGGATTTTCCATTCTATTCTAAATATGGCGTCGGGATTCCAGACATGCAATAAATGCTCCTACGAGCAGCTTTACTAAATACAGACATTCATAAACTACTCGTGCATTTTTTTAAGGTGTTACATGCGCAATTAGAGAACCACGGGCCACAATATATCAGCCACATGAGTGCTTGTTCCTTCTCTGCGTGGCTGGGGACTAGCTTCTGCTTGCTCCAATTAACTTTTGTCACTTTGAAGGCGTTACCCACCGGACAAAGCAACCCGCCTGTGATTGGCTACTTTTCAGGAAGTCCATCATCTTCAGTTGTGATTTGTTACCAAGGTAACCAGCGTGAACCGTCTTCTCATTTCCAGCTGATGCTGAGTTAACAGAAAGTATTGGGTTGTGTCAGCTAAACATTTTTTGCAGATGATCCTATAACCCTTATAAACAGACACCCTAAAGCCAATCAAAATCCACTATTTATCCAGACCATCTTATATCTAATGATAACTTCATTTACACACTTCCAACTCTTGAAACAAAACTGTAAGAATACAGCCTCAAGAGGTGGGATTTCCTGAAAAGTAGCCAATCACAGGTTAGGTTGCTTTTTTTTAAGTGGGTTTAGAGTGACACAAGTTGATAGGATTGAGTAGAAACGGGTAGAAACGAGAGGAGAAGCGAGAAGGAACAAGCACTTATATGAGGGTGATTTATTGGGGTCCCGTGGTTCTCTATAGCCCCATTTACACTACTGTCTGAACATCAATCTGAGCTTGGTTCATTACGACCATTTACACACCATTCTAGCACGGTTCCTTGCCTCCTATTGACAACTGACGGTACTACTGCTCTCTAGAGCAGTGGTTCCCAAACTTTTTTGGCTCAAGGTACCCCTACACATTTTTCCACCCAGCTGTGGTACCCCTAAACTTAAAATGATTATTTGACATTATTTGATAATAATTATTTTTCTGTCATTTTTTTCATAGTAAAGAAAACATAAAATGAAGCCCCTCGTCTTAGAATATATTTGCTTACATCAAAATAAATCTACAAAATTGTTCAAATGTAAAAATGTACATTCAATATAAAACTCTCATTAATCTATGAAAAAATCCTGTGGCACCCCTGCAGTGACCTCGTGGTACCCCCAGGTGCCGCGGCACCCACTTTGAAAACCCCTGCTCTAGAGGTAAACAAGCAAACCAACATGGTGGCACCTGTAACATTCAGGAAGTTATGATTTGTTATCATTGTGATATTTCATTGTTTACGGAGAATCAGGTGAAAAAGGCAGCCTTTATTGAATTTACTTGACAGACTTGGCTTTTGGGAAGAGGATACAACAAACGATATCCTAATCAGGGCTTCCAAACGCAGGGAACAACGACAGACGTTGAGGTTCATCATGGTGTGGCAGGGTAGGGAAGCTAGGATTTTTGTGAATGTCTGAAATTTCATGATCACGGAGGCTGACTGTGAGGAGATGACGCGGTCTGCTCATTTGCTCTTTGTTATCTGAGAACTGAGCCAGAACTTGCCGCGGTCCGGTTCAGTTTTGCGTGCCATTTACACTGAACAGTTATCTCGGTTACCGTTCTCAGACCGATCTCGGCACATTTTCAAAAGGGTAGTGTAAATGGGCATTACTTGAGCATGAAACAAGTTAAAAATGCGTGTGAGGAGTTGTTTATGAGCGTCTGTATGAAGTAAGGCTGCCTGTAGTGAGTGTTCATTATGTTGTGGACTTTTGGCCTAATCCTGATGCCATAAATACATAATTCATACATAAATAACCAAACTCCATTTAATATCAGAGATATGATTGTTCCTTACCGAGCATTTTGCTTTTAATCTGCAAGTTTACTAGTAGTTCCTAGAATTTCTAAAAGTAGAATGTGAGGCAGATCTTTTAGTCATCAGGCTCCTCTCCTGTGGAACCAACTACCAGTTTTAGTCCGTGAGGCAGACACCCTGTCTACTTTTAAGGCTAGGCTTAAAACTTTCCTTTTTGATAAAGCTTATAGTTAGAGTGGCTCAGGTTATCCTGAGCTATCTCTATAGTTATGCTGCTATAGGCTTAGACTGCTGGAGGACATAGGGACATTTCCTACGGAATTATAATTTTTTTTTCTTCATTTTTTATTATTGAGTAAATCTTAACAATAATGATATTTATATAAATTTTAAACTCTGTATTTTATCATAATAAATGTTCAAATATGCAGCATTTAATATCATATGCTACACATTTTTTTATCCATATTGAAGGTGTGGAGTTTTATTATTATAATGTGGTAATGCGACACAATTACACATAGCAGAAATCCTGGGGATGTTTTTTCACTAAATATCTTTGTTCAGGGTTGTCAACTGGCCCTTAGTGGTATGGATCTCTACCCTACAGAGGTCCAAGGGTCACAGCGACAATTTAAAGCATATTAATTTCTTGTTGGATGTTTTACTAAAGCAGCTCTGTCACCTTTGGTAGATTTCCTGAAGGGTTTCCCGGCTGAAGGCCATCCCATCCTGGAAGACATTATTGAGCGCGTGTAGCGCGCACAGCTCCCTCCGCTGCTTCTCGTGATATATGGCTGGAGTCGTCGAAATTTGCTGGGGAGGCAGTGGGGTGAGGGAGGAAGAGGAGGAAGACAGCTCCTGTTGGGGCTGACCGTCCCTCGCTTCCCTGCACCTCCTCTCCTCTGCCCCCAAAACTGTTTCCGCTCCTCCAGCTTTCTGCTTGCTGACCTTCCAGGGCATGCAGCCCAGCTCCTGCAGTCCACCTCGGCCCCTCTCCTTCCACTCACTGGCTGGATATGGAGTCCCCATCCCCGGACGTTCACCGCCACCACCACCACCACGTCCTCCTCCTCCAGCTCCACCACTACCACGATCAGGGGGCTACATCGGTGGGAGAGCAGCTCCTCTACCTCTGGGAAGAGAGGAGTCTGTGTGCTCCTATGTCAGCTGTCAGAGGGAGGTGGCGTTAAAAAACACCAAGAGGACTGGATGTAGAAAGCTAAACTCAGGTATTCATGGAAAGAAAAGGGATGTTTGATAATAATAGGATCCTCTTGACAAAAATCCTAAATCACATTGTCATCGCTCTCTGGTGCGTTTCCACTTCCTCCCATCCTGTGTGTTGTCAGTAGTGTCCCTCCAGTCACCAAACCGGCTGTTGTCCAGGATTTTCCATCACTGGGATGCTGAGCTTGGAGCTTCTTTTGCCCTGGAAACATGTGACAACCAGGTTAGAGTGTTAAAAACAAAACAGAAAATATTTTAAAACCAAGATCCTGAATTATTCTGACTGAATTCTTAAGGCTTATTTTTCCCGAATCATTGTTTTCAGTGTTTTCACAATAATTGTTTTGTGATCTACATAGAGCTAAACTATATCAAGAACTACCCAATCAAGAATGTTCCAAAAATAAAATTCAACCAGCACCCCTTAAATTGTTACATTCACAGTCAAACTATTAAAAACCCTATTAAAAAAGAACATAATTCACTTAAAACATGGGGGTCTCCAGTCTGTAGCGTTGTTATTTTTGGGGTCCCATTTTTGAGAGCCTCCCTTTTAAATGATCAGTTATCCTAACAACTTTTTTTATCCTAACGAGCAAACAGAATATGAAAGCCCCTCATTAAATAATGAACTTGGTGTCTAAACCCAGCTTTTAATATATGGAGGGAATTTTGCTCCATGGTTGTTGCAGCAAAGGATACATTTTGTGAAAGGAAATCAGAAAAAAATGAAATCCAGATATAAAAATTTAGAAAACTTCTTTATCAAAAAATGCTTTGACAGTAATTTAGCTGTTTTTTATAATATAAATAAATAAATAATATAAATAAAAATGACTAAAACCTTTCATTTTGCTCATCATTGCCCACTTTGAACAAACACCTCACTGTCTACTTAAGCTTATTTCATTCAAATGGCAAAAAAATAAATAAACTGTGCACATTAAATGGTTTCTCTCTAAGACATTTTACACAAAAAAAAACTTACAAAAGATTTTATTATACACACCAATTAACAATTTCAAAAGAAGTTAAATGGGAAAAAAAACAACATTGCAAAAAATCAGATTATATTACTAACTGTAGTTCTGCACTCCAACAGTAGGTGATGACATGTTCGCATGAAGCTTCATGGACTGTGGGGATCGTTGAAGCAATTTGGCCAAATGGCTCAATGCCTCACGAGGCTTCATCTCACCATCACTAATACAAACCCTGCTCAAGACTTGTGTAAACTTTTCTATCATTGTGTAATTCTTATTGTGTAAGTAGAGGGAGAAGAAGCAATAAAGGCTTCAAAAATTTAATCCCCGAAAAAAATCGAAAGCACATACCGGAGATCGGTTAGGCTGATGTTGAAATAATTGGTATCAGCCTTAAAAAAACTGAAAAATAAAAATAAAAATCTAACAACAACATCAGTTTATAGCTTTAGGTTTGAGGCCTTTGGTCTGAAGACCACCGTTATCTGAGAGGCTGAGAGAAAAAAAAGACTAAAAAACAAATCATTCAAATGAAAGTTTTAAAGTGGCAAGTCAATCCAATAAAGGAGTCATGGCTAAAACTTTGCATTCAAAAATCTTCCAGTGTGTGCACATTTCAATTTATTTTACAATTCAGTTTATTTCTATAGTGCCAATTCAAAACACACTTCATCTCAAGGCACACTACAGTTCACCAGATCATCCAGTCAGATTGATTCAAAGTTTTCTATCTAAGGAAAACCAGCTGATTGCATCGACTCATTGACTGTTCAGCAATCCCTCACACTAAGCATGCTTGTAGTGACAGTGGAGAGGAAAAACTCAATTTTAACAGGAAGAAACCTCCAGCAGAACCAGGCTCAGTGTGAGCGGCCATCTGCTGAGGCCGACTGGGGTTCAAGGAGACAGAAGCAGACATAGAAAAGGCAACTGTATTATTAATATTAAAATATTAAAGTAAATGTATAAGGAAAATTGGCTTTATTTCCTCCAAAGCAAAGTTAACTGACTGCCACCTGAGGAGAGATGACTAATGTCATAATAAATTACATTAACGATTCGATACTACACTTAATAACTATGTTTCATGTTCTGACATATTAAAGTGTGTAAACCTTAAAATGAAGAAATTTGGAACAACTTTTTAACAGATCTGATAACTAAAAAGTACTTAAAAATGTGTCCAAACTGTGAACCCGACGCGTGTTCAAGCAAAGCCGAATGTATTGGATGTGTTTATAGATGGTTAAAATGCAGTAAAAACAGCCTCTGCTCTTGTTTTCTGTCAGTGGGCCTCAAACAGAGAGAAATTAAACATTTCCAGCAGCTAGTTCTGAATAGAGGAAGCAAGCTGTTAGGAGAACTAGCTAAACGTGACAGCAGCCAAACTCAGGTCATAAGAAAGCTAGCGCTCACATTAAGCAGAGCCAGCCGCTGATGTAAAAATGTCACTTATATGGAGCAGGCAGTGAATCAATGTTAGCAGCATTTTTTGCCGTAAGTCTTTTGGATTTTTTTCTACGTAACTCCGTCTCTTCAGCCAACACAAACACAACGCCTTCTCCTAACTTCGTTATTCCACAACGAGCCGAGACTTACCCGGCCGGTTCCAGCCGGCGGAGGGACCGTCGAGCCTTCATAAAGCCAAATAAAAACTAATTTAGATGTTTTTTCGTTTCCTAAAGGCTGTCCGGTTCCTTTGTCTCTAATACTTTTTTCCTTCTTCTTCTTCTTCTTCTTGTTTTATTGGCGACTGCAACCAAATGGAGCATTATCGCCACCTACTTGTTCTTATTTATATTTCCTTAAATCCTTAGGTTTAGTCCAGTTTGTTGAAGATAAGATGACATGATTTTAAGTACTGTCTTTCTGGATTTATTTGAGAAGATATTTTTAATGTCCAGTTGTTTGATTCCTTCATGTTCCAGTCCTTTCCTTAAATCTATTCTTTGACTTGCATATTTAATACACTCAAACAGCACATGTTCTATGGTTTCTGGTTGACTACACATGTCACATTTTCCTACTTTTTTCCTTGTTGAGATCTGCTTCTCTGTCCGTGAAGATCCGCGCATGCGCAGAAGCCTTCCGCGGCTGCGTCAGAAAGCTCAGGAGTAGTTCCTCCCCTGACATTAAAAACCCTAAAATACTCCGTCATTTATGGGGGGTAGAAATGTTTAAAGTGGGGCTGTTGAATCGGAAGGGGGGCTGTGATGGTTTTTAGCTGACTCATCTCGATAGCCTCTTCAACTGCTGCCTCCATGAAAAACACCTCTGTGTTATGGGGAGTTTCCAGTATTCACAAGTTGAAACTGTCATCTTCCACATTCCAATTGGAACGGCCCCAAAAGTACGGAAGTGGATTAGGGCCAATAAAAAAAAGTTTACTAATTTTTTAAATTTTATTTCAGTATAATATGGGGGGCAAAGTCAGAATTCTGATTTTAATTCCAGAATTCTGTCCATAAATCAAGAGATCATAGTGTGGAAGAGGAATAGGGTAAAAAGATAACTGATTTTAAAACTTTTATTTCAGTATAAATCAGAATTCTGATTTTAATCCCAGAATTCAGACTTGACCGTGACCATTAAGGAAGAGATCGTAGTACGGAAGAGGATTAGGGCAATTAAAAAAAAAGAAGAAAAAAGTTAACTGTTTTTAAATTTTATTTCAGTATAATATGGGGGGGGGGGGAAGTCAGAATTTTTAAAGTAAAATTTTTGGGAAACCATGTTGTTTTATTTTTTACAGACGAGGATTAGGGCAACTGAAAAAAGTTAACTGTTTTTAAATTTTATTTCAGTATAATATGGGGGGAAAGTCAGAATTCTGATTTTAATCTCAGAATTTAGACTTTGACCTCAGAATTCAGACCATGAAGGAAGAGATCTTAGTAGGGAAGAGGATTAGGGCAATTGAAAAAATAAAAAGTTAACTGATTTTTAAATTTTATTTAAGTATAATATGGGGGAAAAAAAGTCAGAATTTTGACTTCAAATCCAGAATTCTGACATCAATCTCAAAATTCAGACTTTTTTTTCCATATTATATAAAAAAATAAAATTTAAATCAGTTTTTTTTCCTCAGTTGCCCTAATCCTATTCCGTAAAAAGAACACGGTTTCCAAAGAATTGAACTTTAAAAAGCTTCTAAATAAAAAAAAAAAGGTTTAAAGGGTAGATTTGTTTTTTCATAAAAAAAAAAAAAAGTCTAATATATTTTTATTTTTACTTTTAGATTTTACACCTTCCCTTTGTTATTTCTTGAGATAAAATTCTAAGAATTGTTAGTTATGTTACAAATGTAAACTCATAATTTGACTTTATTCTAGTAATATTATGGCTTTAATCTCGTTATGTTACAATTTTATTCTATTTGGCTTGATATTATGAATATATTTTGTAAATTACTTTATTTTCATCATTTTACCACTTGAATTTAATTTACATAATTTTTGTAATATTATTTTTGTAATAAAATAAAAAATCTTCAAGAATAGTCCTAATACTCTGTAGGGCAACTGGTGTATAGAAACCTAAACAGACCTCTTAGAGAGATGCTTTGCTAAATTTAAATATTTAAACACTCAACAGTACTTTAAACTTCCAGCAATTATTCTCATCCTCCTCACAACCATAAGACTTGCTTTTATCTGTTCTATACATCCTTTATGTCACATTAAAGGTTTAAATATCAACTCTTATTACATTATATTTATATATTAATGCTACCTGAAAAAGACAATTATTTTACCACTTAAAAACTGTTATTTTAATCATTTAATACATAAATAGCTTGTCTCTTTCCACAGTAAATACATGGCATTTAACCTCACAAAAACACACGAATCACACGTTATGATCCTTTAAAACTTATCAACTTCCTTTGATTGTCATATGAACCCCATAAATAACGTGGTGTTTATTTAAAACCCTTAAATTTCAGTTTATTTCTCTGAAATCCCAAATAAAATATGACAAAGCACGAAATACCGAAGTAGAGTGTGAAACAATCCATTGCACCACTCAGATAAAATGTTTATATTTCTATAAAAATATGCTCAAATGACACCATCAGAGCCCCGTTTCATAGTGTAACTTAGTGCCGCACCTTTGGACCAGTTTTTGGATAAAACTGCAGGCTGAATAAAAAAAAAAAAAAAAAAAAAAAAAAACACTATCATCTCTGTCTCTGTAGTTTCATCAGTTATGTTTTATTTTCTTAGCCAGTTCCAGGGACATGTCATCCAGCAGCTTGTCCCTCAGGTAGTCCTCCCTCCTGTGAACCTCATGGACTAAATGTCCCCTGATCTCCTTCATCTCCATCACACGCTCCACTAAATTTCTGCGTAAATCAGACCGTGCTTCAGGCGGCAGGTCTGGCCTGTTGTCCACCAGCTCCGGCCTCTGACCACATAAAGACAGAGCCCTTTTCAGCTGCCCTGAATCGGCCTCCAGCAGCTGATCCACTGTGCGTCTCCGTCCCAGTCTGTCTGCATGGGTGAGCACTGGGATGATGTATTCCATGACTCCCTCTCCAAACAGCTCCAGGGCACCTTGAACGGCTTGGATGGGGTCGTGGTCGACGGACATGCTGGAGCCTGGGGCCCGGATCACCAGCAGAAAGGCATGTGGACCTGGGCTGGTGAGCTGAAGGCTCCTTAGGGCCTCCCTGGCCCGATTGGTGTTTCCCAGAGAGGACCCCAAAATATCTGGGGTGTCAATCACTGTAATCTCTCTACCGTCCACCACCGCACTCCACTTGGTGCTCTGCTTTAAAGGATCCATGGATGCTCGGGTCACGTCTCCTCCTAACAAAGCATATGCTATGGAGGTCCGTCCTCCTCCGCCGGGCCCCAGGAGGATCAGCCTCAAACCCGACTTCTCCAAAGTCCCACTGATCGGATGTCCATCTCTAGATGATCCTGCAGAGGCGAGAAGTTTCTCTAGTGAATAAAAACCTTTTTTGATTGATTTAAAAAAAAGTCTCCCAACTCTAAAGGCTTAAGAGAAGCCCTTTCAACACCGAAGCCCTAAAACAGGGGTCAGAGGTTGACCATCTTACTGGATATCTGTGAAGACGCTGCAAAGACCCTGTTGTACAGGTGCTGGTCATAAAATTAGAATATCATGAAAAAGTAGATTGATTTCAGTAATTCCATTTAAAAAGTGAAACTTGTATATTATATTCATACATTACATACAAACTCATATATTTCAGATGTTTATTTTGTTTAATTTTGATGATTACAAATGACAACAAATGAAAATCTCAAATTCATCATATCAGAAAATTAGAATATTGTGAAAAGGTTCAAAATTGATGGCCCCTGGTGCCACACTCTAATCAGCTAATTAACTCAAACCACCTGCAAAAGCCTTTAAATGGTCTTTCACTCTAGTTCTATAGGCTACACAATAATGGGGAAGACTGCTGACTTGACAGTTGTCCAAAAGACGACCATCGACACCTTGCACAAGGAGGGCAAGACACAAAAGGTCATCGCTAAAGAGGCTGGCTGTTCACAGAGCTCAGTGTCCAAGCACATTAATAGAGAGGCGAAGGGAAGGAAAAGATGTGGTCGAAAAAAGTGTACAAGCAAGAGAGATTACCGCAGCCTGGAGAGGATTGTGAAACAAAACCCATTCAAAAATGTGGGGGAGATTCACAAAGAGTGGACTGCAGCTGGAGTGAGTGCTTCAAGAACCACCACACACAGACGTATGAAAGACATGGGTTTCTGCTGTCGCATTCCTTGTGTCAAGCCACTCTTGAACCACAGACAGCGTCAGAAGCGTCTTGCCTGGGCTAAAGAGAAACAGGACTGGTGAGTGGTCCAAAGTCATGTTCTCTGATGAAAGTAAATTTTGCATTTCCTTTGGAAATCAAGGTCCCAGAGTCTGGAGGAAAAGAAGAGAGGCACTTCATCCACGTTGCTTGAAGTCCAGTGTAAAGTTTCCACAGTCAGTGATGGTTTGGGGTGCCATGTCATCTGCTGGTGTTGGTCCATTGTGTTTTCTGAGGTCCAGGGTCAACGCAGCCACATACCAGGAAGTTTTAGAGCACTTCATGCTTCCTGCAGCTGACCAACTTTTTGGAGATGCAGATTTCATTTTCCAACAGGACTTGGCACCTGCACACAGTGCCAAAGCTACCAGTACCTGGTTGAAGGACCATGGTATCCCTGTTCTTAATTGGCCAGCAAACTCTCCTGACCTTAACCCCATAGAAAATCTATGGGGTATTGTGAAGAAGAAGATGCAATACACCAGACCCAACAATTCAGAAGAGCTAAAAGCCACTATTAGAGCAACCTGGGCTATCATAACACCTGAGCAGTGCCACAGACTGATCGACTCCATGCCACGCCGCATTGCTGCAGTAATACAGGCCAAAGGAGGCCCAACTAAATACTGAGTGCTGTACATGCTCATACTTTTCATGTTCATACTTTTCAGTTGGCCAACATTTCTATAAATCCTTTGTTTTTATTGGTCTTCAGTAATATTCTAATTTTCTGATATGATGAATTTGAGATTTTCATTTGTTGTCATTTGTAATCATCAAAATTAAACAAAATAAACATCTGAAATATATGAGTTTGTATGTAATGTATGAATATAATATACAAGTTTCACTTTTTAAATGGAATTACTGAAATCAATCTACTTTTTCATGATATTCTAATTTTATGACCAGCACCTGTATAAAGCTATAAAACGGGGGTCGGCGAGCTGCGGCTCCCCGGACCTTTTTCAAAAATTTATGACAATAGATTTTTTGTTTTTGTTTATTTTAATATGTTTGCAGGAGGTCAAACAAACATTATGTTTTCCAATGCTGTAAACATTTTAATTTAAACAATAAATGCATGTTTGCTTTGTAATGAGAGGTTGTCAAAAAATAAAAAGAGTCATTTGGAAAGGTATTTCGAAGGAAGGCTAAATATGCAGCCCACTACCAAGTTGGGAGTGAGAGAAAAAGTGCGATTGCAGAACTTCTGGAAAGACTAGAGGAAAGTAAAGAGAGATTTAAAAAGTGGATTTCATCTCCAAACTCCACTACTGCTGCTAGTTTTGTTACAGGCATAGAAAACCTTTCACAGATCAAACAGGTAGCGCTCTGATGCAGGGATGGGGACTTTCTTCAATTTTTTCCCCTCAAATCGTCAAAATAAATACCAAACAAAGGAACGTTGGTGACGGAGGATGTGGGATTTCAGGGTTAGAGAGAACTGCTCTGATGGATGTTAGTTCCTGCTTGGTTCCTCGTCACTCAATCAACTCCTCCCAACAGAAACACTATAGAAAGATTCCTTTATCGTGTTTCTACAATTCCATTAATGCAACAAAACCTAAAGCGTGTGGTGAAGCGGCGTGCGGTGAGTGTATCACTGCTCCTCCCTCACCTCATGTTACTATGTGACATTTGCTCCAGGACAAACATTTAATCATGAACACTTATTATATATTTCTAATAAAGCTGAAAATGTTTAATTTCTCTCTGTTTGAGGCCCACTGACAGAAAACAAGAGCAGAGGCTGTTTTTTACTGCATTTTAACCATCTCTAAACACATCCAATACATTCGTCGAACACGCGTTGTGTTAACAGTCTGGACACATTTTAAACAAAGTATTTTACAGTTTTCAGATCTGTTAAAAAAAAAAGGTTTACATACTTTAATGTTTCAGACCATGAAACGCAGTTATTATTAAGTGTAGTTTCTAATCATTGATGCCATTTATGACCTCTTTTATAGTTGGCTAATACATTTAGAGCTCGTGTTGCCCTATGAGGCTTATAGAAGACTTTTACTTTTACAGAAGACTCCACACAGATTTGTTTTTGTTTTTTTGACCCAATATTGCTCTTTGAACCATTTGGGTTGCCGACCCCTGGTATAAAGGAATGTATTTTTTCTACTTTAAAATGTTTGCCCATGTTCATTTTTTCATATAACTGACCCCTGATGTTTGCAGACATCCATTATTTTCTGTTCTTTCTTTACTTGATTGTCTATAGTTGTGGTGTTGTGCAAAGATAATTATCCCCGCCAGAATTTGTATCCTCAATTCCAACCTACTAAATATGAAACTTGGGGTGTGTTATCTTTAAGAAAGATGAGCGTTGTTACTTTATTCTTCACTCACATGTTGTAGCAGAATATCGTCTGTGATATTGATTAAACAAAAGAACATGAGAGCGTTTGCTTCAAAACGGGACGCTGACAACAGCGTAAACTCTTTTTGCTGATAGCATACGGCTCCTTGTTTCGACATGTTCCATTAAAAAAAAAAAAAAAATCAATCGTTTCACGATGACTAAATGTTCTCATCTCCTTGAAAACTGATGTCAGGGGTGGCTGTAGGAAATTTGGGGCCCTAGGCAAAGACAGGCAGGGGGCCCTCTGAATTGTGAAGAAAACACATAAAACAGACCCATTCTACAGAATAAAATATAAGCATTTTCCCCGTTCTCTAGCTTTTTCTCTGCCTCAAGCTTCTTTTCCAAACATACGGATTAATCAACCGGAAGCAGTTCAGCGCAAATATATTGCGATATAATAAATCTGACCAAATTGTTTTTATAAATGTTTTTTCTTGTGCCACGATAATCACATTTTATGAATTTTAATTGCAAATAATGCTTTAATTAAAAAAATAATTATTTAATGACTTAATGATTTTTAATGACCAGCAGAAACCCTTTATCCCTCTCTTCTTGTCCCTTTTCTTCTTGTTTTCCTCTCTATGTTTTGTACTCAGCTGACTTTTCATGCTGTCTCTAAAGGAATGAAAGATTTTTTCCAAGCACTAAGCTCACTTAGCTGATTGCTCCTTCCTGTGTTTCCAAAAAGGCCAAAGTAAATAACCCAGTCCTTCTTTTCACTGTAGACAAGCCATGATCTGCTTCTCTGTTCTCCATTTTTCATTTGGATGAAATAATAGCTGCATGAATCATGACAGCAGACAAGATAGAGGAGAGCAGGAGGCGGGGGTTACCAATCTACTGAGAAACACTTATTATAAGCGTTCGAATGGGATTTAGCGAAAGTATTTTTTATCAAAAACATAATTAATGAGCACCAATAACGAATAGTTGTATTAATCATACATGTAAACAGAGTTTTATGGGGCCCCCAGGAACTTGGGGCCCTAGGCAACTGCCTAGTATTGCCTAATGGTAAATCCCCTCCCGCCTGTTGTCAAACATTTTCTTATAATAAAAATGAAATAGTAAATGGATTGCACGTGTACATATTTTAGACTACACCCCTTCTACGTATACTGTGTTATATTTAGTGCTTAAATCTATATTTGGGTTTTATATTGACTTATAAATTTCTGTATGTTGTACTACCCTTATGAAATAGAGGCGGCGTGAACTCGATCAGCTGTGACTCTGTGGTTGCTCCCGGCGAGGGGAAACAGACTCTGGCTGGGATAACTACCTTGGCACAACACTGGGAATAAAGTTTGAAAAGCAAACACATAGAAATAAGAATTCCCACCGGAAGATTTTAAAGGGAAAGGTAATTAATCCTAAACCTGACTGAACACCTTTGGTTGATCCCCTCCGCTGACGTTAATCCTAATCCTAACATTGCTGGGTTAAAGAACTTAAAGTCATAAGATTTAATACGACTTCATTAGAATTCTGCTGGGATCGAGTTCTGGTGGCATCTTTTGACCTCAAACTGTAAAAATGTCAGCACAACTCATTGGATAAATGAAGTAAAGTCGTTTTTGATGAGATATTCCAGATACTGCTCACCAAGCAGACATCATTAAAATAGTACAGTAGAAGCCATTCAAAATTTTCCCTCTTCCCTTGATGGGTCCTTGGCTGGTCCCTGAGAATTCCTTTTTAAACATCAATCTTTGCACTAAAATATTCTGTCTGTCATGATTTGTTGACATTAAAGGAATAGTACACCCAAAACATGATTAGCCTTCATTTTCTACTCACCCCCATGCTGAACAACACTCTGGAGTACTTTTTTGATATCTCAAATGCATCTGGAGATCTGGGAGGCTTCTTGCTGTCTGCTGACTTTCAAATAATGGAGGTCTATGGCGCCCGAGGCAGAAAGGTCCATAAAAGTCCACAAAAAACGTGTCAATATTCCTCCATACTGCTCGTCCAATGTATTCCAAGTGTCCTGAGTGGGTAGCATCCAGAATTTACTCGAAACGAAGTCATTTAGAATGTTTTTAGAGCATAAACAGTAGTGTATAGGATTTCCTGAAAGCGCGTGCCTGCGCGATCACGACGCTACGGAAGCCGGCAGACCAAACCAGATGAAAGTGCACATTCAGCGTCTGCTCTGCCAATAATGCAAGCGTAGAAGAAGAAATGTGCTGTTTACCTGTGCAAAGAAAGAAACAACGAAAGAAAAATGTCTGAGGACTTCAGTGTTGAGGAAGAGCATGAGTTCTTTGCTGAGCTGAATGCGCACTTTCATCTGGTTTGGTCTGCCGCGGTTTCCGTAGCGCCGTGAACGCGCTTTCAGGAAATCCTATACACTACTGTTTATGCTCTAAAAACATTCTAAATGACTTCGTTTCGAGTAAATTCTGGACGCTACCCACTCAGGACACTTGGAATACATTGGACGAGCAGTATGGAGGAATATTGACACGTTTTTTGTGGACTTTTATGGACCTTTCTGCCTCGGGCACCATAGACCTCCATTATTTGAATGTCAGCAGACAGCAAGAAGCCTCCCAGATCTCCAGATGCATTTGAGATATCAAAAAAGTACTCCAGAGTGTTGTTCAGCATGGGGGTGAGTAGAAAATGAAGGCTAATCATGTTTTGGGTGTACTATTCCTTTAAGATCTAAAGCGAAGCGCCATCTCCTGGTCAGACCCTGTAATGCAGGGAAAGAGTGGAGTCAAAGTAAAAAAATATGCACGCCAATGAGAAGGCCAGTGGCTGGAAGTTGGAGGGGATTTTGCTGCCATGGTGCTGGCGTTTCACTGGGAGCGGCCATTTTGAACGGCTGCTACTGTAACTATCTTTAACTCGGAGCTGATTCGGCACAATCCAGTTCCCATCCCAGACTTTCCTTCCTTTCTTTCTTCCAGTTATACTGTTTGCTACATACAACTCCCTTTTTTATTAAATAACCAGCATCTTTGAAACGTTAGAGAACTGTTTGATTATGTGAATATATGCATAATAAAGAGGAAAAGAATAAGATAGGAAATGGAGAAAGAGCCTCATTAAACAACATGTCTTGCTTTTCAAGACATGTTTGTATGAAGGGTTTTTGGGGATGTAATAAATCTCACTGAACTATATATTAACATTTATCTTGTAAAATGATTTTTAATGTGCTATTTCTACCTCATAAAATTGTTAAATGAGTAAACAACAAAAAAAGGCCCACTAGGATGTTGCAAGTAAATTTCCTTTTGGGATTATTACATATTTTCAAATTGCATTTAACCCCCAGATTTAAGACCTTTGGTCTAATCTAATAAATTTATTGTTAAGACTTCAATCATTTATCACTATGGTTTTATTCTGGTAATGTTTCAACTTTAATCTCATAATGTTAGGATTTTATTCTCATAGGTGCAATATTTTGACTTTATTTTTTTACAATTTAATTATTACTAGCATTTTTTTAATGTCATTACTTTATTATTTTAGGATAATGATTTTGATCTTATGTTCTGAGTTTTAACTTGTAACATTACAACCTAAATCTAATTCTATAACTTTAATCTCTTAATGTTACGACTATTTTAATGTTAGGAATCTAATTTCACGACTTTAATCTCATAAAAATACGATTTTAATATTACGTCTTTAATCTTGTAATTTTACAATTTCAATATAATTCTATGATTTTAATCTCAATTTTACGATTTTTAATCTTGTAATGTTCTATTTTTGGTAATGTCATGGTTTTATTTTGGAACGTTTTGACTTTATTCAGGGAATGTTACGAGTTTAATCTTGTCAGGTTATTAATTTTTTCCTCTTAGACTTGATGTTAAGATTTTATTTGGTTATTTTATTCTCATATTTAACAAGTTTTTTCTCATAGATTTTATTTTATTCCTCTTGTGATATTATGACTTTAGATTAATAATTAAAATAATATCTCTTAGAATACACTTAGTACTTCAAAAACCTCCAATTAAGGACCTCTGGTCTAAGCTACTAAATTCATAGCATTTCTAACATCCTTAAACAGTAGATTTTTTCTGTATATTAATAATATATTGTCTTGAATGAAACAAAAACAACTTTTAAAAATATAAAAATATATATGTTAATGCCTGTTCCCTATAAATAAACAGAAGAAGCTTTTCAAGGCTTACCGTATATAAGTCACCTCAATAAAAAAAAAGAAAAAAAAAGGATTATTTCAACTATAATCTGAACTATGAGGCGTGGGACAGAGCCAGGGGGTGGGGGTGGTCTGAAGATACGGAGAACCCTAAAGAAATGAGCCCAAATTTAAAAACAATGAATCTTAATGACCTGTAATGGCTCTGATGATGGGAGCCATCCACCGGAACTTGGAGGAAAATGCTGAGAAACCATCAAATTAGACGTTAGTCTGACTAGATTATAATTGCAGTTGTATGTATTTCTGTTGCTGATAAAGGTCCATTTTGATTTTAAAACCATTAAATAATATCCTGTAGAAAAACAAGAGGTGCTTACCAGCTAGAAACCGCCAAATTTTTGAAAGCCATTTTATCAGGTTCTTGATTCCTGAGACAAAAAGGACAAAAAATGAAATCAGGAAGTTTAGGCTTCAGATTAGGATTACTAGAAATAAGACGTATTTATTCATACCTCGGAGGGTTCCAACCAGGTGGCTCACCCAGCCCCAAAGAGCTGACAGACCTGAGGCAGAGCAAAACACACGTTGCCTTGGTGATTTCAGTTCTTTATAGTGGAGCATGAAGGAAACTCACCGGTTATGTAGCAGAAGAAACGGATCGGCCAGCGGATCAGGGCTGGGAGAGCTGCAGGGAGATCAAACTGCTTAAAACCAATCAAGACCAATAATCCACATCTCAACAGGACTATAATCACCAAATTGATATAACTGATTAATAAACACTGTTATGAAACAGAAGAATGCTGAGAAGAATCCATTTAAATAATAAAAAGTCTTTACTGTGGTTGTTGATGCTGTTTATAACCAATTTTAATTATGACCAAGTATTTATTGGGATTTGATTGATGCAGCGACACACAGTGGGCGATCATTCCCAACACAAAAGGATTTAAACTTGTTTGTTTAAAACTACATTTTTTTTAAACTAATAGTTTTTTTGTCCAAGTCCTCTCAGAGCTAGCCTTGTACTACTGATTCTTTCCCCACTGCATCACCCGAGTGAGTTTGAGTTTAGGGTCACAAATTAATGGATGGACATTTCCCTCCAGGGTTCCTTTACTTACATTAAGGAAATCCAGACCCTCACACCACCACCACCATGTAGGACTGTCAGGTTATTTTTTTTGTCAAAACCTGTTAGTTATACACCTGATGTGACTGCAGCCATTCAAACGCCAGTCGAATGGCAGCCCACTACCCTGCAGTTCCCACAGAAATCCCATCCAACTTCCAGCCACTGGCCTTCTCATTGGTGTGCATATTTTTTTACTCTGACTCCAGCCTTTCACTGAATTACAGGGTCTGACCAGTAGATGGCGCTTCTCTTTAGATCTTAATGTCCACAAATCATAACAGAAAGAATATTTTAGTACAAAGATTGATGTTTATAAAGGAATTGTCGGGGACCAGCCAAGGACCCATCAGGGAAAGTTGGGACATTTTTTATGGCTACAACTGTACAGGTTTAGCGCCTCTAGTGGCTAAAAGATGAACAGTGTTGCTCAGAGATCAAGGGTTTTAACCTGTTTACAATCAAGTAGCAGAGGCTATGCTATCCGGTAAAAATTACATAGTTATTTCACCTAATTTTATTTATGTAGAACCATGTAAATTTTTTTTTTATTTTTATTATGCCATTTTACATTTGTTTTAAATGTGCCATTTTATGCTATGGTATATTTAATTATTTATAGGTGCATTAAATAAATGAATGGTAGATATAAGTATTAAGTTGATGATATGCTGCTTTTAGGGCTGAAACAATAAATCCCATTAATTGATTATTGAAATAATCAACTAATTTAGTAATCAATACATTGTTAACTGGAGTATAGAGTTTTATATGCCTTTATCTAACAGAGCGACTTACTTAGAGCAAGAATTATACCAAAAGTGTTAAAAATATATAAATATTTTGCATTTAAGATAAAAAAATCTTGTTGGTCTTCAATATGCTATATCCAGAACTTCTTAAGTGGAAACATTTCTGATTCTGTAAAAAGTCTTTGAGGAACCTTCTTCTATTAGATTATTAATTGAAAAAAATAATAAACAGATTAATTGATAAAACAATCATTACTTGCAGCCCTATTTGCTTTAACTAATTTTGTCCCTTTAATCATGAAATCGTTATACGACCCCTGGACGGGTCAAACTTGAGGGAAACTCTGCTTAGATGTTGACATCATGGGCCTCCTGGAGAAGTTTTGGTTATGCAGACACTCCTGGAAAACATTTACACTTATTTAAAGCGGTTCTCAATTTTTCAATAGCAATTATAATAAAACTTCCAGCTGTAATCTCGAGTTTCTTCTGATCCTGTCATGATGGGGTTTCTTTCAGATATCTTAGAACCTGTCTGATAAGATGAAGTAGGCTCTATGTGAGCTGGTAATGATTTGATTGATCAAACAAGGGTGGAGATGACAGCATCACTGAGGCTTTTTGTTTCTATTGGGATTGAAAACATGTATTTGATTAACTTAAAAGAGGCAGAAACTCTTCCTAGAGGGCAAATACTTTAACACTGAAGTCTGTCCTAACAAAAAATCTTTTTCAGAGATAAATAGGGTAAGCTTCATGCTCCAAACTGCTGCAGAAAACAAATTAGAGGCACAATGCAGGCTCTGTTAGTGAATAGGGAAGGTGTAGGCGACTGACTTTGCGAAAATCTGTAGAGAAGATATCCCACCACAGCGAAAGCTCCCATCTGGGCATTGCTGCCGCCAAGGAACCAGCCTAAAAACGAAGGAAAAGGGAATATTAGTTAAAACGCTGCTGTTATGGACGTCTGCAGCCTGGTTTACGAGGCTCTAAGACTTTATTGTATGCGAGGTGTAATTGATTTTGATTAAAACACAGTTAAGTCATTATTATTCAGCTGTCATGGATTACACACACATTTTCTTTTTTTTTTTTTACAGATCAAACTTTAATCTTTCCTACCAGCAGAGGCAGCCCCCGCGTCATTTTCACACTGACACTCCATCTCTCGGCACAAGGAGAAGTATCAATCTTTGTAAAAGTAGCAAGAATTACAAACGAAACAGGAGGAAGAGGATCGAAACACTTGAAGGCAAAGACAGCAGATCAATCCTGCACAAAGTCCATGTCAGCCATTTTTTGGAGATTAAAACGTTATCTGAAGAGTCATTACCTTGTGAGCGCCGGCGTAAACTCCAGTCCACATCTGACACAGCGGCTCACACCAGGGCAACGTTTTCTTCCTGCTGCATTCTGCCACTCCCAGTCTGATTAGGCTGAACAATGAGGAGAGAAAAAATCCTGCAGGTATGCGTTTTATCAGGCCTCCCTTTGGAAGGACACACCTTCTTCCCAGAAGAACCGGACATGCTGCCTCAGGTCTTTAACTCGCCTTCTTTCAGTTTGAAGTAACACAAAGAGCCGATTTAATAAAAAAGACTTTTTAATTCAGTACATCAGTAAATCTCATGACTTTTTACTCCTGGTTTTATTTCTTACAGTGTTGCAGTCAGAAAAACCCAGAATTAGATTTTTTTAGTGCAAATTGGTCCCCATGAGTTGGATTATTTAACTTTCAGCCCAGTGAACCTTCCAGCACCTGGAGGGCGTTTCTGACGCGCCTCATGAACCCAGTTGATCAGTCAGAGCATCTATTAGCTCCTGCTTCTTGGTTCCGGTGGTTTTGATCCCAAACAGCTTGCATGCGTCCTTCAGGACCGGCACGGTCAGCTTTCCCAGAGTGCCGTTCTGCACGTGGGCCTTCAGGTCATCTGCGTTCACCTCCACTTTTGGCTTCTTATCGGCTCCGCCTCCAGAGTCAGCTGCTTGGGATCAACAAAAATATATATGATCAGGTGTGAGGGCGCTGTCACACCGTGTCCATTCATCTGGCGTATGCCAGCGTTTTAGGAGATTCTGGGACGCTGAACTTTCTATGTTTTTTTTTTCAATTTTGGGCGTATACATGAAGGCATTCATAACGAGTCCAGAACTTATGTCCAACCACAGCCTAACTTATGCATAAGGCACTAGGGATGGAACGGTTTATGAAAACCGTCCGAATCGTTCGGTTCGACTGTCTCGGTTCGGTTCGCGTGTGTTTCGTTCGGTTCATGCGCTGCTCCTTTTTCTCATAGGTGAAGCGTTTACACTCCAGAGCAGAAGGTGGCGGTACTGCAACCAAAGCCAACCACCAGTAGTAAACAAGAAGAAGAAGAAGCGAAGCAGCGTAGCCAGGTGTAGCAGAAAAAAATCAGTTGTTGTGGAGAATTGTGTGGGTATGGCGAGTGGGAAAGAACAGGAGTTGGAAGACGCGCCAGCAGCACTTTATAGGTCTGCTGTATGGGAGCGCTTTGCATTCATGCTGCGTTCACACCGGACGCGAGTTTACATGCAAAGTCAATGGTTGACGCGTGTCAAGGTGCAGCAAAAGGTCCCGCAGCACGTTTTGAGCAGCAGGCGCAGCTCGTCTGAGCAGCCGAAGCAGCGCTTCGGGCGCGTTTAAGCATCTGACGCGCGTGACGCCCCGCAAACGCGCTGCGGCTCAAGATGGAAAAATTTAACTTTTGCTGCTTGACGAGCCGCATCAACCAATCAGAGATGCTGATCTGGGAGCTGGCAGGGAGAGATAGACATCGCTGATGATACAGAGCGCTATGATCACTCCTCTGAAACCGGTTATTGACGCATAAATTAACTTAAAATGCTGAAACCTGCCAACAAAGCGCGTTCGCTTTTATTATCCTGGTGCCTGCAGTTTAGATTATTTAGATGAAAGCCACCTTCCAACTGCCGCGGTGAACCGGGAGGAGGCGACTGGGCCATAGGCTGCTGTTGAATGGGATTCCTACTGACAGTGCACCGCCGGTATGTGGGGGTCTGAGCGGCTCCGACAGAAATAATACTGGAAGGCGGGATGGTAATCTGGATGAACTGACTGCAATGATTAAGTTTTCAGGTGGATTTTCTCACTTTAAAACATATTAAAACTACTTTATTCCCACTGATCACAGCAAATATAGCTGCAAGGCAAAGAAAGGATAGAGAAGCTCCGCCCAACGCGCCTCAGACACACTATTGCACCGCTGGTACAAGCAGCAAAAAGGAAGCAGCAGACGCGATTTTGCTGCTCCTGCTGCGTCCGGTGTGAACGTAGCATTAGAGTGACCTACGATGACGGCGGAAAGAAAGTTGTGGATAAAAGTGCAACAGTGTGCAAGCATTGTGCAACACGTTTTGTTTATGCTAACAGCAACATGACCAACATGTCAGGCTAACAATCAACATATACCGAACCAAACCGAAAACTGTGACCACGAAACCATCAACCGGATTTTGTGAACCGTTCCACCCCTATAAGGCACCCATACCAGAAGCCTCATTTCATGGACATTACGAAGCATCAGTTAAAGCAGCTATGCGCCCAGAGACGCCAAGCCTGAATAAAAATACTTCATAGTATTAACCTAGCTGCTGTTTAGTTTATTAGAAACACGTTCAGCGCTCGTCTGGAACACGTCAGATACGTTGATATGCATTGGAGAGAAGTTTTAGATAAGTTAAGCAGAAGTTATGCACAAGTTACTCCGAGGTTTAGGATAAGCTAGACGCCACAACCGATGAGGAACTGACACCGAACGTATGTCAACCAGATAACTGACCTGGAAGTGATGGCATATGTATCGCAGACGTTGGCATACGGCAGGAAATGCTCAAAATTTCTCAACATACTCGGTGTATGTCGACGTGCTTCAGCGTACTTCAGCGGGCTCATACCTTATACAAAACTTACCAACAACGTATGTCAGCATTTATGCCAGATTTTACGTGGATCAGGCACACGCTGGTCTAAATTGTTAAGGTCTAACAGGGGCTTGATATATGACAAACAGAAACGAACAGAGGTGAGTCTGACCTGTTTTCCTTTTGGGAGCGGGTTTGGTTTCTGGATTGTACCCTGCAGGGTAGACCAGATCTTTAAACTCTTCCACCAAAGGACCGAGTCGTTGGTCAATCTGGTCCACTTTTGGCTCTAAGGTGGGAAAAAAAAAACGAAAGAAGAAAAAGGAAATGGGGTGAAGACAAGAATACAAAAATATGTAGATGAGAAAAAAAAGTGCTGTTAATGTGTTTAATGTTCTTACTGATGAGGTCCTCTATCTCCTCTGGTTCATTCATGTCCAAAGCCAAAGCCTCGAGGTTTCTGAAATGCTGCTGCAGGACCGGGTTCTCAAAGGCATCGTTTCTTCATCACATTAGAAAGAAGAAGGCGGTTTTAAAAGAGAAACCAAACCAATAGCTGATCGAATGCAGTCATCACATCTACGCTTCATGGGTCAGTCCGCCTCAATCAAAGACATTCTGCTTTTACATCAGTAAAGTCATTAACTTCCAAACATTTAGCTAACAGAGGAGACAAAAAAACTCACCGCTGAAATGATTACTGGAGCTGCTAATAGAATCAACCTTATTATCTGTATTTATGCTTCACTGTGCTGGAGCTTTTTGCATGAATGATCCATGACACTCCTGTTTCCCGTTCGTTTCAAAATGTTCTTTTGATCAAAAAAGTTTTTAAAACTTTAATTTATGGATTATTATTTTTCTCTCTAATTTTCTATCCACAAAACGTGATCTTTACTTGGAACAATAACGGGACAGAATTCACTCTATATAAAGGTGGCTAATAAAATGAACTAAACTGATTCTGATACTAAATATGCTGTGATTCGCGGACGTGTCAAAAATATTCATGTTTATTACTCCAATAGAAATAGAAATCCTACCATTTAAAAACACTTTTGTAGAAGTTAGAGGATCGACTTCAGCTTTTTAATCCAGTAAAAGTGTAATGGTTATGTTTTTAAAACTAGTTAAAGTATAAAAGTAATGTAGGAAAAACTGTTAAGGCCAGACGCTTTCCTGCTCTACCCTATTAAAGGAACATTTTTCTACCATTCTGGATGATAAACTTCCTTAGACTTCATTTTCTTAGTGTTATAACTAATGGTAACATTTAACTTGACATCATCTGGAAAAACTATTTTTTTTGGTATGTGGTGAACAACAAGTGGGGGCAGCACCGAGACCAACCACAAAGAAATTATTTGACTGGATTAAACTAAATAATTTAAGTTATTTATTCTTAATACCAACAGGCCATAATGAAAATTAGCTTAAATGAAACAAAACTAATGAGTCTATTCTTAAAGTCTAAGGAGTAGATGTAAAACATTATTACTCCAGTAAAGTACAGAGTGATGACATAAAGTAATGAAGTATTTGTACTTTGTTACTTGACACCTCTGCTGATTAGTGACCTTCCGCCAAACCCAGGGGTGGGAAACACAAAATGTTTGAAAATTGGACCAAGCATACAAAAAACAGATCTGCAAAAATTGAAAAGGCTTAAATACATCTCATAAGGGCTCTATGTGAATATTAGCCCACTATTAAAATGACAAAAGTAAGCTTAAATACATATTAAACATTCATGATTGAATATTTATATATTCCCTGCAGCGCATCCTGGAAAAAATGCCACCATGTGACTAGTCTGCTGCATGATATTTGGTGCTTTAAATTTAAATTCCATTATGGTATTAATGTATTAGAATTTTTTGCATCCATGAATTAAAGAAAAAGAAATCAGATTTTTGGTGTTAATTTTATTTTGAAAATTTGAAAAAAAAAAAAAAAAAAAAAGATATGTGCATAATAGGACTCCTGTAACATACACCAGTCAGCCTCGGCAGATGGCCGCTCACACTGAGCCTGGTTCTGCTGGAGGTTTCTTCCTGTTAAAAGGGAGTTTTTCATCTCCACTGTCGCTACAAGCATGCTTAGTGTGAGGGATTGTATTCAAGTCAATGAGTCGATGCAATCAGCTGGTTTTCCTTAGATAGAAAACTTTGAATCAATCTGACTGGATGATCTGGTGAACTATAAAGTGCATTGAGATGACATGTGTTGTGAATTGGCGCTATAGAAATAAACTGAATTTAATTAACTTCAAACCACAGTAACATTGCAATCGTCTTTTTTCCCCACTTATTGGGGGAAAACAGTGCAATAAAACACAGCCTGCAACAGCAGCCTTTTGATAAGGTAAGCAGGCTATGGAAATGAAAATAAGACTGTTTAATTTAATTCCAATGCATCCACCAACAGTTACCTGCCTGGCACCGCACCACGCTGAAACATGTGTCACAGGCTATGACGCAAGTGTTTGCTGATAGAAATGTTTAAACTTATTATACAATTTTAACAGCATTGGAAAATATAAAGAGTGTTTTTTTGTCCTCCTTCACATTATATACAATTTTTTTTTTTTTATCATTTTCCATTTTGTATGCTTTGAAAAAGCTCCAGTGAGCCGCTAAAGAGCCGCGGGTTGCTGAACCCCCCGGCCTTGGTCCCAACCGTCCTCTGACATCACATTTTCAGAGCGACTCTGAATTAGCGGGCACCATATAACCATCGGAACATTTAGATTTCTTTTATTTCATATGTTGATTTATGCTATTTACTCTGTAAATAAAAAGTTTTTCACTCACTCCGTATCACCTGCAAAGCCACATAATGCCTGAGTGATGGGTATTTGTAGACAAGACATACTTATTCCCATAACAAGCCAGATTCTTTCTCAAGGTTTATTCATAACGTTACTATTTAATCTGTGTAATAAAAAAAAAAAATCAGATTACTTTCCATTGTTGTAAGTAAGGGAGAACGAAGGCAGATCAGAACAGGGCTGATTACCGTGCAATAAGGGCCGTAAGATGAACCGTTCTCGCTTTGCAAAGATAAAATAAATTGCCGACTGAGTGAAATCCATTGATCTACGTTTATTTAACAGGAGCAAATAGATGAATACTTTTTCCCCACGACACCATCACTGATGGAAAAGCCGAGCGAGCAAATCGTTCAGAGGTGGCGGCAGTGGAACAGGGACATATCCAGGGAACCTTGAATGTCTTCCTAAATTTCGGGAATGACCACAAGATTTCATTGAAACATGGATCACCATCCCACACAAAACAGGTACTCAAACCAACACAGGGATGTTTTTCAGTCACGGTATCGACGTGCTTCCATGTCCGTCCCAATCCCCAGCTACATCTAGCAGTGATCTACCACAACAGGTCCGTCTCTCTTTATGCTCCAAGCTTAGAGGAGAGTAATAGAAGCTTTCAGAAGCGTTAATAAAAAGCAGAGGTCGCTGATCATGACAGCCAAAGTTTCCTACAGTAACACATTTCATGTTTCCTCTGTAACAAACCTATATTTGAAGCGGAGCTTGGCGATGATCTCCTTCATCTTATCGACCTGCGTTTGGGAGGCTGCTGGACATCTGGGAGGATCAAGATTTCTAATGTCGTCGGCGAACGGCAGGTAGATGACACTGAGGCCTGATGGAGAGAACAAACAACATCTAAATATTAAAGTATGAAAACTGCAGGAAGAAGAAATCAAAACAAAAATATGATCCAGAATGAAGGTAAACATCAAACAGGAAAACAGACGCATTGTTGCCAACTAAGCAACTTTCTTACTATATTTAGCAAGGTTATAAAGATACAAAAAATGTAAATATAATATCGAGATTCATTCATTTATATGCAATAAAATATTCAATGCTAGATAGCATCTTAACACTATGCAGATAAAAATAAACATTAGAAAGAATAAAGATATTTTGTACAACATGAAAATGGAACTTGCTTACTCAACAGAAGCATGGATGCCAGTTAAAAAAAGTGTGCTAGTAAATGCAGAATAAATAATCCAAACCTAACACAATTTTAGACACAGAACACAGATTTATTTAACATATAAGGCTTTCTGAGGCCTTATTCTTTTAATGAGAAAATGATCTGGGAATCTAAAAATAGCAATAGCAAAAAACATGCAAAAAGAGTAAAACATCTACCCCCACCCCCAACTTTTTTGTATGTTGCTGGAGATTTTGGCAAAAATGAGAAAAATGCTGATGAAGCCAAAGGACCCTCATTCCAAAGGGGTGGACCCGTTTGTCTGTTCCAATTTGCATGTTTATTAAACTAAAACAAGGCTTTGTTGGGCTGCTGTATAAAGTCTGGAACTCAACGACATTTCTGACATTTTGAAATGAAAAAGCTTCCTGGATGGGAAGAGAAACGTCTTCAAACTTGGAAACAAAGTCCAGTGGATTATTTTTAAACTTTGAGTGCTAAGGGAAGCCCCTCCCTCCTTCATAGCTCTGCAGACAGAGAGAGAAGAGCGACTGTCCTTCGTCTCTCCAACAAAAAAAAATCAGAAACCAATGAGCAAAGCTTCCTCTTATCCCTCCTGGATTTAAAAGCAGGAGGTAAATATAAGATCTGTCCACAGAGTCTCTCCCAGCACTGATTGTTTGATGAACAGAGAGCTGGATCACAGTTATTATTCACTTCATTGAAACAAGGTGTCACAGCAACATACCCTGTCTAGTAACGATAGATCTACGCCTTTGTTAATTGAAAATTAAGTGTTTTGCATAATTTATTAGGGCTGAAAATAATTATTCTGCAAATCGATTAATCTGTCAATTATTTTCTTGATTAATCGATTAATAATCTGATAGCCAAATGTTCCTCAAAGAAGATTTTTTATAAATCTAAACCAGGAGAAACAAAATTTTTCCCCTTGAGGAGGATGAATAGAGCAGATTGACAGCAGAGTCTTTTTTTAGATACTAAATGCAAAATCTTTATATGATTTTTTTTTACAGTCTTGGTTTAATTCCTGCTCTAAGTGATTGGCTCTGTCAGCTAAAGGCCTGCTTCAGAGTCCCTATACTAATAATAAATAATCAATGTATCTGATTAATTTTTTCAGCCCTAATATTTATTCAACTTTATTATTCAGTGACCTAATAGATAAATATTATTATAGGAAGCTAAGATTAATAATTTGTTGGTAAAGAGTTTTTAATTATTTATTCAGTGTTTAATAGAGTTGGGGCAGCAAACTGGTAAAATTATGTTTGCTATTGATCATTTTAGATTTCAAAGTTATTTTGACATTAAAAGAATATCCAATGGGAAAAACGTTTTCTGGTATTGGTTCTGATAAATTAAAAATAGAAAACTAAGCAATCACATGATGGATGCAGCAGTTCGCATCGTTTGTACCCGGAGGAGTAATCTGGACCTTCCCCTCGTCGACTTCTTCCATCTGAGGCACCAAGGCAACAAATCTAGGCGGGTAGTTTCGGCGGGAGATAAAGCGGCACAGAGCAAACAGGTTTCTCTCGATGCACTTCTTCAGCAGAGCAGAGAACAAACTGGCACTTCCTGAAAGAAAAATAATAATAATTTTAACGCTGTGGCTTTTATGATGCAGCGAGCGATGGTTTTCTTCATCGTTACGGTTGAATCAGTGGATCTACCTTTAACTTCGTCCTCCTCAGGGTAGATGAAGACAGAAGGTCGGATGTGATGATGCGGTTTGAGCTTTTCCATCGGTTTGAATCCGATCAGAAACAGTCCTGGGTCGTCAAACTTCTTGATGGCATCCACCTCATCTTTCTCCATCACTATTTGCTTCCTCCCATACACCTGAAGACACAGGCGATTCATTATTTAGTGACAAATAAAAAAAGGATCATTTAAATCTAAACGCCAGCTGCGGCATACCTGTGCTTTCTTCATCTCACTGGGCAGCAGCAGGCTGCCGGTCTGCATGTGGAAGGTGCGGGTTTTGCTGCGCACCGGTTCGTTGGTTTCCCTGTAGAGTCTGATGGAAGCGGGTTTCCTGGCTGCAACAGCGGTTGCATAAACCCCCACAGCTACATTTATACCATCACCAAGACTCAAGCTTAACCTGAACACCATACAGCAAAAGAAGAGCATGGAGTGAAAAAACTAACTTCACGTCAGAGTAAGCAGATGGAGAATCAATCAAAAATGGAATATATACAGTTTGTTTGTTGTGAAAAAGTGTATTTTCCCTCGATTTAAAATGGTCAGAAAATGTACCAAAGGAAGGGGATTTACACTGAAGACAGGGCTGAATGATTTTGCCAAAAGACCAAATTAGGATTATTTGCAACGAATATTGCGATTTTCCTTTGCACTAAGCACAAGCATGTCGATGTTTACTTCAGGGTTTCAGTTTTTTCAAGACCTTGAAAGCCTGATGGTCCAGAATCCAGAGTTGCAGGACTTTACTGTAACATTTGCATGAAAAAGTCCTTACTTCTCTATAATGCATAGATCTAGGTGCAACTCTGTTCCCTTCCGTGTGACAACATACCCACTTTAATCACATTAGCACCACCTAAGGGAGGAATTTATTGTCTTATTCTTGATGTGACTAAAAACTAAGCGCCTCTGCGGTTTGAAAATTGTAGCACTGAAATAATTAATCTTGACTAATTGATTATTTTAATAATCATCAATTAATTTAGTAACCGATTAATTGTTAACTGGAGTAAAGAGACTCTAAAACGGGTCTTAAACGTTTTCCAGGCCAATGACCCCAAAACTGATGGTGAGATGGAGCGGGGACCCTCTAATAATTATATATATTGTATGAAATAGTGTTCTATCAAACTGGTCCTATAGTCACTCTATTACAGATGCAGTAATGTAACTAAAGTAATTTCTCCCTGGGATTATTAAAGTATTTCTGATTCCTGGTTGATGGGACAGGTGTTGTGAAGGAAACGGTGCCCAGTTTGAAAGAGCTCCTGTGTGTCTCTGAATGTGTGCATTGATGACTGAAAGACATCTTCTGCCTCCATTTATCTGTTTACTACAGTGTTTTGAATTCATGTTATGTGGATGTAAAGACATTTCAATTAGTGGAAAAATTGCAGGGGGGAATATATATAAAAAAAAAAAAAAAAAAGTCTTCAACCAAAACTTTCGCAACCCCCTGTTGAAGACCTCCGCTCTAAAAACATGCATTTAGCTGAAGGAGAGCAGGAATTACATGAAACATGACATTATATATATATATATATATATATATATATATATATATATATATAATGTTTTTACAATGTTCATGTATATATATATATATATATATATTTTTTTTTTTTTTTTTAAACATTTTACATAAAAGTATAGAGGACGATCTTTTATTTCCTGGTGGATCATTTCAATCAGTGGCCCTCCTAACTGTCAATCATTCTGGTGATCTGTTTACGTAACGCAGTCCTACGTGCTCGTCCCATTAGCTATCTCTTTCCGCGCACTTTCAGGCGTATATCTGTGGTGAGCTACGGTTTCAGACGGTCATTGAAGCTCACCTTTCTCACTGCAGCTCTTTGTAAATGGCTGAGGGTCGTAAGAGGAAAAAGTGTCTACGAAGTTTATGAGAGGCCTCAGCAGAGGCAGATACATCCCAGAATGCTTTGCATTGAAAGCTTTCCTCGCAAAGCATTATGGGATTTACTGCCACAGTGGCCCGCTGTCACTACCCAACAGCGGCGACTAATAACACAAGATGGCGCAGGCACCGCGCAGAGGAGGAGGAGTTACGTGACCAACACTTTTAATAGGCGTTCCCTCTCGGGTGCAGGTACAGGGTTGTGCACTTCCTCCACAATCCCTTAAAAAAAAAAAAAAAAAAAAAAAACCATTTTCATCTATCTAAAACTTTTCGATTAGAAAAGTTTAAGTGTCACCTGGTTCACTTTGGTAAAAAATCTTTTTTAAGGGACCTTTGGCTATCAGATTATTCATCGATTAATCAAAAAAAATAATCAATAGATTAATCGATTTGCAAAATAATCGTTAGTTGCATTCCAAATTGTGACACTGGAATATTTGATACTACTCCCCTAAACCAGAAGGTGGCAACAGTGACAGTTTCCTTACTTACCAGCCCAAAAAGAGGGGAAATACATTTATTTCAAGAACAAAGCAGTGACAGATCTTACTCTGCGCCTCTCATATCTGGTTGTTTGCTGCCCTCTTCAAGCACAGGATTTTTTTTTTTTTATTAACATGTCCATGTAATGGACTAAAGATGGAAGAAACAGTTGCTGCAGAAAAACAAATGTCACCTGGCCAAGGCTCTCCTTTTGGTCTCTCTGGCTCGAACCCGTTTCTGGAGGTCCTCCAGTTTGTCACAGGGCTCCAGCTGCAGCCCGAGCTCGCTGTCATCCTCAGGCGGACTCACAATATCTCTGAAGAAGAGCGAGACGTCGAAGCCCCCTGGTTTTATCAGGTGCATCAAATCAATAAAAACTCCTGGAAAAAAACGCAAGAGTCAGAAACAAATCTAAAGAAATTAGAGTCGGTTATAGTGTGAAATATAGCTGGAAGGTTACTGGTTGCTTCTTAGATATGGAATGAAATTTGCTCAATTTTTGTTGCAAGCAAAGAAAATATGAAAAAAAAAAATTAAACTGCAACAAAATAATGTTTTAAGAGATTTTATTTTTTCAAATTTTATTTTTCCCCAATTTATTTTTCATATTTTTTTTAATTCAAACTTTTTTTCTTTACAGATTTTATATTTTCAATTTTTTCCAGATCGGGTTCTCTTCTTTTGCACTGAGGGCGCAATTCTATTGGTCCAGTTAGACTTAAAGGAGAATTCCGGTTTTTAACACTTTTAGCCCATTTTCTGTAGTGTCCAGGATGAAATCGAATGATCGACACCAAAATTTTGACGATTGGTCCTGTCTCTGCTATTTGGCTCATGCAGAATCCCCCCCTGGCTGCTTCAGAATGGCTTCCATAGTGCATGTCCGATAATGTCCTTAAAACAACCTTAAACGTTCTTTTTTTAAAATATGCTACTCACCGGGTCGTCAGCGCTGTTCAATTAAGTTCCAAAAAAAGTTTCGTAAAGAAAAAACGTTCCTGTAGTGTTTTATTTAGCATTTTGTAAATCCCATTGAGTTCTGTTGGAATAGTCAATATCCCTCCGCCACCGGAAACGGGGCCTGTTTACGCTTAGTTGTAGTCTTTTCGCTTCACTCTGTGTACTCCGACGTCGAGGTGCTAACGTCTCTGTTAAACACTTTAAAAAACTCTGGAAATGGAATACGAAAGGTGGATTCTTGAGGAGGACATATTGGACTTTGAGTTTGACGGTAGAGGATACCGTTTTGAACCGGAATATACTGAGGAGGAGTATATAGAGACATTGTCGCCAACTAGTGGTCTGGAGTGTGCAACGCTTCAGATTCGAACGGGAAGCGGAAGTTTATAAGCGGTTGTGATGTATCGGGAAAAAATAGTTCTGGGATTTACAAAATGCTAAATAAAACAAGACAGGAACGGTTTTTCTTCACGAAACTTTTTTTGGAACGTCATTGAACAGCACTGACGACCCGGTGAGTAGCATATTTTAAAAAAAGAACGTTTAAGGTTGTTTTAAGGACATTATCGGACATGCTCTATGGAAGCCATTCTGAAGCAGCCAGGGGGGGATTCTGCATGAGCCAAAAATCAGAGACAGGACCAATTGTCAAAATTTTGGTGTCGATCATTCGATTTCATCCTGGACACTACAGAAAATGGGCTAAAGGTGTTAAAAACCGGAATTCTCCTTTAAGCAACAACATTTTTATTTGTTGAGAGTGAGCGTTTGGATTGGCCAGGAAGTGAAGAGAATCTGATCTGTGAAATGCAGTTTGAAAAGAATCCGATTTCTAATTCTTGATCTGGAAAACAAAATAAAAAACAAAATCTGTTTTTTGAAAAACTAAATCTGAGAAAACAGCAAAGCCTTTTTAAAGTAAAATATTTGCAAATTTCTATTCTGAATGGCACTTTTTTAAAATTAAATTTACACAATATTCAACAATATATTATGTTACTCTCCATCTTTAAAGAAATCTATTCTAAACCCCTATATCAGAGTCTGAATCTGAAACCCTATTTAAATTGATAAAAATACAAATTCATAGCAAACAGGCCTCACTTCTGCTATACACCTCATTACTGCAGCTTGATTTTTAACCCATACAGGCAAAAAATAAAAAAATAATAATAAATAATTTTGTTTTCTGGTTCTCCTCTGAATAATACGGAAGAGGATTAGGGCCACTGAAGAATTAAACAAAAAGTTAACTTTTTTTTAAGTTGTAGGTAGGGTTGTCAAAAGTATCGATACTCAAAAAAGTATCGATACTGAAACGTTGTATCCGGATACAATACTCATCTTCAAAAGTATCGATACAGCCATCTAAAGTGCAGAATAGTGGAAAATGCACTTTCTGAACACTGTGTGATTGAATAATTCCGTGCATTTTTCAGTTTCAGACTTTTTTTGTAACAGGTGCAGCTGCTGAGAATTATTTTTGTTTCTTAACCGGTTTGGCTAGTGTCATTGTTATGTCTGCAAAACATAGCCAAGGAAGGAACACTTAATTTTTAACTTTGTAAGTTTTTTATCAAGCATGCTTAATATTGTGCACAGCATACAACCTCAAAATATTATTTTTATTGTTTTTTATTTATTTATTGTATTTTTTTAGTAATGAAAATACTTCTGTTGAATTTTAGAGTCTTTGTTTTTATTCTTGTGGTATCGAAAATGGTATCGAGTATCGAATATTTTACTTAGTATCGGTATCGAGTTGAAAAGTTTAGTATCGTGACAACCCTAGTTGTAGGGAAACGGCTGTTCCAACTGTTGCATTTCCGAACTCTCCTGAGTGGTGCACGACGTTATACGAGAGAATAAAGTGAATGATTTGCAGGATTGTTGTGGTGGAAGGTTCACAAGCATTTTGGTTGTGGCCGGTGTCTCGGGATCATCTTGCTAACCAGTTAGAAACTTAGTGCTACTTGGTCCCAAACGACACTGTGAAGGAACGCTATGGACAGAGGAAACATGCAAGAGGAGGAGAGTTTAGTGTCGGAGGTCGTGGATGAGTCTCCTCCATTATCCATTTTTCATTTAGAGGAGGAAAGCGGGGACGAAGATGTTGTGGAAGAGGACGCCAGGGCGGCAGAAGCTTGGTTTGGTGTAGAAGGCTTCCAGCCGTACATGTTTGAGCCTTTGCCTCGCAACGCTGCCAGTTCTGTTAGCTCTACGCCTGCCGAAGACACAGACGTCCATCCCTGTGAACTCTGGGAAGGAACTCAATGGGAAAAGAAACGATTCCTATTTCTTATTTTAACCGTTGCGTATATTAGCTGCAACATATGAATCAAGATGCTATGACCGAAAAAATTTAACTGACAGAAGACCGTTCATATATGTTTTGCCGAATTTAGGTGTTCAGGCTGACGTATAACTAACTGGCCTGCATAAGATAATGGGAAAAAAGAAACAGATTTTAAGACAGATTTTTTGTTTTTTATAGTAATTTTCCAACTTTTGGGACAATCTCGTCTGATAAAGAGTACAATAATATACATGTTTAAGCTAGAATGATTTGACATTTAAAAATGATTTACCTACGACTTTAAATATTATTTCAGTTAAATATAGGAAAAAAGTCAAAATTCTGACTTTTTTCCTCAGAATTTTCAGAATCAGAGTCAGAATCAAGTTTATAGCCAAGTAGGTTTGCATTTACAAGGAATTTGACTTGGTGTTGTTGGTGCAGACAAAAAAAAAACTAAACAAAACAAAATAACAAAATAAGATAGGATATATACACTATATTGCCAAAAGTATTTGCTCACCTGCCTTGACTCACATATGAGCTTAAGTGACATCCCGTTCCTAATCCATAGGGTTCAATATGACGTCGGTCCACCCTTTGCAGCTAGAACAGCTTCAACTCTTCTGGGAAGGCTGTCCACAAGGTTTAGGAGTGTGTTTATGGGAATTTTTGACCATTCTTCCAGAAGCGCATTTGTGAGGTCGCACACTGATGTTGGACGAGAAGGCCTGGCTCTCAGTCTCCGCTCTAATTCATCCCAAAGGTGTTCTATCGGGTTGAGGTCAGGACTCTGTGCAGGCCAGTCAAGTTCATCCACACCAGACTCTGTCATCCATGTCTTTATGGACCTTGCTTTGTGCACTGGTGCACAGTCATGTTGGAAGAGGAAGGGGCCAGCTCCAAACTGTTCCCACAAAGTTGGGAGCATGGAATTGTCCAAAATGTCTTGGTATGCTGAAGCATTCAGAGTTCCTTTCACTGGAACTAAGGGGCCAAGCCCAGCTCCTGAAAAACAACCCCACACCATAATCCCCCCTCCACCAAACTTTACACTTGGCACAATGCAGTCAGACAAGTACCGTTCTCCTGGCAACCGCCAAACCCAGACCCGTCCATCAGATTGCCAGATGGAGAAGCGCGATTCGTCACTCCAGAGAACGCGTCTCCACTGCTCTAGAGTCCAGTGGCGGCGTGCTTTACACCACCGCATCCGACGCTTTGCATTGCACTTGGTGATGTATGGCTTGGATGCAGCTGCTCGACCATGGAAACCCATTCCATGAAGCTCTCTGCGCACTGTTCTTGAGCTAATCTGAAGGCCACATGAAGTTTGGAGGTCTGTAGTGATTGACTCTGCAGAAAGTTGGCGACCTCTTCGCACTATGCGCTTCAGCATCCGCTGACCCCGCTCCGTCAGTTTACGTGGCCTACCACTTCGTGGCTGAGTTGCTGTCGTTCCCAAACACTTCCATTTTCTTATAATACAGCTGACAGTTGACTGTGGAATATTTAGGAGCGAGGAAATTTCACGACTGGATTTGTGGCACAGGTGGCATCCTATCACAGTTCCACGCTGGAATTCACTGAGCTCCTGAGAGCGACCCATTCTTTCACAAATGTTTGTAAAAACAGTCTGCATGCCTAGGTGCTTGAATTTATACACCTGTGGCCATGGAAGTGATTGGAACACCTGATTCCAATAATTTGGATGGGTGAGCAAATACTTTTGGCAATATAGTGTATGACTGAATTCTGACAGCTAACAAACGTGTTATCATCAAGCCGTAGTCATGTCTGTTTTAGAGCGTAGCTCTCTTGTTTTAATCACCTTCTGCTCCTCCATTTATGAAATAGCATCACCAGGGACCCCTCAGGCACATAAAAAGTTGCCTAACGCTGTCATTTTCCACCAGTGCGTTACCGCCCTCCCAAACAACTTACATCTTTGTCAGTGAAGCTATCCACATATCTTCCTTCATGGTGCCCTTTAAGATTAAGATCTAAAATTCTGAGACTTTTTCCAATAATAAACTGAAATAATATTTAAAAATCAGTTAACTTCCTTTTATTTTTTCAGTTGCCCTACTTCCGTAGAATAAATCTAAGCAGCCTTCGATATGTTTTTAAAGGTCTTAAACTGCTCTGCTGCCGGTCCTTTTTTTTAATCTTTTGCAGCTGTTTGTCCCACAGCACATAAAACCAGCTGAGAGCGGACAGAGCTTTATCTGTTGCAGGTCCTGAAATGACTCGCTGTATCACCACTCCTTTAAAAACACTCTTATTCCCGGGCCTTTGATCAGAGCGAGTTGCTTTATAATCGATTATAAAGTAAAAAGAGGTGAGTTTTTGTTTTAACCTGTTCAGCCAATCTCCTTCTCCAGTCACTGATTCAAACAACGTATTGGTTCCTGATATTCACTCGTCTATAACCGCAGAGGAGGTTTTTAGAAGCAGAGGCAGACTGACCCGACTCCTTCAGGTCACTGGCTTTGGTCCGGGCCTGTCGGTCCTTCGCGCTGTCGCCCTCGTGTGGGTTATCCCTGCAGGTGAAGATCATGAGCCGTTTGTGCGCCAGCCGCAGCTTGATGTCGCTGTAGAGGTTGGCGCAGCACCACAGGGCGTCACCGAGAGACGTCTCCCCGCTACCCAGGGTCTGTGCTGCCAGCTGCGCACCTTTCTCCCCCCGCAGAGCGTCCACTTCCTGAACCCTCTTGGCACCTTGGGTTAAAATTTCAACAGCTTTTAAACATAAAGTTAACAAACTTAGGCAAGGGTATTTCTGAAAACCCTCGTAATCATTCAAAAGTCCTCCTACTTGGGTGAATAAGCTCCAGTCTTACCAAACAGAGAGCGATTTAGTGTCTGAAGCAGGAATATTACCTGGTTCATCAAGGTCGTGGTACACATAAACGTGTTTGAATGAGTTCCTGGGGTTTTTGCACTGCTCTGTGCCATAAAACACCAAAGCCACCAGGTCCCGGTGGCTGCTGATGATCTTACTGGTGTAAACGCTCCGAACAACCTGCAACGACATTCGATAATGATGGACCAGAGAAGATGTACGAGAACTAGGAAAGGATAATATCCGTTAATAGATTATTACAAAAACATTTATTACATCTGACTAATTAATAACATGGAAAGGGGTCTGGCTGCAGACCTACACTGTCAGGACTACGGCTGAAACAATTAACTGGATTAGTCTCTTAACGCCCACCTAATTTTGGGTAATCCTCATCTATTTTGCAAACCCCTATGGAAAAGCAAATAACTGAGGAACTGTAAGCCAAAATCACATGCGTGATACATCATTTGAAAGTTAGCACCGTAAACAGCATCGAACTTTGCGCACTGATCCAGTCTCAGCAGTGTATTTCACTATTACACAAGGTGGTGCAACCCACCCACGTCTATCCTGGTTTGAAACCTTATTTCATTGCCCATGTTCTCCTAACCAGTAACACATGACCAGCTAACTTTTCTGACATCAAAAAACTGATTTGATGTGTTGATTTTCTCATCATGAAATGTTTTTAATACGAATATGCTGGATTACTTTTAATCAATGGACCCTTATGGATGAAAGGAGAATAAACAACTGAAGATTGAATTTACAAAACGGCTTTAAAGGTATGTTGTCGTGGTTCCTCTGTCATATTTATAGTTTACCATGCTGCTATATCTGTTTTAATTGTGCTCTGGTGCTCGATGTGTCCATAAAATGAACTAGGTGGTTGAATTGTGGAGAATCTAAGCTTTCCAACGATAAGATGGGTATATCGGTAAACATTTGACCAGTGTTGTACATGTTGTTGTTCATGTGTTTACTGTTCATTAGTTGATTTAAGACAATTTGTGAATAAATATACAAGTAAATACAAGTTATTGTATTTCATATGGTGTTAATGTAAGTTAAAATGCATTCAAATTTTATCAGGTACAAAATCATATAAGTTTTCTTTGTTTAAAAAGCCCTTTAACCGGCTGCTGCTGAATTCTTGAGTAACACTGACTCCGAAATCCTGCGTGATTTCGTTAATCTCACAAGATCCCGAAAGGGTGGGAAAAAATAACTGACTGTTACTACAGAAATATGCAGCGGGGTTATTACTCTAAAGGTGAACCTGAAGGGTGCTGAAGATTAAGAAACTGAACCAGAGTGATCTTAAAGAACTTTACCTCTTTTCATGACAAGCAGCCAATGAGGTAAGTTTAGTTTGGTTTATCAGAACTAAAGCTGGTTGGACCTGTAGTCCTCATATTTTCCTTTACATTTTGGTAAAATGTATTTTCATGTCCTGTGTGTTTATTTAAAGTTGTTACGGCGTCACGAGGCATGATGTCTCCTGATGTTATGGTATGAGGAGGCTGTCTCTGCAAGGGCTTCAATGAATAAACGCCCGTTTCAAAGAATCGACCCGTGTCTGTGGTGTCGTGAAGAGACCTACAAGCGTTATTTTCATGCGTTCTGAGTTATTAGTTTTAACGCTATAAAAACGGTCGCCGGCGATCGGGGGGATTTTGAGAGGCTAATCATTCATTGAAATATAATTCAACTAATTTAGTACTTGATTAATTATTAACTGCAGTATAGAGACTGTAAACTATGCTTTTAGCCAACAGAGCGACCCACTTAGAGCAGGAATTATATCAAAATAGTAAAAAAAAACTATTTAAGATATTAAAAAAAATGTTTCCGTCTGTCAATCTGCTCTGTCCAGAACTCCTCAGGTGGAAAAGTTTTACTTCATTAAAGGTCTTCTTTAAGGAAACGTTTGCTGTCTGATTATTGATTGATCAATCAAAAAATAATCGACAGATTAATTGATTTGCAAAATAGTCGGTAGTGGCAGCTCTAGTCAGGACCTTCCGTTGCAGACCTGGACTGTCAGGACCGGAAGATTATTCCGGACGTTTTATTCGAAGCCTTCAGGAATAGCGAGTAGCATGTATGTGCTGCCGGATTTGATTTTTTTGTGAGGTGAGAGCTCACTTTAATCTGCCTTTTTCATACTTCATACTTTTCCCCACTTAAAGACCAAGAAACCATGTTTTACCATAATTTTTGGGTGATATTCCTTTACTTATTCCAACTTTATGTCCCTTACAGACGCATGTTTCAATGTGACACCGGCTGGAGCTTGACCAAAAATTAAATGCTGCACATCAATGCTGTGAAATCTGCTGTTCCGATCATAAAAGCACTTCCAAGAAAATAAAATAAATAGACATTCAAAAGTTTTTGTGGGTAAAAAACTGAAGTCATGCTTGAGCAGAACCATGAATAGATCCAGATTCCGGTCCGGATTATTTCCACTGTTAAATGGATCCAAGGATCCAGAATGACCATCCTGTGGTTCTGTTAGTGAATCTAAACTCTGGATAAACTCCTTCAGTTCTCCTAAATGGGTCCATTTAGCAGCGCTGCATGGAGGAGCAGCAGAACTTCTCTGCTGGATCAGAAGGAGAGGATGAGAGAAAAGTAAAGGACATTACGCTAAATGGTTGGAACAGGATAGAAGAAGACATGCTAGCAGTTAGCATGGTTGATGGAGAAGCTTTATGAGGTAATGAGCTTCATGGGACCAAGTTCTAACAGTCCTGTTAGAGGAACCAGAACCAGAACCACCTGATTAACAGCTCTGCTAACAGAACAAAGTCTCTTCCAGCTCTGGTTGGTGGATTAAACTAAAAACAGAGAGCTAGATCAATCATCGAAACGAAGTTAAATAGTCTGACGTTATGTCAGAGCGACATACTCTGTCTATCAATGATAGAACTACGTCTCTGTTAATTGGGAATCAGAAGTATTTTACATATTATATTCTTTTTTGTAAATTCAGCAACCTAAGTAATATGTAGGAAAACTTTTTTTGGTTTATCCATCAGTATTTAATGCAGTTGGCAAAATTAACCCTTAAAATATAATAACGTACTTTTTTTTTTCAATTCAGCAGATTATTTTTTCAAAAAGTAGTCCTTAATGTTATGAAAAGATCCTCTTCATATAAGAGAAAAGATTAATACATTTAGGATAAATTATCTAATAAATAACTCTATGTTCCTAGTGCTAACGCTTTAGAGATGACAGGAAAGCAGCGATAGTTTCTACTGAAGCATCTTTTCCTCCCGACTCTAAGACTTTAGCTTTAAAAACACACAATGACACCCGTTTATAGTCGTTTTAGAAACAAAGCAAACAGGCTTAAAATAAAAACAAAATGCATCTGAGCATCTTACCTGCATCGTCATGTCGAAGTTAGAGGGTCGTCCATCTTCGCCTTTAATGAACATTTCCTTCGAGGCGTCAACCAAGAAGACCAGACTGTCTCTGCCTGAGACTTTATAATCTCCTGTCAGAGACAGAGATGTTGGAAATATTTCACCTTTTTTTTTTTACTAAGCCAAACCTTAATTCATCAACATCTCTTTTTTTCTTCAATCCAACAAATGTTTTATCAGACATGGCTAGACCGTTTGCTACCACTATAAGGAATAAAGACATTTTAATTTAAAACGAACATACTGATCAAAAGAAAAAATAGAGGTAGAATACAAGAAATGGATTAGAGATGTTATTCAATACCACCATGAAACTGAGCTGTAAGAAGATGGGGGGTACATTTAAATAAAAAACATCGCCCTTGGTCGACAGATGATTGTATGAAAAAGAGGGAAAAGAAGCTCAAAAACTAAAGAAAAGAGGAAAAAAACTAAGGCTTAGTCTCAAGAAATTACAGAAAAATGTTACTTTAAAACAACAGAGAGATAAACTTTACTGTCCTAGATTGGAGAAATGGAGCAGCACAAACAAGAAGGAAGCAGAAGTGGAAAGTAACAGAGTACATTTACTTGATTTCTGTACTTAAGTAATTTTTTTAAAGTATGCTTATTTTTGGGAGGATAATTATAACTTTCACTCCGCTGCATTTCCAGGAAGCCGTTTGTTCCTTTCAGCTCAGCTTAGCTTTTTAATCCACTGTTGACGTTTCTCTGTCTTGAAATGTAATTCCATCATGGCAGATATCAGCCCTTAAGACTGAATCTGAATGCCATTGTTTTAGAGATTTAATGATGTTCCAGAGATGTGTTTATAATTTAATAAAGGCATTTGTTGTTGCCATACAGCCAGTTCTCAAAGCAGAATTACATTTTTTGTGGTAAATAGTCTCAACCTTGAACCTCTATTCCATAGTTAAAATGTGAGGAGAATCCAGACTCTCCTATTTTCCATTTTGTTTTGTTTTTAAATAAATAATAATCACAACAACCTGAAGTTCTTTCCAGATGGTGTAGATTCTATAACAGGTGGTTCTACGCATCAATATATCAGGTGGCTTCTGAAAGTTACTTGTAGTAGCGCAAGATTTGCCTATGAGTATGCATACTTTTACTCAAGAACTACTGTTGAGTATTTTGTCCACTACTGGAGGGAAGGATCAATCCTGACTGTTTGGATCCATCCTACTTTGTTAGAAAGGCTGAGGCTGATGATATGATACGATGTAGGAACAATAAGGGAAGCGTTGGTCTAGTGCAGAGGTCACAGATTAGCGGACTGCGGTCCGGATCCGGACCCACCTGCTGGCTATTCCGGACCCATTCTGATTTAAAACAGTTATAAATTGCTGAATGTTGTCAGACTTTGACCGCTTCTCCTGTTTGTACGGTAAAGCTGTCAGGGGCCAGGCTACACGTGATGTATATTAGTCAATGAGCTGTCAGTCAGGGCTGTTACGATGATGAGAAAACGGGTAAAAAAGTGTAGACTGCTGGAAGAACTGCGGTGAACAGGTGAAAGAATAGTGAAATGGCGTGCTCAAAGATGACCCTGCACATTTAGAGGATGTTTGGATCAACCTGCTGCTGTGAAGCAGGATTCTCCACCATGAACAGAATCAAAAATAACTAGAAAAAGCTGTTTCGGAGAAACATCAAAGTGGGAATGCTTTTGCTGAATGAAAAAAGCTGAAATTAACTGCAGAACATATAAAAATGTGATAGGAAGTCATTAGAAACTTCAAACTGCAGAAAACAATTGAATCATCTGAAGATTTTATAGGGTAGAAACATCTGGCAGTAAAATGGCAGAAACAAACTCATCTTAAAAGCTGCACAGTCAAACCATACATGATATCAAAAAATGTTGATCAGCATAAAGAAAACAGTGTCATCATTTAAAATTGAAAATTTAAAACTTGAAAATTTACAAACCTATGTGCAAGACTAACCATGAGAAGCAGAGGAAGGACAGAGAGAGAAGCTTATAGAAAGAGAGCTAATACCAAAGCAAAACTTTCCCTCCGAACAAACGAGCGGTGAGCCAAAACCGTATTAGGTATTCAAAAAATTCTTTCACCGTGAGCGTCAGCCATCTTTGGACTACAACTGGTGTAACTTTCATATTTCTACAATATTTCGTCTAGGCGTGGTGACGATGTAAAAAAGTGTATAATTGTCAAAATCTTGATTTTGGGGTTCGGACAGATTTGTTACCCCCGAACAAACCTTTTTCCTGGCTAAACGATAAAAGATATCAACACACTTCCTTCAATGTGAGTGCTAGGAAGGTCTGAGGAACAACTTCCACAAGGCTCATGTTGCTACGTCGAACGGTTCCCGAATGGGAGCGATACGAAAAAGTCTGTTTTTTCTAATTTTCAGTTCGGATTTTCAGAGAGCTCTCATTGGATTTCTATTGGGGAAGTGTGGACTTCTTCGTGGTCTGGGCCAAACTGTCGGAAAACCGTAAATGCCACACAAATTAGGGTTACATTTTCTGAATCCTGACAAAAATCCCTACATTTTGATGTAAAATTTGTCTAGATAGAGTAAAAGATGAGCGAGTGAGTTGAAGCTGTTCGGCATGAGTGAAATGTTTGAAAACGCTAGAGTGGCACACTCTAGCTGCTGAACATTCCGTCCATAGACTTCCATTATAAATTTGAAAATCTGTAAAAAATGTTTAAAAGTTTGAAGCTTCACTGAAGCAAAACTGTAAAAGTTAGCTGAAAGCCGAGTTAAAACAGTAATAGCAGAAAGATACGGAAACATTTTAAAAGTTGAATGGTGTTTCTAGCTGAAAGTATGCTGAAGTAGTTAAAGGGCAAAGTAGCTGAAGATTTTGTGGAATTTTTGAAGTTTTACATGCATTTCAATGGGGCACAAAAATCGCAGAAAAAGCTGAATATCGCGAAAACTACGAACAATATCTTTACCAAAAGTCATAGCAGAATTCTCCTGAACAAGCTGAACGTTTTGATACCAAATTTGTTTAAATCAGCTGAAAACTGTTGCACTAGTTAAACGAAGAAAAACCTACGGAATAATAATAATAACTAGAAAAAGCTGTTTCGGAGAAACAGCAAGTGGGAAGCTTTTGCTGAATGAAAACAAGCTGAAATTAATAGCAGAAATTGAA